GCTAGCAACTTTCCAAGCAATTCCAGTACAATAATTATTACTGTTTTTACTCGCGTACCGCTTTTTCACGCAATTTCTTGCTCTGTTCGTTCAGTTTTTCCTGATATTCCGTGTCCAGGCCACGCAGCTTGAAACATTCTTTCCATGATAATCCGTGCCCAGTCCACGCAGTCTAAAATATTTTTTCCTAGGAAGTGCATGCGGAGCTTAAGCATTCGTCAAAGAGCAGTGCGCCGTTTCTGCAGGATGCCATCAAGTGCCCGAAGGATGGCGCTAATGTTGCGTTTGGTGCCCCCTAATTTGCTTCTAATTTCGCCATGCAACGTCCGTCTTGCAGCTCGCGGTGGTCGTGGCCATTTCTCACCTGCACGGCCGCTACCACCGCTTCAGTTCTTCAGTCTAACCGCCCGTACAACCGTCGGCTGCTGTTCTCTTGTGCTGCTCGGCCAAACCAAAAACTTTTCTGTGCCTCGTGGAATTCTTCTTGAATGTATATAATATTCTTTAGGTTTAAATAGGCAAATATTTACCGCAGATTTAAATTTGAATGCAATAAATAATAATTCAGGCCAGTACATGTAGCTGTAACGTTTATATGAAAAAAATATTACTCGGTACTCACTGCAGTGAGTGACAGAGAGCGCATTTACTCGTCGACGAAAACGTGAAGTCACGGACGGATGGACAGATAGACAGGCGAACGGACAGACGGACATATGGCGAGCACAATAGAGCATTTATTCCATAAATGAGAAAATGCGCTAAAAAGAGCGTCCTGATATACCATTTCTTAATTTTCTCGCATGGTGTAAAGAAGAATTCTGCGACAGCACTTGGATCACGACAGCTCCATATTTTATTCGCATGAACTCCGTAATTGTTTATAACTTCAACAAATGACGGCACCTAACCCGCACCCGAATTCATCGAATAGATAATTTGATATATCAGCTCTCTCGTAATCATCAAGTTGATGTAAGGTATTGAGACGAACTCAATATCGATCAAATTTGGGCTTTCTCGGTATAGTGCGATATGCTTGACAAAGTTTGATACGTGCAGAAAGTTCCTAAATTTAAAATAAAATCCCTGATAAATATCTTACATGTTATATCCCTGATAAGTATCTTACATGATAATATATCCTTGATAAATATCTTACATGTTAATGTAAAAAAATTCCATGTATACGAGCAGAGAAACAATATTAAATAAATTTTACCAATTTATCTTCAATCTTGTATTTCAAATGACAAAAAAATTTAGAGATTTCAATTTTTGCTTTCAGTCATATTTCGAGAATTTTGTCACGAGTGGAAATTGCAGCTGCTTCTTTATAAAATAATATTATTGTGTATTTTTCTGAGAATTTTTTCTAAAGAATATCCATTACTCGGCGCATGACATTATTTCTTTATGGCTGTGCCGTCAAGCAGCTTCAGTGTACTCTCAAAGAAATAATTAAAACTGTGTCCAATTAGCGATGCACTTTTTGCTCGTGTGTGCGTCATCATTACCGAGTTTGGCACGGTACATGGCGTGACAGTATGACATTATGACCCATTCAATTTTTTGAGTGCAGCGCACGCTGTTGCGTAAGACGATACTTTGATGGCTTGGGCCGCACCAGCGCCGCCGCATCCACACAAACTTGCCGAGATAATTTGCAGCGACAGCCAAACATCTTAGAGCTGAAAAATTAATATGATAACTTGAGCCGGCAGTTATCGTGAGGAATATTTGAAATAAAAATATTTCTATTGTACCGCGTGCCTGGAGAATTAAAATGATAACTTGATCCGGCAGTTATCGTGAGGAATATTTGAAATAAAAATATTTCTGATGTACCGCGTGCCTGAAGAATTAAAATGATAACTTGAGCCGTCAGTTATCGTGAGGAATATTTGAAATGAAAATATTTCTGATGTACCGCTAGCCAGAAGAATTAAAATGATAAATTGAGCCCGCAGTTATCGTGAGGAATATTTGAAATAAAAATATTTCTATTGTACCGCTAGCCAGAAGAATTGAAAGGATAACTTGAGTAGGGAGTTATTGAGAGGAATGAATAGGTATACATCAAGCGCCTGAAGAACAAAGACGTTAATATGAGTAGGGACTTATCGGGAGGAATGGACCATGCCTCAAGAGCCTGAAGAATTTAGATAACTTGATCAGACAGTTATTGTGAGGAATGCAAACATCCCGAAGTACAATTTTTCTGCCTTTCGATTTTACCTTTCGAACCTTTCCTCAACGTACGTCGTCGCAAGGCCTTTTACTTACTGACAGTGTCGGAATAAATTGTCTAATTCAGTCTACGGATTTTGCTCCTAACATTTAATTACCTCTAATAATAACTGTTTTGCGGATTTTACAGTTTCCAAACAACAATATTGCATTTAAATGTAAATTTTAAGTTTGAAAATTGGTCACTGAGATTTTTCACCATTCATTACATGAATGATATATATCAACATGCGCATAAAATCTTAAAAAGAATGAATGGTCTAGATGATAATTATTTAATACGTTCCAATAAAGAGATGAAGAAAAAAGTATCCTATGAAACATTCTTGCAGATTCAGATTTCTTTCTTTATAAAAGAAAACTCGAAAACTTTTTTGAATCGGCTTAGGCTACCACTCAATTGCAAGATTTTCTTTACGATCATGACCGTTTCCTTGAAATGACACTTTTTAAATCTTGTTCGTTAAGTCACGAAGTGCAATTCAGTGATAAATAAACAAGTAGGGAAATGAAACAATGAGTCTAATTTCTTTTAATTTTGTTCTAGATTACCATTGTATGGGAATACTAAGTTTAAAGTATACTAGTTAATTAATGAGCGTTAGTTCAATAATAAATACATATTTTCATCAAAAGTCCGCACCGATTCGATAATCCCAAAATGAACGATAAAACCCCTTATGCTAGACCTCAAAATGACATTTCATTTTCTTTATTTATTTCATTTAGCCAAACGTCCGAATTAGCTCGGCAGGGTAAGTTGTTAAATAACAATAATAGAATTAGAAAAGAGAATACGTTGAAATTGGATTATGATTTTTAAGTTGTAGCTACATTTATTGTTTTGTGTCTTTATGACAAAAAATATTCCATCCTAATAATCTTGCTGGATATGCAGTGAATTTTGCTCTCGAATCCACCTAATTAAATCTGCAGGCATCTCTACAAATGTTACTTACCTAACAGGATGAAACTATCAGACAACTATACGGATGTACCTGCATCACCTAATGAAACCTGCAGACAACTCGACGGATGTTACTTTCTGAACCTACGGACAATTCTAATGGGGCCCTTCAACAGATGAGGCCTACAGACAACTCTAAGGGGGCTCTTCATCGGATGAAACCTCTAGACAACTCTACGGGGGCTCATAATCGGATGAAACCTCAAGACAACTCGAAAAGGCTCTTCACCGGATGAAACCGATGAAACCTTCAGACAACTCTAAGGGGGCTCTTCACCGGATGAAACCTCTAGACAACTCTAAAGGGGCTTTTCATAGAATGAAACCTTCAGACAACTCTACGGGGGCTCATAATCGGATGAAACCTCAAGACAACTTTAAAAGGGCTTTTCATCGGATGAAACCTGCAAAGAAATCTATATGGGCTCTTCACCGGATGAATCCTGCACACAATTCTAAGTGGGCTCTTCATCGGATGAAACCTCTAGACAACTTAAAAGGGGCTCTTCACCGGCTAAAACCTGCAGACATCTGTAAGTGGGTTCTTCATCGAATGAAACCTGCAGACAACTCAAGGGGCTCTTCACCGGATGAAATCTGAAGACAACTAACTCTAAAAGTGTTCTTTACCGGATAAGAAAACATCGTGCTTCCTGCCATCAAAATAATTCTCAAAGTAAGAGTTACGTAATCAAATTTGAGGCTGATACAAACCCATACTCTTAAAAATCCTGCAAAGTATTTTTTTACATCATTATGGAATATAATGATGGAAACTGTTCAATATGCTCCACGTTGGCAGTGCCTCGTGTTAGCACTGATACCATTAAACCCCTCAATGGCGACATGCTGCGAGGAAAGACATGCCACGATGCTATCCACGAGACCGCGGAAGCCTTCAAAACCAACACAAAATATTCCTTACATGTATAATAGATATACGTATGTAATACCGCGGAAGCCTTCAAAACAAACACAAAATATTCCTTAAATATACAGTATAATAGATATACGCATGTAATACATGCATCCAGACATTCACATTTAATGATATACGACCTAATTCTATTAATCTAGAAGCGCGATATTTGTACTAGAATATCCAGTTGATGATTATGGAAAAGTTCATTGTATCTAAATACTGAAAAATACTAAACATACGTACAAGAAATAAAGATATCCATTCTGTGATACGCATCTAGTTTAGTTTTCATGTAAGCGTTCTTCGTAATTCACGAACAATGAATGTCACGATGTGATAAATATATATTATCCGATGTGATGTATTATACAATTATCCTATAGTATATGCATGTATTATAAATTATCCTCTAATGTATACATGTAAATAGTAGTAGTATTACATGTAATTAATACTCAACGCGTAAAATATATAATGTTATGGTAATAGAGTACATGGTGGATAATAATTATAATAGAGCTCATGGTTGTACGTGGAGATCACACTATCAATATAACTGCTACGCGCAGGAACGTAATATCATCAAAAAATATATTCTTCATGACGCAAAATTTCGGATTGAGATGACAAATTTCTCTTGGATCTCCATCTGTGGATGAAGATTTTGTCCATCTCTTTGTTGACGAGCGGACTAAGAGTCCTTGTTAGCAGCTTCCGGCTCGTCTTTTCGTCCCTTATCCTCTTCGTCCTTCGTGATCCCTACATCTCTTTGTTGACGGGAGGACTAAGAGTCCTTGTTAGCAGCTTCTGGCTCGTCTCCTCGTCCCTTGTCCTCTTTGTCCTTCTTGATCCCTACATCTCTTTGTTGACGGGAGGACTAAGACTCCTTGTTAGCAGCTTCCGGCTCGTCTCCTCGTCCCTTGTCCTCTTCGTCCTTCTTGATCCTTACATCTCTTTGTTGACGGGAGGACTAAGAGTTCTTGTTAGCAGCTTCCGGCTCGTCTCCTCGTCCCTTGTCCTCTTCGTCCTTCTTGATCCCTACATCTCTTTGTTGACGGGAGGACTAAGAGTCCTTGTTAGCATGGCTCGTCTCCTCGTCCCTTGTCCTCTTCGTCCTTCTTGATCCCTAAATCTCTTTGTTGACGGGAGGACTAAGAATCCTTGTTATCAGCTTCCGGCTCGTCTTTTCGTCCCTTGTCCTCTTCGTCTTTCTTGATCCCTACATCTCTTTGTTGACGGGAGGACTAAGAATCCTTGTTATCAGCTTCCGGCTCGTCTTTTCGTCCCTTGTCCTCTTCGTCTTTCTTGATCCCTAAACTTAGCTCGCCGCTGCTGGCCTGAGCGTTCTTGGCAGTGAGGGAATCTTTTTCCTTCTTCTCTCTGTAGCGCTTAACGACGTGGCTCCAGTCCACGCACTCCGACACGCTCTTGATCGCTTCTTCGCCCTCCTCGCCGCCCAGGTCTGACGTGCTTCCTGTTGCCTGGATCAAGTTCTCTGAAGAAATACATCAATTTATTTAAATCATCCATCATCAATTTATTTAAATTGATCTTTTTCTCGGATCAAATTCGCTGAAGGTTTACATATACAAATATATGTATAACAGATAAGCAGATTTACAACAACAGATGTGTTGGATCGAATTCTTTGCAGATATACCAATCGGATCTCAATATATATATTGATTAGATCGCATTCCCAGTGTCATGACCTACCTGTGCTGTGCGGGGCTATGCTGCCGCGGCTCTTGTTGAGGCGCTTGTTGAAGCGCTGCTCGGCCCTCGCCTCGATGGCGTGCGCGCTCTCCATGCGGCCCTCCTTGCGGATGTAGTCCAGCGCCGCCTCCGAGCATAGGTTACCTGCGGCAGTACCGCATCGTTACCCTCCGGTATCGTTACCTTCCTGCATCATTACCTTCCTGCATCGTTACCTTCCTGCATCATTACCTTCCTGCATCGTTACCTTCCTGCATCATTACCTTCCTGCATCATTACCTTCCTGTATCGCCCCATCCTGCATCATTATCATCCTGCATCATTATCATGCTGTATCATTACCATCCTGCATCATTACCTTATTGCATCATAACCATCCTGCATCATTACCTTATTTCATCATAACCATCCTGCATCATTACCATTCTGCATCATTACCCTCCTGCAACATTACCCCTGCATCATCATTACTAATGGAAGCCATTAAATACGAATTAAACTATAGATTTCATTTCAGTTCCCGGCAGTTCAGTTAAAAAATCCATAAAGAGGCACTAAACGAAATTTCTACTCATTTTGCAACTCAGAACCTTCCATAGTTTTATTCTGAATAAAAATGTGCTTGGCTGCGACTCACCTCTATACTTGGCGCACGCAACTGCGCTCACGGTGAGCTTGAGCAGGAGGTTGAGAGGCGAAGGAGTGCCTGAAGTTCTGCTCATGTTACGAATAAGTTTAGCGAGTCCATACTTCCATTCTATGTCGCTCTTAGCGTGTATTCTTTGGTAAGTGTCTGACATCATAGCAATGAGCAGGTTGATCAGTACCACAACTGTCACCATCTGGTACACGCCGAACACCACCTGACAAAATATATGAGTGAGATTTGACTTTCGATTTCATGATATTCATATATACTTTTTAGGTAAATATATATTTGATTGGAAAAGTACATATATAAAATTTATTGCATTTTCATCTACAAATGAGAAAGGAAGAAACATTTTTTAATTTTACAATTCGAGTAGGCGAATTCTTTTAAAGCTGGATAAAGAAAGCTCAAAAATAAGAGTTTAGAATTACTAATTCATTATTTTTCACAGAAATCAATTCATTCAAAGACCACTAAATGAAAGCATCATTTCCTCCCATAATTTTTTTTTGGGGGAATTTAAATTCAGATTGATCTGACATATGCAATTTCCTGTAGCTTAGAATAACTTTAAGATAAAACCAATCAATAGCTAAGAACCTTGCAATTGGAGCGTTGTTTGGTGTGAATGCTACCGGCAATAAAAGCTTAGTGTTTCTTTTCTTGTAAGACTCTAATGTAGGTGATCGCATTCCTCGCAAGTCTCAAATAAGGGTGGTTTGAAAACCCGGGCCTAAGATAAGATTACCTGTAGCTTACTTATCACGGCGTAGGTTGCTTACTTACAGTATCTAGCTTGCACTTCTTCTATCGCATGGCCAATGCTAGTACCTACAACCTTCGCTTTTATCTCTCACGATGTATAAATTAATAATTACTGTACTTAATCAAGTCTCTCCGTTTTCGAAGAGGCTTGTACGAACAGGAGTCACTGCTATTTCTACTCATTGTGTTCAGGTGCGACCAGAGATTCCATCACTCACGCGTGTTCTGATTGCAAGGCACTGCTGTGATTAAGCGTTTAATTCATCAGCCTTTAGCAACGGAGAGTAAGTTTGCCGAACGCACACGTACGGTTTCGTAAGACGTCTAGGGAAGTTCATATTGATTATACGACATTTTCTTCCTTATGTTTTGTTGAGGCTTGAATCCTCGACAGTAGTTTCTGTCCTCTTACCATCGTCTTCGTGGGCTAAACCCTAGACAAACTTGTCAATCCCATTTTGCGCCTTATTTATTTGATGCATTTATCTATTTTACGAGCTGCTGGAGCTGATACGTTATGCTCTCGTGTTATCGTCCACAAAGATAGCAAAGTGTTTCGTAGGAGTTGGTAATCCCTATCAAAACTTGTGGCAGACAATTTAGAGACCACTGATGACAACTTATGGACAATTTAGTGAAGAAACTCATGCGCGGAATTTTCTTTAATGAATCAATTGTTACCTTCATCAAGGTCTTTGCCCAGAAAGGATGGCTGTAGAAGGGTGGCATGTAGTCGGGCTCTACGAGACCGAAGAGCGAGAAAAAGAGCAGCTCGGAAGTGGAGAAGGGGTCTTGAACAGGGGCCTCTGCAGTTAGTAAGTATAATAACAGTGACTTTGAATCGATTTATATAGTCTAGAATACCTAATTGCAAGCTTTAAGCGAATAAATACATTAAAATATATATTAAATATTTTTATACGTTTGTAATATGCAAAAAATGCTAGTACGACGAATGCTATAGGTGCGAAATTGGTAGGTAAGAATGCACACAGTGCAAAATTAATAGGTAAGAGAATCTTACAACAAGAAAGAATCCTACATCTGTAGAATGAATACATTCAGATAGAGATCTTGCCAACTTGCTTGGTCATAAATATGAAATTGGTTCCAAGGAATTTGGTTCTAATGTGAAATATTATTTGCTTCTAGTATGAAATTTGGTTCGTAAGCAGTACTGGCAGCCAATGCTACATTCAAATGCTAACCGCCACTAATTATCAAGTTACTGGCCTGGTGAAAAGGGTTACTCGGTCCTTCCGTGTCCAGTAATGCTTATGCACGATGCCAATAGCAGGGTAAAAAGTGGCGGTATGTTTTTGAAAGTGATACTGGCCGCCATTATTGTTCCCATATACACTGTCTTGGTTTTTTCGACTCACCGAAAGGAGGGTAGCCTGAGCCCACGACGAGCGAGGTGTTACGTCCGGTGTAGATGGGGCGCATTGGGTTGTAGATGGCCGATAAATACATTGTGAATCCAAACATGAAGATGGCTAAGATAACCAGGAAACGACCGAGGTCAACCATGAGCTTACCAATGATTACAGCCCACGGACCAAACAAGTTGTGAAAAGACAGAAAATCCAGCAGCTGGACCGTGGCTAGCAAAAGTCCGCAGCCAATGAGCACATTTCTGTTGCAGAAAACAGGCAAGTGACAGGACTCAGGAGTCTGTCAATAAACATGATAACTAAAATCTATTAATTTATGTGAAATTGTCAGCATATTTATTCGTAAAATGTCTTATGAGTTTTTTGATGGTTATGTCAGAGCATTCACGAAACAATTAATTATTTTTCTTTTCAGAGACGTTTAAAACTTTTGCTTCTAAAATATTTTGTATTAATGCCTCAAATGAAATTTTCAATGATTTTTCTCATGTGCATCGCAAATCATATTGAAATTCTGATTGTGTTACTAAATACCAGACCATTAGCCACCGATCTCTGGTGGCGAACGGTCTAAGTTTTCAAATTCTCTTATTTTCGATACTAATATACCACCAACTATTTGCCAAAAATTATAGAAATTTTACTCAGTTTGTTCCGTTTATTGGAAATTATGTTCCGTTCCAATGCAACGGAGACCTTAAAGATTAAGTTAGATTAAGTATTAATGCTTCAGTAGTTCCTTCGACATCAATACTTAATCTAACTTAATCTTTAAGGCCTCCGTTACATTGGAACGGAACATAATATCCAATAAACGGAACAAACTGAACAAAATTTCTAATACAATCGCTATATGAAAACTCCACGAAAATCATCGCCAAAACAAACAAAATTCTTTACCTGACGTAAAGAATTTCTTGCAGCGGCCCCTGATGGCCGTAGTACAGGAAGCCGAAGACGTGAGTCAGGACGCCCATACCTCCGAACATCAGGACAAACACTTTGATCCAACCAAGTCCTGTTCGGTCACCGGGGCTGGTGAGTTCTGCCACCAGGTTACCGCTCAGCCAGCCTAGCAACATCCACTCGTACCTGCAGAAATACTATTGAATGAATGGTGCCATTCATATGGATGAATGAATGAATACCATTTACTTAGATGAATGAAGGAGACATAGTTTAGCACTTGTTATCCTAGTTTTCGTTATCGCGACCCATTTTGGCACAGAAAACGGCGTATATCAAGGGACACTCTCAGCTTGTGCTGTTGACAAGAAAGTATGTCACTATTTGGACAGAATGACCCATTCATTTTCTGAGCATATCCATTTGATGAAATGCCGTAATCGAAAATGAAAGTGATAATTCTGTGGCTGGTATAAATTGTCTTTCAGTTTATTAATTTAGTTTTTTTGAGGTTGCTTCTGATTTATAGGCATTATTTTTCTACTAATAATGCATTCGACGGAAAACGCAAATTTTTTCCTTTAATCAGGATTATCCAAATTATAATGAATATAGTGATATCATTAGAATCATTGGCTGAATTAGGTCATTAGATTCAATGCCTGTATAATGTCATTAAATTCAATGCCGGGATAATGTCATTTGATTCAATTGTTTGATAATGTCATTAGATTCAATGGATCGATTATGTATGCCATTTAATTCAATAGCTGGATAATTTATTCGGATTCAAAGGCAGCATTTTTTGCAGACGCGAAAACTGGATCGAAGAGCACGCCCAGCACCTACCATCTGGACAAGAGGTCGAGGAGCATGTCCAGCACCTACCATCTGGGCATGAGGTCGAGGAGCATGCCCAGCACCTACCATCTGGGCATGAGGTCGAGGAGCATGTCCAGCACCTACCATCTGGGCATGAGGTAGAGGAACATGCCCAACACCTACCATCTATACATGAGGTCGAGGAGCATGTCCAGCACCTACCATCTGGGCATGAGGTCGGTGAGCTCCCAGATGGGACTCAGGGGGGTGACGGTCATGAGGATCATGAGGAGCAACATGTAGCAATGCGAGACCAGGTAAGACAGGAACTTGGTGAAGGGAATGCGGTAATACTTGTGGCGGAGTGGAAGACTGGAAAAAGAGAATAACATCAACACACGCATTACAGGGGAACAGTATAGTGAAGAAAATGTCATGGCAACTCGTTCTAAAGTGATCCATAATTCATAATGAATTTATTAATACAGTACTGTGCAAATTAGTTCGGAAAGTGGTTGAAATAACACAATTATTTGCCCCATTGAAGTTTATTAAAAAAAACATGCCACTGGTACAAAATATGATATAATTAATAGGAGTAATGACCCCCTTTTGCTTTTACAAGCATTCCAAGGCCATTAACACTAAAACTACCCCCAAACATCTTCTTATGCTGATGTTTGGGAGATGGCATTTTTCAGCAGGATCACGCACCATGCCATACTTCAAGTAAAATGCCCCCATTCTTTGAAGAAAGTGGACTGGAGATTTTAGACTGCGCCTGGAAATTTTCCAGACATCAATGCCATTGAAAACTTATGGGCTATAATCAGACAAAGACTCCTGAAAGAAGACTGTCCGACAATGGCAAAGCTAATTAGTACTGCAATTAGGACCTGGTATCATGATGAGCAAGTGACTAAAATGTGTTCAACTTTGGTCGAATCCATGCCAAATCGTGTTCAAATGCTTGTAAAAGCAAAAGGAGGTCATATCTTCTATTAATTATATCATATTTTGTACCATTGGCATATTTTTTTAATAAAACTTCAATGGGGCAAATAATTGTGTTATTTCAACCACTGTCCGAACTAATTTGCACACTACTGTATGTATTTTCGGTGTGATTGAATTGATTTCTTTTGGATAAATATATACTGATATCGGTTATAGTATAAGTTATGGGATATTTCGCGAATCGGAAAACGCATGAGTGTCTCGTTTTCACAATTTTGAAAAACTTTAAAGTAGGTATTACCTGAAGAAGATCCAGACTGGCGGGACTATGAGGCACATGAGGAAGACGGCCGCCATCTTCCATGCCGGCCACTTGAGGCTGCCCATCCACACGTCATTGAGGTAGCGCTGCACGCTCGGGTGAGCGATCACCTGCGCCACGAGAAAAATATACACAAATTAATACAAACACAACACAAATGAATCCTGTTCTACTGGGCAACTATGGGCGGTTAGTACTAATTAACTTACGCTTAATCGCTTGGAAAGAATATCTGATGAATAAACACAGATGAAATAAGCATATCGTGAGCTAAACGTCTTGAGCCGAGCTACCCAAAATGCTAACTTTAACTCAGCCATCAATAGGTGAGTTTTAGCTGGGAAATTACTGGTCGGCACGCGAGAAATCATCGGTATATAATGCATTATTGCTACAAGAGATTGTAGCAATAAACTGTCATAAGAGAAGTTTCGACACGACGTATCGGGCATCAATTACAAACATGAACAAAGCAGTGTCTCATCAAACTCAATAACAGAACTCAGAAGCTAATGGCAACTCAAAGCACAGCTGACAACTTCTTCCTCTAGTCTAAAGATGGAGTGTGTAATCCTTATGACAATTCTGAGCGGAGCTGACTTTCGGGCGGAGTAAAAATGACAGCTCCATGTTCTTGTACAAAGGCGGAGCTAAGAATGACAATGATAACTACATGTGCTTGTCCAAACATGGAAATTGGAATGTCAATGATAACTCCATGCTCTTGTCCAAACATGGAGCTGGGACTGGCAATGACAGCTCCATGCTCCAGTCCAAACATGGAGCTGGGACTGGCAATGACAACTCCATGCTCTTGTCCAAAGATGGAGCTGGGACTGACAATGACAACTCCATGCTCTTGTCCAAAGATGGAGCTGGGACTGACAATGACAACTCCATGCTCTTGTCCAAAGATGGAGCTGGGACTGGCAATGACAACTCCATGCTCTTGTCGAAAGATGGAGCTAGGAATGGCAATGACAACTCCATGCTCTGGTGCAAAAAGGAAGCTAGGAAGGGCAATGACAAATCCATGATCTTGTCTAAAGATGGAGCTAGGATTGGCAACGACAAATCCGTGTTCTTGTCCATAAATGGAGCTAGGAATAGCAATGGAATGGCAATGACCACTCCATGCTCTTTTCCCAAGATGGAGCTAGGAATGGCAATAACAACTCTATGTTCTTGTCCAAAGATGGAGCGATAGGAGGAATGGCGATAACAACTCAATACCCTTGTGCGATAACAACTCAATAGCGATAACAACTCAAAGGAATGGCGATAACAACTCAATACTCTTGTCCAAAGATGAAGCATGGAATAGCAATGACAACTCAATGCTCCTGTCCAAAGATGGAGCTATGAATGGCGATGACAACTCCATGCCCTGGTCCAAAGATAGAATGATGCATGACGGGGAAATCAAAGCAGAGTGACGCGGCTGACCATTTTCTGCTCGTGTTCGATGAGGGAATCAAGGAGCGCAATACCGCGGCCGTCGAGGGCGCGCAGCAGCACGCCGGGGCTGAACGAGGCTGACGCGATCGCCACCAACTCCGTGGCCAGCTCCTCGGCGAACACCGACGCCTCGATCAGGTCCTTCTGGCTCTCCTTCTCCTGAAATTAAAAAATATATATAACTCAGTACTCACTGCAGTGAGTGGCAGAGAGCGCATTATCTCGTCGACGAAAACGTGAGGTCACGAACAGACGGACGGACGGACATGACGAGCCCAATAGTGTATTTTTTCCATAAATGAGAAAATGCGCTAAAAACATACATGGCTCTAAAAAACAATCATGGCTCTCCAAGCACAAACACGGCTCTTTTTCTGGTGATATCACAGGAACAAACACAGCTCTTCTTTTCCTGAGATCACAACATGCATGCTCGACATGGAGCATCTGGGTCGTCAATGCATTAAAAATAATAATTGGCCTTAATCACAAGATAACGTATCTTGCAAGAGATTAAAATTTGAAGCCAACAATTTTTATGATATGCTATGCTAAGCCTAATATTGTTTTTTATTATTTCAAATTCTTTATGATGTTTGTTGTAAACTCAACGCATATTTTGTTGTGCCGCCATATAACATGCTGATCGGGATGAGCATTTGTACTCACTTTCTGTCGTCTATAAATAAGTTAGACGGAGACCGAAAATGGAAGACTGAGAACAATTTGTGTAAAGGTTGAAGGACAGTTCAGTGATGAGTAACTCATGAATTAATAGGTCAAGGAAAGGTAGAACAAAGGTAGAAAGTTACATTAGTTATTTTAAATGAAAGCCCAAGGCACAAGATGAGAAATGTTGTCATCATGCAGTAATTTTCAAATTTTGAATTGTTCAAATTTCAATAGTTTGAAGACAGTTCCGAAAATTTATTTCTATCGTTTTATTGCAGATGCCATTTTATTATTATTTTTTTTGTCGGAAAAGTTTGTTTTATTGCCTTTTTTGGCCGGATAAGTTAGTTTTATTGCCTTTTTTGTCGGAGAAGTGAGTTTCAAACATTATTTAAAGCACTAGAATAAACTCACGGTTTCTGAGAGGTGCAGCAGCGTATGTGAGAGCTTATGAGCGATGTCAGGAGGGGCGGGAGAGAGCAGCACGTACTCCTGGAGGGGCTGGTGCGCGTACTTGCGGGACATCACCGTCAGGTCGTGCACATACTGCAGTAATTTATTTAATTTATATTAAGTTAATGCACATCACTGTTAACAATAATTGATATTAAGTTAATGCACATCACTATTACCGTTCATTGATATTAAGTCTGCACACAACTGTAATCATGCAAGCAGAGACTGAGATGACGGGAAGTTATAAGTTGTATATATATATTTATTAAATTACATTGATTTACTTTATATATAAGTTACAGACGGATTGTCGAGTAATGATGGAATTTCTTTATTATCATAGCTCTCATTAAATGATTCTTAAAGTCACTTGAGTCTGGACATTCACATTAAGCAAACTAACTTGAGTTGAAAATCATTTGCCTGTAAAATAAATTAAGATATGTGACGCAAATCCAAATTTGTTAGTGGAACTGTACCAATTCATTCACGCTGTAAACAAACCTTTTTATCTCCGAGTAGCTCGTAGGAATCGTGCTCCTTCTGTATGAGGTAAGAGAAAACTTCGACATGATCGTAAGCCGCAGCGTAGCAGATGGGAATTTTCCCCTCGTTTGTCTTGTCGGTGGTTTTGGCTCCTGCTTCTGTGAGTAGCCGCACTACCTTGATGTGACCCATCTTGGCTGAGTAATGCAGCGGCGTCCAGCCCTCCTGTCGTGAAATATTGTTACAAAATATTATATATATACAACCGATATATATATTTATATAAACAATTTATTATTTTTAGCGCATTTTCTCATTTATGAAAAAAATGCACTATTGTGCTCGTCGTGTCCGTCTGTCTGTCCGTCTGTCCGTAACTTCACGTTTTCGTCGACGAGAAAATGCGCTCTCAGACTCTAACACTCACTGCAATGAGTACTGAGTTATATTTTTTATTAAATCTTTAGATAATTCAGACTGACTTTCTATTATCTAAAATTTATCGGAAATTTACAATTCTTAACCTCATGAAAAAGAATCCCTCAAGTTCACAGCGTCGCTCAAAGTGACATGTATACGTAATTGATATTCACGGACCCGATCTTTGGCTCCGAGGTCCACTCCTTGCCCCATGAGCAGCGCCACCATATCGTAGTGACCGTGAGTGGCCGCTATGTGTAACCCGGTGCGACCTTTTTTGTCGGCAATGTGAACCTGCGGGAAGAATGCTGATGTTGATGAATAATATGTTGATATCAAGTTATAAGGAACATAGAAGTTCAATAATTAAATAATTGATGCTTACATGCAACAATGTAAATGATGCATCCAAGAAAAGTGTCATTGTATCTATCGAAGGAGAACGATATTTTTCAATTGTTGTAGAAGGTAAAGTGTTAGCCATAAATTCCAAATTGAAAATAAAAAGTGAACAAATTTTCATTCTTGAAATTCTCTTGCAACTTTATAAATTAAATTTTATGAGCTAAAGATTAACGTACAGACTTACATTCAATACAGTCAATCCAGTTAACAATCAATATAAATATTTAATAATAATCAATATCAACTAATTGATGATAATTGACCTCCCTTTGTTCATGTACGGTTCATTTCACACCTGCTTGGCTGACTTTGACAGGAGGAGCCCCACGACGTTCGTGTGGCCGTTGATGCACGCCATGTGTAGGGGGATGTAGTGCTGTAATATTGACATTATCAAATCTCAAAGTACTCAAAGTATTACAACGCTATCACGGTAATGATTCAATCGTAATGAGTTAGGCAAAGAAAAAACAGAACAGTTGTCAAACACAACAGTTCGAATTTACACAAACGAACTATTTTCCAAACATCTGACTAGCATACATGAAGTGCAATAATATTGAGATTATTAAATCTCGAAGTATTACATGACTATCACGGTAAAATTGCAATCATAATGAGATAGGCAAAGTATAACAATAACAGTTGTTAAGCAAAAATGTTCGAATGTACAGAAACGATTTATTTTCCAAACGTCCGAGTAACATACATGAAGTGCAATAATATTTAGATTATTAAATCTCAAAGTATTACATGACTATCACGGTAAAGTTGCAATCATAATGAGTTAGGCAAAGCATAACAGTTGTTAAGCAAAGCAGTTCGAATTAAAAAAAATCATCCAAACGTCCGAGTAACATACGTGAATTTTAGACTTGACGTCAGCGACGACGCCCGGTGAGTTGAAGAGGACGCGGATGACGTTCTCGTTGCCCTGGTGGGCGGCAAGGTGCAGGGGCGTGAGGTCAGACTCTGCCCCGAGCTCGGGGATGAACGGCTTGCCGCCCTTCGCCGCGGGAGGCATCGACTTTATTGTCGCCGGCATGTGGCTGATGAGCTCACGCAAAATTTCTGCCCAAGTTCAATAGGTATAAAAATTTCTGCCGAAATTCAAACCGTGCCAACATTTTTTCAACTGATGCGACTGTACTTAAATACGAGTAGAATTAACTTTGAAATTTATTTGGGCTTACAAACGAGTAGAAAAATTATTGAAATTATCTAGAGGGTATTCCAAGAGAAAACGGCCACCATTCTCTCACTCACCCGTCTGGCCGTAGTGAGCCGCGATGTGTAGAGCCGTCATGCCGAGTTTCCTGCTGAAGATGCCGAGGTCTTGGTGCGTGTAGCCCAGCGAGTTAATCACTTCGAGGTGGCCGTATCGTGCCGCTAAATGCACCGCCGTTAAACCTTCCTGCAGCACAAAACATTAATCATACCAAACAATTGATGCGAAGAAACAATTATTGTGCACTGAATTAAAGAAGTGATATAGTTAAGTCGGGATCTTTTGAGAATTAGCAAGAAGGTACCAATATTGAATGTTTACCCCGTCTTCCAAGGTAGCCGACGCTCCGTTCGTGACGAGAAACTCGACGAGCTCCGCATTTCCACCTTCTGCCGCGAGGTGCAGCGGTGTACTGTAGCTGCGGTTGCGCCCTCCCGTCACCATGCTGGGGTTGTGCTTCATCAGCTCTCGCACCACGTCAACAGACCCGCGCAAGGCAGCGATGTGTGCGCATGTGTTGCCGTCCTGAGTGGCAACAGATTCAAGAAATTGTGTTATTGGAGATTGTGGATTGAAGGGTCCTATAAAATAATATTCAATTCAATGACAAGTTTGGAGTAAAGATGTATAGATTTTGTATAGCGGTTTGAAAGCAGCCCCGCCTCTTGGCATGGGGGGGAGGGGCAAAGAAATTGAGCGACTGGTCCGTGATCTCGGAGTGTTGATGTGGCAATAGTTGCAAAAGGCAGACAACAGAGAAGCGGCGCTAATTTTTACACTTCTCAGAGCCTCGTGTTCTCCATTGTGGAGTACTGCTGTCAGCTTTGGGCGTCTCTCAAATCGGGCGTGGTGCGGCAATTGGAGGCCGTTCAACGAACCTTCACGTCCAGGATCAGCAGGATAAGAGACCTGCGCTACTGGGCTAAGTTGAACTGTACTCACTGGAGCGAAGAAGGGAGAGTTATATCGTACTGTCCACTTAAAGGATGATAAACGAACTGGCCCACAACTTTGAAAGGGAGACCTTCAGAATAGTGACGTATCACGAAAGGAGCTGAGACTGTGCATAATACACCCACTTGACAACCGAGCTGCGGTAGTAAAACCGTATTTCAAACTCTTCGACAGAATATCTTCCCGTTCAGTGGCTGTTCAATGCCTTGCCGAAGTAGTTTAGAGAAGGGAAGTTCACCCTTGAGACATTCGAGAGACGACTGAATGCGTTTTTGAGAACTATCTTGGATCTTCCGTCTATGCCTCGCTAGCAACAGTATTTTTCAGCAGCTGGCTCAAATTAGGGCTAAAGCGCGGTGGTCACGTTCAACGTTACTTCCGGGCCTCGGTAGCGTGCGTCCTGTCTATCGACGGTTTGGAGACGGAAGACGACGAAGGCGGCGCATTAGCGTGGCCTTGGACCAGGATGTCCTGAATTTAACATAGGGGCATAAGGATACTGATTTAATTTGACCATAGGCTGGGAAAGTCAATACGACCGTACGTGATTCCCAGACGGTCTTTGCCTTGAGCTTACAATTACGAATGTTCTAATCGAAGACTAACGTAGTACACAAAGGCTTTGTTTACGAGCTGAAGAAGTCCTCACAGTCTGAAGCAAATTTTCAAGTTTTAATTAATGTCTGTATAAGTATTTTGGTAATATATTCGGAATTTCAGCAAATTCCACATGAACTTGACCCATTGTCAAGAGTTACCATTGAAACAGCAATTATTACATCCTTCAAAAATTTGACCGTGCAAACGACCAAAACTTAAAAATTAAATTAAATTCCTCAAGTAATTGAACATGAGCCACAATAATTTTATTAATGATGAGCTTAAGGTTCAACTCGAGAGTAACTACGAGATTTGATCAAATCTATACGAATAACTCAGAGGAGCTCAATCAGGGCAAGAATGCCAGTTGAATAAGGAAATTATTCAGGAAACGAACTCATGCTCCGTGGGAATTCGTCCTACGTGCGGGTTAAGAGAACGGCCGTTATCAATCGCAGCGATAATCTTGATGGTCAAAGAGCTCCATCAAGTGCCTCCTTGAAGCTGATAAATAGCGAGCCGGCAAATTCGCTGACAGTCGCAGTAGGCAACTCGGTAATGTGTACGAGTTACTTAACGCTCCGCTATTGAAGAAAATTGTTTACAGCTGTTAGCCCTAAAATCTATTTTTGAAAATCAGAATTCAAAATTTCATTTTCCTCGATATTGTTTAAAGCTTTCAATGTATGCGGTGGCGGTGCCCTATTAATATACTGTAACTATTGAACTACACTTTATACATTTGATAACGTTTTCTGGTACAGGTATACTATTTAGAGTTTTCGTAACAACTTAAGTGAAGTAAAAACTTCGGTGCAGCCTGAAGGCAACGAAGTACTGATGAAACATGAAATTAAAAGTGACGATTGTTGCGGCGATTCTATGGGCATGCATGCTACAGGGTGAAGGCTTCAAAATATTGATCGCGGCACCGGTAACAACGATCTACGTCAAGGATTCACTATGTGCCATAGCAAGAGCCCTCATCAACAACGGCCATCAGGTGTCGATGATCACTCCTCTTGTTCCTAATTTTGCTCACAAAAATCTCAAAGTCATAAAAATTGTGCCCAAACTTAAATTCCTTCAAAATGTTAATTTATTTACTTTAAATTCATCGATCCTGGAAGAACATACAACAAAAGTGCTCGCGGCGACCGCAGAAGCCATGTGGGAAGGACTACCAATGCGAAGAGAGATGGGAACTTTCGCCAGTTTTGACGCAGTAGTGATCCCTAAATTTCTCAATGAGCTCATATACCCATTCTTGGACGACTTCGACGGAGTTTTCTTAACATTTACGACCCTAGGGGCCGAACACTACGCGGTGTCCCACATGCATGGACTGGAAGTAGGATATTGGTTCGTCAAATCACTACTTGATGGTCCCTACGTTGGTTCTCACTCGTTAACCGAAAAATTCATACTGAGTATTCTGGAATTGAGTGACCATAACTTCAATCACTCCAAAGTTCATCCTTCTGCATCGGATGCTATTAAGAAGTATGACTCACGTTCTATTGACTTTGAAGAGTAAGTATGGTACGGGGTACTGATATACGCATGTAAATGAAATAGGTATCATTGTTAAATCCCGTCACTGAATACGGAATTGCTAAGAAGCTCATTAAATTTTTCATTACATGTTCTTTAAATAATTTTATAACATGAAACCGCAGAACTAAAGAATTACAAGTCCTGTTTAGGTATGAAGAGAAAAGCCGCCTTCGCCTGCTAGATGGTCACTGGCTGCTGGACGGTCCCTTGGCGCATACACCAGCAACAGTGGAGGTTGCTTCGCTTACGGCCAGAGATGGCCAGCCGCTGCCAGACGTATGTGCTTATTCATTATAATGTCATATTATGCGATACTATGATAATACTTAGTTTAAAGCGTATTTGCATAGGATATTAAATAAATGAAGATCCTATATAGCTATGGCCCAGTGGTTAAAGTTCAGAGTACCAAGATTGGCGCAGAGAGGCGCGGGTTCGATCCCAGCTCTGTGCGCCGGTTTCTAGTCAGAATCGGCGAGGAGGCCGGGCGGTTAAGCACAGCAGAATTGTAGAAGTGAGTTGCGAGTTCGAGACCGCAACAAGCTGTGAATGTTCTGCGATGTTGAGAATCGGCGACAGGCCTACGGCCTAATAACGCTGAAGCCGCTATTATTATTATTATTATTATTCTTTATTATTATATCATTGTTCTGCTTAAATCGCAACTTTGATGATGACATGAGGAATTTATTAGTCGTTTTCTCAGTTTATAAGTAGTTGATAAAAGAAGATCTTTTTCTTCTTCATGATAGAGTGGATACTCTATAATTGAAGAACAACTTCACTACTCTAAGAAAATTGCAATTTATTTTGTAATGGGCATTCGAAATGAGATTAATTTACATTACACTAATGGAAATACGGAGGTGAAAATTACCTATTTCCATTATTTTCTTAATGATTCCACAGAGCCTCGAAAAGTTCTGGAGGTCGAACTCATCGCAGGGAATAATATACGTCAGTTTCGGTTCTTACCTGAAAAGTTCATTCATACCAACGCACCTAAAGGTAGGTCAGCTTAATTAATATAGCTGATACAGAAACTAGTTTTTACTCGCCAAAAATCGAAAACGATATATTTAGAGTTTTTTTTAGAGTGAGATTCTTCAGTAAAAATATTTCAAAATATATTATGAATGGAATCAACGGGAATAAAGACCTGCATGGCCCTGCTATTTTTAACCGAGATCCTCTGTAGAAGGGTACATAAATTACGTGCCTTCATCTATGGAAGGTACGAGCTTTATAAATTGTTAATTTCACATTGTATTTTCCTTCGGCACTGTAAGGTTTGTTCGGTTCGTGGGATCTGAGTACGCGAGTTTTCTTGATCTTCTAATTAAAATCGTTTTCTATTGAAAATAGTATTGCACATGAGTAAACGATTTCAATACTTTAATTCCAACACGAACAAATAAGATCTAAACCCGTTTTAAATATTAAGAACATGATTTCTAATTAAAAGACGTACAAATTGTTCACTTCAACCAGGTAATTTGAAAGCCAGCATCGAACTGCAATAATATACGTGGATTAAAATCGACTGTAACTTAGTTGTGTACGACACACAAGCACCACAAGAGAACGATTTAGCCAAAATATTCACACTTAATGACTATTAAATTCAACAGGCATCAACTCAATTTTTGATGTGTCTCAAACAGATCAATCAAAAATGACGCAAAAATTGCGATTTTTCTCGTATTAACTACTTATTAATAATTCAATGAGTCTCATTAATAATCTTTTAATAAATTTAATAATTTGTCAATTTTAATTTGTCAATTTGTCATAATAATTTAATAATTTGTCAGCACACTCTACTGCAAGCGTTCAGCAGCCTGCCCCATCGAGTGGTGTGGCAATACGACGGAGTTGATCTCGACTTACCGGCCAACATCTTCCGTCAAAAGATCCTGCCGCAACAAGATCTTCTAGGTCACAAGATCTATAATTCCCAGTGACTATTTCTAAATTATACACAATAATTTTGAAAGTGATATTTAAAAATAGAATGACATTGTTTCTGGCTTCCAAACAAGAATCGAACAAATAAGCTCAACCCTTTCACATTAGAAGCAAACTTAGATGAAATTATTGTACTAATACATTTCCAGTGTGTTATAGCAGTTGAAGATCAATAGAGAGGTAAATCAAATGATCACAAACGATCATCTTCTGAAAGGTAATATCAATAAAATGCAGGGGACAACCGGACGCTGCTATTCATCTCGTACTGCAGCGCGTCTGCGATGCGTGAGGCGGCCTATCACGGCGTGCCGGTGCTGGCTCTGCCCATTGCACTCGACCAGCACAAGAACGCCAAGAAACTTGAGGCCCTTGGGGTGGCAAAAATTCTCGACTGGCGAACGGTTACTGCGGACCAGATTGTCGGAGCCGCTACTGAACTCACTACTGATAAAATGTGAGTATTTAATTCATATGGATTGTTAAAATTTATTTGTAAACAACAAAAGAATACCTTAAGTTTTGTTGTGCAAGTCAATTTTGTTGGAGATGTTTAGTATATTATAATGAATACAATTTAATTTATGACTAAAAATGCCAGTGGAAAACGTACGGGATTCGAATTGGAAAAGAGATTAGGTCATCAAAATGTGTGTACGTAAGGGACCTGCTGAGAACCTTTCACATACAAGCTGCTGTTTTTTGGCTACTTTCCCGATGAAATACATGCATAAAATTAGGGGTAGTTGACCAAAGTTATGTGGATCTTATGCCGAAGCTGAGCGATGTGTATAAAAAATTAAAAAATCATCGAATAAAAAAATTCCTTTCCTCAAAGGTTCGCTGAAAAGATGCGCGAAATTTCTCGCGTATTGCGTGACGAGAAGGAGCGACCAGGTGACGTAGCAGCCGGGTGGGTGGAGCACGCCATACTTCACAGGGAGGCACCCCGCCTCCAGCTGCCCTATGGGCCCGAGCAGTTATGGGTCCTGGGGGACCGAGACCTGAGGATGCTGTGGGCAGCTACTGCTGGGGGACTCGGCTTTTTACTGGGAGTGATTTTGACAATGATTTATGTATCTGTCTGCCGCTGCATCAGAAGATTGAGGCATAAGGAAAAATCAGAGTAGTCGTGTGTAACATTTGGAGTATTTTTGTTTTGTAATTATTTGCAAGCTTCCAACTTCGACAATGCAGCATCGTTTCGTGTACTTACAGTGCTTGAACAATCGAGAAAATGAATGCTTAATTATACATTAACCCACTGGAGTTAAATTGTTTTTACTAATTTCTAGAAGGACTTCTAAATTTGTATGATAAGCCCCAGAATGTGAATTAATAAGCCAATAAAATCTGTCTTTCCCAACTTGTTCGACGCATGCCAATTAACCTTTGTTTCCCATGTTCATTTTTTCATAACATAACAAAGCATATTGATGTCAGCGCTGAAGGCTAGGCCTGATGTGGCCTGTCGCCGATTCTTGTACTTTTCGTGACTTGTTCACAAGAAATCAAAAAATATGTCCTTTGACCGGAACTTTTCTAAATTGACAATAGTTTGAAATAGCTACTAGACTTCCACAAGATTTGACATGGTGCTAGGCATTTTAAGTGTGAACAATTATTTTTCCATAGCTTTTTCTCCATAATTTTTAAAACTTATTCTCCTTCAGGCAACACTTCTCATTGCTTGCTATCGAATACTATTCCATCGTTGGAAATATAATTAAACGATGAAGCAATAACACATTTTTTCGTTGTGTTGGTTTTTAATACTAGCTTTGTGATGGAACTCAATTTCTAACAGACTTTCGTTCATCTTTCTTTATGGAATGTTTCACCATAAACTCGAATATATCACTATTACCTTTTTGCCCTCGACAAATGAAAAAAATTTAGATTTCACATAATACGAAATCCTTGATCAGATTCTCCCGAATTTGTTAAGCCGCCTGTCCTTGTCAGCTATGGATACGAGCTCTATTTTAATCAGCCTAACCTTATCAGCTGGGGAGAAGAGTTCAGTTTTAAGCCGCCTAACCTTGTCAGCTGTGGAGACGAGATCTGTTTTAAGCAGCCTGACCTAGTCAGCTGTGGAGACGAACTAAGGCTTAAGCCGCCTGACCTTGTCAGCTGTGGAGACGAGCTCCGGCGACAGCTTCAGAAAATGTTTGACCACGTCGGAATGGTTGCGCATGGCTGCGAGATGGACGGCCTTCTTGCCCTCCTCGGTGGTGGCGTTTGTGTCGGCGCCGAGCTGCAGGAGCGTCTCGATCACCTCGAGCTGGCCGTGCTCTGCAGCCAAGTGCAGCGGGGTTTGTTTCGTCTGAGAAGTGGAAGGATATTATTATTTTTCCTGAAAATAAACTCGTTTCCATGACATGCATGAATTTGCATTAGTAAATTTGATAAAATTTTATAATTACACACGGTTGAATAATTTCAGAAGTCACAAGAAATATAAAGGCATGAATGGTCAATTGGCAAAAATGATTTTTAAGTTGAAGATAAGGTTGATTTGTACTCAGGTGAAGTAAGGGAATTTACTTTTCAACTAATAAAAGCAACATCCTTGACATTACTACTTGTAAAAAATGAAATCATCTATAACTGAATAGCCGAAAGACCAGAGTCTTTTATCATCAGTCTTTTCTTGACGATGAATCGTTGAACTGGAATGAAACTATCCTACCATCATCATCGTATTTCTGCTTCACTCTTCAAAATCGCGATGGATCTTATATTTTTGGGCGCTGTGCTCAATGATGAGATCTTACATTTGATAAAGGATCTTTCTGAGCGCTGTGCTCGATGATGAGATCTTACATTTGACAAGGGATCTTTCTGAGCGCTGTGCTCTATGATGAGATCCTTGACAAGGAAGGTGTAGCCGCCGACCGCTGCGAGGTGTAGAGCAGTCAAGCCTGCCACGCTACGGGCGTTCACGAAGGCCTTGTGAGCCAGCAGAGCGTCGCTTACCTGTACAGCGGCAATCACTCATGAATTACTCACAATCACTCATGAATTACTCGCAATCACTCGTGAATTACACAATCACTCATGAATTACTCGCAATCACTCATGAATTACTCACAATCAGTCATGAATTATTCACAATTACTCATGACTTACTCACAATTAATCATGAATTACTCACAATTACTCATGAATTACTCACAATCACTCATGAATTACTTACAATCTCTCAAAAATTAATTACAATCACTCATGAATTACTCACGATCACTCATGAATTACTCGCAATCACTCATGAATTACTCACAATCACTCACGAATTACTCACAATCACTCATGAATTACTCACAATCACACATGAATTACTCACAATCACTCATGAATTACTCACAATCACTCATGAGTTACTCACAATCACTCATGAATTACTCACAATCACTCATGAATTACTCACAGTCATTCATGAATAACTCACAATCACTCATGATTTACTCACAGTCACTCATGAATTACTCACAGTCCCTCATGAATTGTCTGTTAGCCCTTATCGAGTCGTCAGCTAAATACTTGAACTTTTGCTTGACCAGCATCGTAAATTTTAATTAAACTTAGGGAACTTTCTACTTTGATTGGCGGGTATTTAAGAATCTCTAATTCTACATTAACTATAAAACTCAACCTGTAAATGCCAGAGTGTTCTTGCTAAGTTTTGGTGCAATTTATATGCGAAAAAGTGGCGACCTATATAACTTGTATCTTTCGCGGTCTTCAATAACTTCTAGTACGACCGCGTTAAACCTACCGTCTAAAACTTGCATATTGCAATTGCCGCGGCATTTCTAAAAGACCAGTACGTGCACTTATTTTGATTTATTAAGGTGAGCTGTGATAAGGGATTAACGCTATATTGATACTCTGAATTATTCGCCATCCTCAAAACTTCAAGTTACGGCCTCCATAAAGCAGACCGGGACGCTATTTTTTCTAAATTTGGATAACCTCGATTGAAAGAACAACTTCCTGTACAGCAGAAGATATCTGATTAAATCAGTTAAACTCCTTTCATTGTTGTCACTTGTTTCAAACCCTTGTTGAATTATTGCGATAGACTTCTAGAAGAGGATTTCCTCAAGCGTAGGGAGAAAATACCCTACACTGTCTCAAAGAAAACTAAATCAATAACCAATACCCTCAGTTTTTAGCAGGAAGCCCTCGTTTTGATTGGCTACCCTCGCTGACCGGCTCAAAGCCCTCGTGATGCCTGACTACCCTCACTGACCGGCTCAAAGCCCTCGTGTTACCTGGCTACCCTCACTGACCGGCTCAAAGCCCACGTGATGCCTGACTACCCTCACTGACCGCCTCAAAGCCCTCGTGTTGCCTGGCTACCCTCACTGACCGGCTCAAAGCCCTCGTGTTGCCTGGCTACCCTCACTGACCGGCTCAAAGCCCTCGTGTTGACTGGCTACCCTCACTGACCGGCTCGAAGCCCTCGTGTTGCCTGGCTACCCTCACTGACCGGCTCAAAGCCCTTAGCAGCGGCTAGGTGCAGCGCAGCGTTGCCGTCATGGTCGAACACGTCGACCCTGGCGTGGTTCTCCAGCAGGAGGTTGACGATGTTGAGGTGACCGCAGTCTGCCGCAGACAGCAGCGGCGACCAGCCTTTACGCGACGGCGCGTTCACGTAACTTTGAACCTTCAAACAGTCATTCGAGAGAATTAATTAAAAAACATGAATTACAGGAATGGTAGAATGAAAATAATTTTCTGAGGCCGCATGAATATTGTTAATATTCTATGTCTAAAATTCAATAAACTGTATAAAAAATAGTTTTAAATGTGAGCTCACTGAATTCCTCCTCATGAAAATCAAGAGGATGAGAACATTTGCATGAAATCCTGCATGTATTCCGATCTCAAGTCCAATTGATGTCGTGTTGCCTGGCTATTTACGAACAATTCAGGAAAATATTACTAAAGTCATCATTAGTGTAAAAACGCTTTCCGTTTTTGAGTTTGGGTTGCCGTAAGTCCGCGTTCAGGTTTTAGGATAACCACGGTTTCAACAACAAATTTCCTTTTATATTATGCATCATTAGCATCATCAACATTATTATGCATCATTAGCATCATCAACATTATTATACATCATTAGCATCGTCAATATTATTATGCATCATTAGCATCAATAATATTACAACCCACATTACCTTTGAAGGAGGCACGTGTGCTAGCATCTCTCTTAGCACAGCTTCGTTGCCGGAGACGCAGACATAGTGGAATGGTGTCTCCTTCGTCTGCAGCCCAGAATTACGAAATATTATGAAGAAATGTTTTATGAATAACCAATATTGAACATTAACAGCTTAACTTGGCATTGCCACTGATGCATTTGGTTTAACAAGTGCAAAATCAAATTTAAATGTGATCAAATGCTATCCTCTCCTTCGTCAAATCCTTTTAAATTTTCCCACATAGAAAAAAATTTAAGGTTTAGGTTATATCTCGACACGATATTAAATATCGAGTATCAGTATATTTGCGGTGCCAGGCTCCGAACACACCACCACAAACGCTCATACTTTGACATTTATACAAAGGAGTTACTGCCAAATGTCGCGTCCAGTACGCGTGCGACATACGCTTTTAGTTTGTAGCCATACACTGTTAGCGTAGCTGTATTCGGGGTCGCAGCCTCCTGCCATTCATTACAGTTTTGATGTTCCTAGGAGTTGAGCTTACGCTGAATTAATCTTTAGGTAAATTTGCTAGAATTGTCATATTGTCTTGTTGATATTATAGTAGTTAGTTTATAGTTCTCCAGTGTAAAGTAAAATCGTTTTCTTTCGTTTGGCAAAGTAAACTTAAATTCCCGTTGACAATTTTGAATTTAAAGACTATAGGGCACATACCATCCACAAAAGTTCCTAGTGATCTGTATCTGTTGCCACGTTCATATTTACTTTAGCCAGGAGTTGTGCGATACTAAGATATTGGTTTATTAATACCCATGTATATATGTACTTGGTAAAAATATTCAGTTTTGTATTTTCATTTGTTTTGATGTGCGGTATTTGTCCCGCAGTTTTACAAGAAGAAAAGGAAACCCGGAATGACTAAACTTCTTTCCTTATCATTGTTCCTGCCTGGCTCGATGAGGTGGCCGTTTGTAATTTAGCCAGGACACCAAATATTTATACAAGTTATCTCAATGATTATACAAATTATAACATATACTAAAAGATTGTATTGAAATCTATTAATAATTTTACGCGATTAAATCCCCTCCTCCCATCAGCGCAATCTCCCGTACGGTAGCAAGATTTCCCCTCATCTCCCTCATCTCCCCTCATCTCCCGTAAGGTAGCAAGATTTCCCCTCATCTCCCTTATCTCCCCTCATCTCCCGTAAGGTAGCAAGATTTCCCCTCATCTCCCCTCATCTCCCGTAAGGTAGTAAAATCTCCCCTCATCTCCCCTCATCTCCCATCGTCTCACTCATTTCCCGTAAGGTAGCAAGAGCTCAACCCGTTAACAGGTCCTCATGCGCACCTCATGCGTCTGGGCGCCGATGTTCTTGCCGTTGCTGAGGAGCAGCGCTGCCATCTCCTTAGACTGGTCGGTCTTGGCAGCGCTGCTGGGGACAATACGCGCCGTGTAGTGCAGCGGCGTCTCGCCCTTCAGGTTCTGGGGTGCAGAGTACGGTTTCATTATAACTTTGTTATAAAGTATATATCAGTACTACGGTATGTATTAGAATGATTTTTTAAACCGTCAAAACTCAATATGGACAGGAACGAGGTGATTATCTCCCGCTGTAGTCGGGTAAATGTGCTACCTTAATAATTTTAGGGTCTCTGCCTGCGGGCACTGCGATATGCGGATGATATGAAATCTACCAGAACTATTTCATATGGCCAGTATATATAATTGAATATTGGAGTAAATAATGAGAGATGACTTAATCCACATGGAACGACAAAATTCAATAATCCCACAACAGATTAAATTTAAAGAGCGTTGAAACTATAACAAAAAGTTTGGAATAAAACTAACGATTGATGCGCTGCTATTGACCACTATAGGTTTGGTTTTCCAGTTTTACTCTCCAGCCGCGTTTGGAAATGTGCTTCGACTTGAAATCTGGGGAGCACAGACCAAATATGGCTAACATTCAGCCGGCTACATCGCAAAGCTAGTCTCCGTTAGAAAATTATTAAATAACTGGTTATAATAGCGAGAAAATCTACTCACGGCCGTGTCGACGACGCTGGTCACGGCATCACGTCCGCTCTTGCGGATGGTGTACTCCAGGAGGCTCTTCGCCACGTCCACACGACACGTCTCGCAGGCCAGGTGCAGGGCCGTCTCACCGTTCTGATCAGCAATAATTAAACTTCAATTATTCAAAATTACGCTTTTTCATACAAAATTCTTAGTTATTCTCTAAATGGTAAAACTAGTAAATCATAGCATTATTGCGAACCTTTGGAAGCTCTCCGTGCATGTAGATGCTGGTGTTGTTGTTTTTTGTATTTGGATGCACGATTTTTTTCATAAATTCTAAATTCTAAGAGTCCCCTCAATTCGGTATAATTGAAACTTTTTTCGACATAACAGGACGAGAAAAGAGTTACTTTTAGCTAAATCGATCCGCAATAACTTATTCATGAGATCAGCTTAGGGACTGGAAAGATTACCTCGCGAGTGATATAGTGACTGGCGCTATTTGATTGTATATATAAATGAATTTAAAAATGTAAATCTCACCACTGACCGCAAATCGGACCACAGGGTGGCACCGCATACAATGACTGACGCTAATATATTGTTTATATAACACAACATTAGCAATGCAAGTTACGCCAGTGACCGCAGACCGGACTACAGGGTGGCACCACATACTTGGTATCTTGGTACCAGGTACCAAGTAAAATGACTGACGCTAATAGATTGATTATAGCATACAATGACTGACGCTAATAGATTGATTATATAACACGAAATTAACAATGCAAGTTACGCCACTGACCTCAGATCGGACTACAGGATCAGCGCCGTACTCTATAAGTAGCTTCATGACTCTGCTGTTGCCGTGATACGCTGCCAACATCAACGGCGTCTGGCCATCAAACTTCTGCAGGTTGGGGTCAGCGCCGGACTTGAGGAGCATTTCGGCGCACTTCTCGCCATCCTTCACTCGAGCTGCCAAGTGCAATGCTGACTCTTTGCCTGGTCCACCTAAAGAGGAAAATATTTAGCATGCTTTATAAAATTTTAGTGTCATAGGGTACGCACACAGTGAAAGCAGGTTTGCCCGCGCGGGCAACCTGCTCCAACCTTCCACAAGAATGAACATAGGGTAATAATGTAAGTGTTCACAGTGAAAACCTGTACGAATAGGCTTCTGTATTCTATGGTTTCAGGCGCCAGCCTGAGCAGGTAACCAGCACGCTGGCAACCTGCTTTCACTGTGTGCGTACCCTAAGAAACAAGTGGAACAAGCCATGATTTCATAAAGTTTGATGGACGAAGATCCCACCTATAAATTTGTCACGACTGAGGAGAAATACATATCATATTATAAACACTGTTCCGTTGTATCTCTCCGGAAATATATTTGTGTGCAACAACTGATATTAGTAGGGGAAATATTATTGATCATCAAAGACAAATTTGTAGATACGAAGAGCTTATTAGCATATAGCTAGAGTACGACTGTCGAAGTAAGCACCTCGCACGCTATTAGCGCCACAACTTTTTACATCGATATGATAGCAGGCACGTTCTCTTATGCGAGTAACTTAAAAGTCGCATTGAAAGTTGGAAGTCGAAGTCACGGCACGCGTAGAATTGTTGCTCATTAACCTATGCGGAATTTGATTACGTTGCAATAATCTATGTAATATTAAAGCTGAGTTGTGTCCAAAATTTAAATCCTCATAACTTATAGAGAAGTAAACGTAAAGTTTGGAATAGCCAGTCAAAAGAATTCGATAAACTCTAAAAATTATTCGTCTGAACGAAAATATTTTCGTTAGCGTAAATGAAGTGAATCACGAACTTAATGAAAGTTAGGGCAAGAATATTCGCTTGAGAATGTTCTTCATGATCCTAAAAATCTGCCCGCGAACCCAGCAAATACTCTAAAACAAATAAATACTAATTGATATAACTTGAAAAAAATCGATGTTAATACTCGAAATAATCATTGATAACTAACTAGATATCATAAACTTTGTTTAAATTGATTTATTTCCTTTTCAAAACCATCCGAAAAACTTTTTTTTTGTGTTACAGAATTGAACAAAATAATTTCATTTATTGAGTTTTTTTTTAAACCATCCGAACAACTTTTTTGCTCAAGAACAGCTTCGGAGAGTGCTATCGTGGACTGGAAATTTCGAACAACTTTACCTTGGATTTTCAGACTTGCGCCCCAACCCAGGAGGGTTTCGACCATGCCAGGTTTGTTGGCTTTCACCGCAATGTGCAGAGCTGTGTAGCCGATCTGCCCAAGATAAAAGTTTTGTTCGCATGTATGAAGTATAACACGATTCCTGATTACCAACCAACAAATTTGATTGGGTAGTTCCAGAAAGTTGGTGCCAAAGTGAAGCCCATATATATGATTATCGAATATTTCAAACATAAGTTTAAATACATATAAATGTATTTGGTTCTCTTTATAACATTCCTAAATGGGAGTGTTATGAATAATTTTTTACACGCCTCATCAAATTGAGATAACAGTGCTTTATATTTACCGATTGCAGCCATGAAAAAAATATAACTCAATACTCACTGCAGTGAGTGACAGAGAGCGCATTTTCTCGTTGACAAAAACGTGAAGTCACGGACGGACAGACGTCTAACACGGACGGACAGACGGGCATGACGAGCACAATAGTGCATTTTATTCCATAAACGAGAAAATGCGCTAAAAACAATTTCCCATCAATAGAAATATTATGCAGATGGTGAAAGTGACAAGTGATCCCTCTTACATTGGTGGGTACATCAACGTGTTCCCCTTTAGCCAGTATGGTGTTCACCACACCGATGTGACCAGCCTGCGCCGCGGTGTGCAGACATCGCGCCCCCTCCTTGTTCGGCATGTGCAGCGGCACTCCTAACATAGTAAGTTATCTTTTGTAATTATAATTTAACATTTAATTTAACTGATTTAACTAATTTTTAATTTAACTGATCATTCAGGTAACAGGTCATTTGTTTTTCTGAATGGCAACTTTCAGTTATGTTCTACCGAATGCCATCTGGATATTTACGTATCCCAATTAATTATGGCAAATTTATAATTGATTTGCATTGAATTTACGACAAACTTTACATGATTAGAAGTGCAAAAAATCTTGGAACTAAACATTTGTTTCGATTAATTCAAAACTTGAAGCGCACAAATGAAATTTTTCTTCATTTACATTCCATTCGTTTGTGTTCATTGTTTCCTCAGCATGATTACCTTTTTTAAGAAAGCTGAGTACGGTGTCGGGGTGGCCGTGCAGAGATGCAATGTGAGCGAGGGTGGATCCGTCCTTTGTTCTCTCCATGACCGAGGCTTTGAACTTGTCGGACAACAGCTCCACGATGGCCGTGTTGCCATGCTCGGCCGCCGTGTGGATGGGAGTTCGTTCTGATCAGCAGATGCAACATGTTTAGACAGCAAAATTTTCTGTTTGCTAAGATTACATTTTACTTTTTATAGGAAGCAAAATGCAATCAAACCCGAAAAAACACCACTTACTGAAACATTATGCATTCGAAGTTGGAAATGAAAATGAAACAACATCAAACAAAAATTAGGCAGGAAAGGAAAATCTTTCCGATCGTAAAGTTCATAAGCCCCAGTCGCGTAAGTAAGAAGATAAATAACCGAAGCCAGGTTGGAAGCTAAAACTTTTCTGCATACTAAGTAACAATTGGAAAAGTAAAACGATAAACAACCAAAATAAGGTTAGGAGGGAAAACTTTCTTGGTATCAAAAGTTCAAATTGCACAACTATAATTGTGTATAACTACCATCGTGTAATGTTGCTCTAACGAACAGCGCTGAATGACACTTAACGCAGCGTCCGATTTATGGACGCTGCGTTGATAATATTGAGTCGATTCATTACTATCCTCGCGTCTCACGATTATTTATGAAAAGAAACTTTTCAATCTCGTGTTTTCTAACAGAATAATTTTGTTTAATAAATGACACATATACCGGTAATTCATTAATAGTTCTTTGTAGTGCTTTGAAACTAATTGTTTATTGTCAAAGGTTTAGCAGCAAATGTTCGTTACTTTTAAAATAGTGACCTCAGCAGAACTGCCCATTGTATTTTTTAACTAAACGACATCTTCAATAAAAGAATATGGGAAAGTTGTTGAATTTTAATGAAGGCTAAAAGAAGCATATATTAATTATTTCGTGCTCTAGAAACGTCACGAGAAAAGGCCGCTGAAGAGAATATAGTAGTCATGGACGATCACCTGAGCCAAGTTGACTTCTGTTATTTGGCACAAAACAGGAGCCGTGGCGAGGTCAGGTCGAGGGGGAAGGGAGGGAGGGGAGGCAGGAGAGGGAGGTCAGGTCGAGAGGGATGAGAGGGGAGGTCTTCAGGTTGGATCGAGGTCACGCAAAACACGGACTTATTATAGATGGTGCCGTAAAATTCTGCACTATTTGCTTGCATTGCTAATATATCTGAAAATTTGGGGTAACGTATCTAAACAAGTTTTGAATCAGTTCAAGAACTTTTCTTGTTAATGAGTCAGTTGTAATCGACATTGATGTTCACATTTCGCATGTGTAGTAAAAATTCATACATGAATTCAAGTGATATTAGAGCTATACGAGCTGCACTGGTGTTGGAGTAAAAAATAACTCTACGAACTGCACTGGTGTTGAAATTAAAAATAACTATACATACGAGCTGCACTGGTGTTGAAGTCAAAAAATAACTATACGAGCTACACTGGTATTGAAGTAAAAAATAACTATACGAGCTGCACTGGTATTGAAGTCAAAAATAACTATACGAGATACACTGGTATCGAAGTTAAAAATAACTATACGAGCTGTACTGGTTTAGAGCCACCACAATATCTACGGGCGACGCTTGATGATGCGTGTACGATGACTGTAATGTTGGGTCGTCGCGTAATCTACTTACCGCGCTTAGCAGATTAAAAAGGTCAAGGTTCCTTAGCAAGTGAATTTGTCTCTTGAAATTGATTTAAAGCGGAAACATGACATTCATAGTGACAATTTTGACCATCGTATCTTGAACTGTTCGAATGACGTATGTTTTCATCGCAACAACATATTCCGATCCCTCATTTGTTAAATTAGAATAGAAAATGAAATCGATCTATTAAAAAGAAATGGGAACTGACGATAGATTTCGAAACTTAGTTTTATGCGATGTTGTGGTTGAAATGCACGACTCACCTTGGTTGTCGACGATGTTTGGGTTCATGTGGATGTTGTTCATCAGGACTCACCCTGGTTGTCGACGATGTTTGGGTTCACATGGATGTGGTTCATCAGGACTCACCCTGGTTGTCCACGATGTTTGGGTTGATGTGGATGAGGTTCATCAGGACTCACCCTGGTTGTCGACGATGTTTGGGTTGACGTGGATGTTGTAGAAGAATTTAGCTGTTGCGTCGTCACCCATTTCAGCCGCCACGTGTAGCGGCGTTTTTCCGGCGGCCTGAAATTGTCGCCATCATGATAATTCCGATTAATTTTTCTAACGAGTCTTCGACAATTCTATTGAACTTCCACATCAAAGCCATGAAAAAATAATGAAATTTAAATCTATTCAATTTCATTATTTTCATTATAATTGAAAGCAAAAATAGAGTATTTAAATGTAAAGATAATTTTCTTTATATTTTCCACATTAATTTCTGATATCATTCGCAATTCAATTGATTTCTTTTGCCTGACGTGCGGCAAGCAGTTGACGCGACCTAAGGTCACGCACATTAGCTGCTTTGTACGAAATCAGGATGTCATTTGGCTAAGTGCAGCGATCGTTACGTGCAGTATTTCCTTGTACTTTGTTTATTACTTAGAGCAGTTCTGGCCTTTAGGAGGTCATCAGCAGTAATAGAGCTCGGAGGTATGTAAGGCTAGGAATTGTGACTCATCTTCTACAGAAGTCTAGTTGATAACTGTTCCTTGACTTTGGTCTTTAGGAGGCCAACAGTAGTTAGGGCTTGGTGATCTTAATTTTATCTATCAACATCAATGTTGGTGATCTATCAACACTGTGATTTCTTGGAAAGCATTCAATAAAAGTCACTCATACAAGGATCAGAGCTATAACAGAGTGTAATTGATACTATACACTGACCAGCGTTGCTCTATCTTTGCTGTATGAGGAACGGGTAAGTGCGCTCTGTACGCGTCATTATCCGAGATAATGTTACCCTATATTGCCAACGAATGCAAATACTGTCTTTATGCTTAGTATTTAATAGTAATCGGATGATTAATTCGTGATTGAAGTCTCTGTACACGCGGCATTAGGGAGTGCATGAGGCATTGTGTCAATAAAATAATGTCACCTTCGCTAGAGGCAATTCGTGACCCCGAGAATAATGGCTGGTCGGAAGCTAGCAGTTTGTCTACACAGGAAGTCGTAACTCTATTTGAGTTAGTTTACCTGGCGCCTGCTCCTCGTGGAGAACGATCAGCCAGAACAAAGACCTGAGGTGGGCCTACCAAAAGTGATTGCTTCCTGCTGGGACAAGAGCTTCAGGGCGCGAGACTATTGACGCTCTTTACCATTGAATAAAGGCACATATCAGGACGATGGTTTGAAATGATAGAGTTAATGAATCTCGTACACATTTTTAGCATATAAAACCTTACTTTAAGGGAAAATTTTTATTGGGGGGGGGGGGGCGGGGGCGCAATCGGTAATCAAGGATGATACCAAAAAAATCCTATAAAAATCTTAGTTTAAACAATATTTGTGCATGATTAATAAATTATCTTCCACTGTGAGTTCATTGGCCTCCTAAGCGCAAATAATTAAAAAAAGCATTGATTACATGATTACAATTAATTTATTTTATATATATAAACGATAAAAGTATATTTTCTCGACCACATCCGGCGATCACACCTACATTTTTAGCGTCGACGATGCTGCCGGCGTCGACCAGGACCCTGGCGAGCTCGGTATCCTTCTTCCAGCAGGCGATGTGGAGCGCCGTGTCTTTGGTCTTCTGGCGACTGTCCCGCACCTGCTCCCTGGCGTGGTGGAACAACAGCTCCTTCACCAGACCTGAGTTGCCTGCCTCGATCGCAGTGAACAGTGGCAGATCTCCTTTCTGTTCATGGGAGAAAAATATGTTTTAACGATCGCAGTTTCTGGCCTCGATCGCAGTGAACAATGGCAGATCTCCTTTCTGTTCATAAGAGAAAAATATGTTTTAAAGATCGCAGTTTCTGGCCTCGATCGCAGTGAACAATGGCAGATCTCCTTTCTGTTTATAGGAGAAAAATATGTTTTAACGATCACTGTTTCTGGCCTCGATCGCAGTGAACAATGGAAGATCTCCTTTCTGTTCATAAGAGAAAATATATGTTTTAACGATCGCCAGTTTCTAATTGGAAATAACAATAGTACGTGGTAATAGCGTTATTAATATTTATTCAGTTTCGTTTGGTGCTTGTCACTTTTTTATACGTGTGGGGAATAACCTTTAGGTATACAAAAATTAATAAAGAAATTACAAAATAAAAAATAATAACGGGGAGAAAAACTTTAAATGCGACAGCGAGTTTCTGATTTCTGATATTAATAGAGGGGACTATCAGCTTTATTGGACATGTACTCATTTTAGTTAGGTATTTTTTCGCGGTGCTATGCAAGTGCTATGCACCCACACGGAGGTAGATCATATGGCATTCAAAACCGATATTGAAATGCTGCGCTATTTACTTAGGAGTTATGATAATTAATTTGGAAATTTTAAAACTTAATACCGTGCATAATAAACTTGAAAATATTAAGGATAAAACTTAATTTTTTAAATCGAAAAAGGAAAATTGTTTCTTCTAGGTAATGTGTTTCTAATAAAAAGAATTTTTTTCAATGAAAACAGCAATAACATTACAGAAGAACACAATATGTGTAACAGTTTTATGGTGTATAATAATAATAATAATAATAATAATTATTATAATAATAATAATAATAATAATAATAATAATAATACTTACGTTATCTTTGACAAGTCTTAGCTCAGGTTTGCCGTACATTAGGATAACTTTCATGAGCGAGACCGCGGCGCCGATGCTGCGACCTGCCACCAGGTGCGCCACCGTCTGTTCTTTAGGCTGCAAAAACATGACAATTTCTCTTTATTTCTGAACGTGGCTGGATGCGAAAAATTCTATTTAAAAACTCGCTAAATTCTTAAGTATAACGTTGAACAGGTTTAGTTTTAGGCAACAGGTATTATTTTCACATATATTCATGCATAGCAACAAGGCACTAGTTCACATATGTGTTCACATAAACTCTGGCTAGTATCTAATTTCAATCATTTAACTAAATTTGTATCACAACACAGACAGAAAGGACATTGAAGCCATCCACGATTATTAACTAAGGCAGACATGTTAGAAACTAAGCTCTCTAAAAAACCAAGGGTCTGGACACTTGGAACATACGAGTATTGACACCTAAAACTGCATGATATATACATACATGTATATATGATGTATTACAATGATATTTAGAAGGACCATGCGTATTTTAACATATTCATGCATGTATGGAACGATATTCTAATGAACGTTGGAGAAAATAAAAACGAACAACCAGTCATTGAAGGCTCAAATATTAAAAGATTATGTCGAAAAATTCATAAGAGACTTAGGCATCTTGCATGTGCAAAGGTTTACAAACTGAATAGACTGATTCATTTTCTTTTAAATTAATTTTTGGAAAGATTATACTAAATCTGCCCGAGTGCTGGACACATTCTAGCAGAAAGTTGAGCATGCATTACACAATAACAGTGATGTCAAATATACACGGCGGTGTCACTCAAGGAAGTGATGCGAAATATTATATATATTACATTACTATAATGAATATATGAATATATATACGCAGTGATGTCACACGAAGACATGGGTGCCAAACATATACAAACAGAACATCAAAAAATGAAATAATGGGCTGTTATTGATTGTTCAATGCACAAGTACAAGCAAACAAAACGTTTAGCACATTACAGAGAAAAACACAAGAGAACACGCATGCTTGTTCTATTATATTATATTCCATACGCAATAAAATCCTCAGACTTCTTACAAAAATATCTATATAAAAAATAATCGTCAAGAACACGATACAAAATTCAAAATAAATGTGTAGATCAAAATCGATGCTGATTCGCCCGGAAGAGTCTGCAAAAATGTTAAAACCGTAGAATAGTAAAAAATATTTGAAGATTCCGAGTCGCTTCACAAGATGAAAGAAAAGTGTTCTGTGTTAAAATGTGTGAGATATTTGAAAATACTCCGCTATTTGATCTTGATTTTGATACAATCAAAAGGAGAAATGCTCAGATTGAGGGGATCAAAACAGGTGCGGAATGTACAAGGTGTCATTTTTTCGTAACGAATTTTCCTAGGATGCAAGTAGCTTGGGTGCATTTTCTAGAAAACTTGAGTTGCATTTGAATTGAAACGTTTACATTTAAATTCATAGAACATTTAAACATATAGATTGTTTAAATTAAGATTCAGTCATCAAATGGTACACGTAGAGGTTCGAACTATCAGTGAACGATCACCGAAGCTACTTGTACCCCAGTGTAATTTAAAGTCAAAATCCGCAATTATATCATGGCTGTTATATGACAGCGAAAAAGCATGGAAATAGATACGCAGTACAGATGCGAGAGGGAAGTAAGGTAAATGAAATGTTTGCACGTTATTGAATACATCATGTTTGCCAGTCTTGGATTTGGGAGGAAGAGGCCTGGAGACGACGTGGTGTTGAGGTCGCTGGGGCAGCGCTCGCTCACAAGCGATGTGAAGTAGCGTTTGTTCGAACGGCTGCGGGAACACACCACTCAGCAACCAATAATTTCATATAAATTTATTAAAGAATCTGTGAGTTTGTTTGGAGGCTATAAACTTATACAGTATATGCAGGAGATGTTCGTTGCACGTTTGTTCGAACGGCTGCGGGAACATACCACTCAGCAACCAATAATTTCATATAAATTTATTAAAGAAACTGTGAGTTTGTTTGGAGGCTATCAACATAAATATACAGGGAATGTTCGTTTCACGTTTGTTCGAACGGCTGCGGGAACACACCACTCAGTAACCAATCATTTCATATCAATTTATTAAAGAATCTGTGAGTTTGTTTGGAGATTGTCAACATAAATATACAGGGGATGTTCGGGTGGATCTCCAGGGTGCTTATAGTTTTGGGCTACTACCTTGACCTGAAATTTTGTATTCAGAGAGAAAAGTTGGGCATGGCAATACAGGGAGGAAACGGTTGGAGCCAAAATTGAAATTTTGGTTTAAATTGGTGACTATATATTGAATTTAAAAGCCAACCATTTTTTCTCAATATTTGAAACTAGAGACGCATGCATGTTGGATGTTTAGAGTATATTTAGGATTTAGAAGGACATTTCATAATTAGAATAAATTTGACTGAATTGTTGTTGACGATCTTCAAGAAAACGGATATAGGTAACGAAATATTGGATAACAGGAATGAGATTTTCAGAAATTATGCAACCCGTTAACGAACACATTATACAACCCATTAGAGAACACATTATGCAACCATTTGCGAACACATTATGCAACCCGTTAGCGAATACATTGATGCTTAAAACAATATTTGAAGAACACAATTAAAAATTTATGTGAAATATTTTATCGCCTTAACGAGCCAATAAATAAGTATTTCGAATGAGTGACAAGGTGATTGTTGGGATAACTCCAAATAGAAACTGTGAATGCACTCTAAGACATATGGTTTTCGTCTTGTGAATATAATATCATACATAAGTTTATGGACTCAATGACGATCGAGGTCCTTATTTCTTTAAACCAATAAAACTTGTAAGGAGCCAGAACAGTTTTTTGCTAACATACAATAGCCGATAGAATAGACTAATCGATGTACAAAAGTTCCATAATATTATTCCTGTTAGAAACAACCCATTATTGGCCAAACTCAAAGTTCTAACGCTCGTCATTACCCAGTCTATGGCCCTGCCATTCCGCATCGTTCACGTTTATGCAGCAGTCTTGCACTGGACATCAAGTGTAGTCTAACATCGCAAATATTTCAGGCGTTGCAAGCCTACTTCGCTATCAACGATGATGTTACAGCCCGCATCAGCTATTCTTATGCTGTTACAACCCCGTATCAGCCATGCATGTGATGCTGAAGCCCGCATCAGCCATAATCCTTATACTACAGTCCGCATCAGCCATGCATTTCGGCAACAGGCCAAGGGCCTATTTTCTTCAATGCCGACACTTTTATTCTATGTGTTTGACGCTGCAATTAACCCCGCATCAGCAACGTTTCTTATCTTGAAGCTTCGTATTGATTATGGAGCCTCAAATCAGCTTTTCTCATTTATATGGCTTGTATAAAACGTGCTAATCAATAACTTTTGGACCTACAACCTTCCCGTTTTCTTCAATACACTAATTTAAGAAATGGTACTTAATCAATATTAATTTGGTCACTTGAAATTGCTCCCACACTCTGTTCACAATCGAATCTGTACCAAGCAACATTAAATCAGTTCTACTGTCCGTCCTCGCCTTAGCCTATGTGGATTTGAAATTCTTTATTATTCAACTTGTGACTCATTCCTCACGTTTCCGGAACCAGTCAAAGACTATAGTATGTGACCCTGCACACCGTATGTTTATGACGCAACGCGCCGCCATCGCTCCCTGCACACCGTATGCTTATGACGCAACGCGCCAGCATCGCTCCCTGCACACCGTATGCTTATGATGCAACGCGCCAGCATCGCTCCCGGCACACCGTATGCTTATGACGCAACGCGCCAGCATCGCTCCCTGCACACCGTATATTTATGACGCAACGCACCAGCATCGCTCCCTGCACACCGTATATTTATGACGCAACGCGCCAGCATCGCTCCCTGCACACCGTATATTTATGACGCAACGCGCCAGCATCGCTCCCTGCACGCCGTATATTTATGACGCAGCGCGCCAGCATCGCTCCCTGCACGCCGTATGTTTATGACGCAATTTTAACGCGCCAGCATCGCTCCCTGCACACCGTATGTTTATGACGCAACGCGCCAGCATCGCACACCGTATATTTATGACGCAACGCGCCAGCATCGCTCGCAATTAACGTATATTGATCACAAGATCCAGCGAACGTCGCGTGCTGCACTGCGATGCAGCGAGGCGGACTCATAGCAGGACAGCTCAGCCCCCCGAGTAAGTCAACTGTATTATGTCCAAGCATGAATCTTTACAAATGAATATTCAGGTTGATTTTCAATGATTTTAATGTCAGTACACTTGATTTAAATATTATTTAACATTGTTGATTCTTGCAAGGTGATATTGTTTGATTTCGGTCTACGTATAAGATTTGTCAGGTCAACCAAGGAATATTTTCTTTCGTCGATTGCTTTGGATTGGATTCTAGTGAATAAGTGCCAGGTTGCGAATCTCATATGAAAAAAGTTCAATTTGCATATTAGCTATAAAATGCGGCAAAACGTTAAAATGATGTAAACTATGAAGGATATTTTTTTCAAATTTTAAGAAATTTCAAATTTTCCAACAAAGTATTCAAGCACATATAGCATCACAAAATTCTGCCGGAGCATGAGGATAAGAACTGTATATATAGTTTATGCTGTCATGAGAAACACTTCATGTTTGCTTTAGAGTGGCCATTATTATGAATTTCATAGCATTCATTAGGAATTGAAAAAAATAAGGCTTTTTACTGTTGAATGACAAGCCTCGTTGACGTTTGTCCTCGCATCAAACTTGGGATATTTAAAAACCGTTTTTAAATTCTTAGTATTCATATTTGGTGTACGATAACTCCGTTATGTACACAGTAAATCTAATTGGTAGATAGAATATAAATGGTTGGCCGTATTTTTTCTTCCAAAACGTAACGATCCTTTAACAACTTGGTAAAAGAAATCTAATTCAAAAAAGGCAAGGTGTGGAGGAGCTACAAGGAGCATCGATCTTCAGTCCGCTAATCAAGTCTGACCTCCTGGAGGTGCGGATAACTGCTTATTGTAACAGCTCTGACGCCACGAACCTGATTGCAGCAATCGCCTGAGCTCACGAGTGTCTTTGCAGCACTAGTAAATGCTAGAGCTACTCCAGCACTAGCACTAGAACGGGCTTCCGATAGGCAGAACAATTGATGGCGGAAATATCTAAATTGTATACAAATATATAAGTCATGGAAGCACGGATGCAGTGCTTAATTAAAGCCCATTGTTCAAAATTATTTATACTCGAAATCCCTCGAATCTTAATATCAGTGTTCCGGGCGTCGAGTTGAATAGCGGGGCTCCTATTACTGAGCCACGACCGGTAATCAAAGGTGCAAACAGCAGAATTAACTCGTTTAATCTCGGGATGTGCCAAAAGATATAAATATTATTATAATAATTTGTGTATTATTTTTAATAAGGTGCTCGTGACGATTCCATTAAGAGCAGCCTTGTCACGGTTAGTTGAAGGCCTGCGGAGGAAGGCCACAAGGAGCGGGGCTCCTAATGCTATAGCGGGGCTCCTAATGCTGAGTCACGACCGGTAATCGAAGGTGCAAACAGCAGAATTAACTCTTTTAATCTCGGGATGTGCCCGAGATTTAAATAATATTTTAATAATTTGTATTGTTTTTAATAAGGTGCTCGTGACGATTCCATTAAGAGCAGCCTTGTCACGGTCAGTTGAAGGCCTGCGGAGGAAGGCCACAAGGCTGCCCCGACTGCGGCTAGCGTGTCCCGGCAGGTCAAGCGATCAATGCTTGGGATTCATATCCAGGCGAGCCGCTCAGGCGACCTGTAGGATCGCGGATTCCTGAAAACATTCCTATTGATTTTGTTGCTCTGCAACGATTCCTTGTAATGCTACGAGGGGCTCAGTCAGCGAACTGCTGAAGTTTCGAAGAATGCGTAACCAAAGAACTTGGAAACGAGAACGATACGTGTAAATTCCTCGGTTGTTAACTATTACATGCAATGCACGATAAAAACGATTCGACTCACACTATACGAAGAAAACCGTAATAAGTACGGCCTTTGGCCATTGCAACGAATTCTTTAACCGCTTACAGAGAGACAGGGTTCACATTAGATACACAGACTTGTGAGATTATTAATGAGTAATGGTGAAAAGGTTACATACCCATACGTATAATAAAATTGAAATTTAATGATTCCTTCTTTTTAAACTAGCTTGATTTTTTCTGAGATTTTAACACTCATTTGTTATTACATGATACTTTTAGAGGTAATCATACTTCGGCCCAAGGTCGTCAACATGGTCTAATGATAAACCTTATCTGCAGTTGGTACCATTAAAATATATCGTAAAAAAGAACTTCTTCATCTTATCTTTTCGTGGTACAGCGCTAATACCTATCATCTACCGCCGTCCTTCATACTCTCTCACCCCTGCCACTACCGTCCTTCATACACACTCACCCCTGCCACTACCCTCCTTCATACATCCTCACCCCTGCCACTACCGTCCTTCATGCACACTCACCCCTGCCACTACCGTCCTTCATACATCCTCTCCCCTGCCACTACCGTCCTTCATATACCCTCACCCCTGCCACTACCGTCCTTCATACACACTCACCCCTGCCACTACCGTCCTTCACACACACTCACCCCTGCCACTACCGTCCTTCACACACACTCACCCTTGCCACTGCCTTCCTTCAAACACCCTCACCTCTGCTCATTCACCTAACTATTGTAGTATCCTTATTACACATTCAATTCAGCCACTGCTTGCATTCATTCCATCACACTCATGGCATAAAATGCAATCATTCCTGCATTCTCTTCCACTGTATTGCACCAGTGAACTTCAACGCTTCCTTTCATAACTCATAGAATTGAATCACTGATGACATTCATTGCATTCATTCATGTCAGTACATTCCACTAGTGACCCTGAATGCGTGACATTCATTGCATTCATTCATGTCACTACAGTATATTCCATTAGTGACCCTGAATGCGCCGTGGTCACTGCGAACTCACCCCTCCAGTAGCGTTGATGTCTGCCCGTCGATGGACGAGCGCCCTGATGGCCTCCTCCCTGCTGTACATCGCAGCCAAGTGCACGGCAGCCCATCCATCCTGCCAGAGCCACAGAGAATCAAATTAAAGTTTGAAATTCAGAAGTAATTATTGAGTTTGAGACTGAATAGCGCCAAGACTTTTAATTTAGAGACGCATTCGAAAACGGTTGATATATTGTCCACATAAGATATATGGGAAATATTGATATATATCCCATATATTGTCCACAATGAATCCAATTAAAAGTCGAAGGAAATAATCAAATCGGATTCGGAATTATATCAAGACTTTTAATTTAGCTACGCATTCGAATAAGGTTGCTGTACCAAGCTATATAGAGGGCGTTTAAGATATTCCATATCGCTGTTGGGCGGAGAACAACCAAATTAAAATGTAAACAGTAGCGCCTGCTATTGAGGAAGATGAGTACGGGACGAAAAGACTATATATCGTTGCCTAGCCGCTGGCTATAAGGCGCTCAGTTTTGGGACTGTTCTTTTGAACAATAATGTTTAAGATTCAGCTAAACACTCTTGCTGGCATGATATTGATTAGAAATTTTCGCATTAATGAAAAGAATTTGCGATGGCGGTATTAGCAAATATTCATGCGTTTCAATTATATGTCAGCGCTATATTTATTTTAAGCGCTACCTGAGGATCGGGATACGGGACTAAGGCGTGAGGGATAAGTATATATAAGACACATCTGTCTAGATAACATATCTTGATATACAGAGTGGTAATACAAGAGTTACGATACAGGTTGAGGCCACGGCGTTGACCGTAAGATCGGAGAACTACAATGACGCAAGTTACATCGCGGAGCGCTTATCAACTACTGTGGGGGACCTTAATAAGGTTCCCAGCCCTTTTCTATACATCGTACCTCCGTGCACCGGGTTCTTGTCCCCGTGATACACATGCTAAGTAATCTGTCGACTCAACGTCTGAAGCAAGCTCTCAGTGACATAGTGGACTCATAGCTAACTAAATCTGCTTGTAAACACACAAGGATTTGTTTCCAAAAACTACTCTGGGACAATATCCGTATTTCCTTTAACAATATCAGTATTTCCTTTATCCGTATTTCCTTTAAAAACGGAAATACATTGAAAACTGGCACGGGGATTTCGGCTGAACGCGGCCGACAGTAAACTAAGATTACTCCATTTAACATTTGTTTTTCCGGTTATACTCCTTTGTTTTTACCATACAAAAGTAACAATCACTTGAAAGATCTATGGGGTAGCGCCAAATCATTGGTGTGAGTTTAGTAAGTTTTCCCTTGGTCCACATTCGAATCCATTTTTTATAATGATCACCAAGTTTAACTTGTAGATAAAATAAACTTGACTGAAAAGTGTACTGACGTATTTTCATTTGACTGGTAAAAACGAACGGCATAAAGAAAACGAACGTGACGTGATATAAAAAAAACTAAGAACAGTTTCAAAACCAGCATGCCTAATTCTATAGAACACAGCTAAAATCAAGCTCAACAGAAATCGAGTTTTAAATTATTCTTCAATGTAATCAAGCATTATTAAACTGGCCAATTGGCTGGAATCTTGTCTATGTTATCTAACCTTAGTCTTAGCGTTGGGATCGCAGCCGAGGTCGATGAGTCTATCGATGATCTGTACGCGGTTGTCCCGCGCGGCGAACAGCAGAGGCGTGTAGCCGCTCGCCTGTTGGCAATTAAAATATTCATTAAATATCCATTAGCAATAATATTTATTCTCCACGTAAAATGAATGAGCTAAATTTTAATTTTTCATTTTTATGGGCTTGTGCATGAATGCCTTAAAAATGTGTACTCATTCATTTCGAGAAATTTCGAGAAGGAAAAATGTTTTAATGCGGATTTTGAGATTTTGTACCAATCCTCCCTTCAGAAAGTGTTGGTCTAGAGACGAATGGAACCATCATAAAGGATTCAGTCATGCACTCACAAACTTAGCAGGAATGAGACGTTTGCTTCTTAAGAACAAGTTTTGGAGCGAAATAGCTACCTTACAGACAGAGAAACGTAATGACGTACGCTTTCCTAATTTTTCATGCTATTCTTGTCATTTTTACTTGACTCTACATCATAATTTTTGCTGCCGATTGTCCTATTGTAACAAAGAAAAACGGAATTTCTTCGCTAGCATTCATTTCAATATGGAAGGAGCAACATTAATGAGAATGTTTCCCCTCAATGTAATCGTTTATTTTCCTCGGCAAGCTGTGTCCCCTCGTTAGTAAACAGGAACGGGAAATTTCCCCTCAGGAGGAATGAGGACGAATATATGACCAAAAATGAAAGAAACGATTACTTTCTTTCAAAAAACATTTTGAGTTACCAAATATTCCTGATGACTTGCAAAGCCAGCCTTACTTCAGAAGGATTACAAACGGAGTCTTGATCGTTCACCGGTGGACTGCCATCCTCTGTGTCATTACAAGTCGAGTCAAGATGATGACTTGGTCTTTATAAAAGCCGGCGTAATTGATGAACAATAATGAAGACATTCGCTTCTCCGCAGTGCGGCGGCGTCCTGTCAGGCTAGGTAGTTAATGCGCTGCACAAATGGCTTCATACTATTGAGCTGCTGGAACTGACGAGAGTAATTTCTTCTCAAGGTTATATGCGAATAAATGTTTTAAGTTCAATAAATTATGGGTTAACGTGGTAAGCTGAGTATTCATGGCCTAAAATAATTGATAGCAATTGCTTGACGTAGGTATGTTATGAAATTCGAATAAATTTCCCTCTTAACAAATACTTCGATTTTTTTCAAGTCGTTGCCATATAACGTATGCTGGTAACGACATATTATGGGAGATATTTTAGACTTAATGTTGTACGTGTCCAAGTTTTGAGACCGGCCGTAAAATTGTCTGAGATTCATGTAGCTGCAGCTTCCCGAATGCTTCAAATGTTAAGTGCATCAAAGCTTAATTTGAAGGAACATTATTGGATCAATTTATTCGCGAACACTATTTCCAAGGCTACTAAGTCCCATTAAAGCCTAACAATTAATTAATGAAAATGTGCAGCAGGCTTTAGCTATAAGTTAGTCATGTATTAGAATTAAATACGTGTCTTCGAAAAATATACAATTCTGTAAGCTTTCGACGATTTCCATTGGAATATAGTGAGATTAAAAATTATTCTTTATTTCGCATGAGGTTAGTGATGTTCGGCCGCGTTTTAATACTCATAAAAAATTATTTTTGTCAATATCTCAACTTTATTTACAATTTTATTATTTGTTGTTGTAAAGCAGTTATGACTTGAGTAAGATATTCATGTACTTTGCTTCAAAATTTTACTTGAACTCAAACATCAACCAGGATGAATGCGTTACACTGTTTTCAACGATTAAAAAACTCGAATTCAAATGAGTTATTTATAAAAATTGTCATTGTCAAATAAAGAATTACCTCGTCAACAAGAGGTCGTAGAGGCGCGTAAGGTTCGAACTTAGTGCTCGGCAACCTGATTTGTTCCAGAATTCTGATGGCGTGGTCGATAGCTGGCCAATCCCCTTTGAGTGCCAAAGGCATTATGCGAGCGGTTTGTCGTTCTACCTCCAGCAGGATATCATCATCGAAGATGGTGGATCCATCATCGTCAAGATCATCATCAGAGTCACCATCTCCATAATCAGGCACCGATCCGATCGTAGAAACTCTTGATCGAGCCGACATATCAGGGGCTCTTGATGTCCTACTAAATGCAGATGCATCAGTTGGTCTCCCAGTACCGCGGCCTCTGGCTGGACTAACATCCCTAGATCGAGATGCACCAACTTTGGGGTTTACTGGAAGCAAGGAACCTGCCCCTCTTCCTCCTCTACCTCCTACAGTTCCTCTGCCTCTCGCTCGTCCTCTACCTCTTCCGCGCTTCCCAATGAGAGTATTGAGGTACGGATGCTGCGGTTTATTCTTGAAAGCTGCTTCGTCTTGGTCAGCTGGAGCTCGGGATGAGCTTTTGTCTCTCGGTGTCTTGGACACATTCTCTGGCACTGCAGATCCTTCAGGGCTTTCTTGCAGTAAAGGTGTGCTATCGTCCACATAGTCTTCACGCTTCGGTAAAGATTTAATTTCGAAGTTAGAGGCATTATCAAGATTCTGATCTATTTTTTCACCGGCATCAGCTGCCTGCTTCTGTCTCTTATTTGCTAAATTACCGCCTTCGACTTCAAAGAATGGATCGCGAAGTGTAGGATCAATGCTTCGTGGCCTTCGACTAGATTTTGATGCAGAATCTCTGGGTAAATTCTGCATATTCGATGAATATTTTAGTTGTTCTGGCAAGTGAAGCGTTTCTGCACTGCCAACAGTTCGATCACTGCCGCTAGCTGGCTTTGATTTCGGTAAAATATCTTCGAACGCACTGAATGGCTTTTTAAGAACCTCATCTAGAATTTGACGACTCTTCGCGGAAGATATTTTGGAAAAATCTCCAAAAGATTGACCGGCAAGTGCACCGCCAATTAGATAATCGTCTGGCTCCAATTCACTTCCGGGGTTAATTTGGGAATAGGCGGTATTTGAATCGTCAACTTTATTCCGTGGACTTGGTTCGGTAGAATCGGCAGCAGTCCTCGCAGCAATGCTCATCGCCACTGACCGAAATTTGTCCAATCGACTCTGCCTCACCACAAGTTTTTGACTTGCCGCTTGAATTGGATCAGAAGCAGGCAAATTCATACCAGTCTGGGAGTCGTCATCTTTAGTGAATTCTTCGTCACTACTACCCGTCTGGTAGTGAGGAGGTGTGGCCGCTCGCGACTCATAGACGCTCGTCAATCCCGACCCTCCAGGATCTTCGAGAATTCCCAGAGATGTTGTTGCCGAACGATAAGTGTCGGCGCTTTCCCGTCCTCTGGGACCATTTTTTGGCTGCTTGGAGGAGCTGGAAGCCCTACTTGGATTTGACTTGCTAGCTCCAAAACTTGTTTTCTCTGAGCTTGAAGAACCAAATTCGCTGTCATAATTTTTTTTGGCCGTTGCTGGTCTTGTCGCTGGTGCAGATAGAGTGTCTGAGTTCGCTTCTCGCGACATTGTGGCAGATCCAGCACCTTCTGAGGTGCCTGAAAGCACGCTGCTTACAGTTTCTGATTGCAGCGCTGAGGCATCGGAAGTGATATTTGCATCCTCTTGGACATATTCTGGCCTGTGAGCATCTTCATCTTGTGTAGTTTCTTCCTTTGAGATTGATATCTCTGTTTCATTTTCCCGACTATTCTCTTCTGGATTATGAGATGTATTTGCTCCACTCCCTGTTGGTTTTTGTGTCTCAGGGAGAGTAAAATCTGGCTCTGGCTTGTCTTCAACCTCAGCCTCCTTATCACGAGTCCCTGCAGATCTCGTTTTTACATGAAGCTGATTTCCAGACCGGTCATTGCTTTCTTGTTCCTCTTCTTCATCTCCTCTGTTGTCTCGAGATGCATCTTCTGATTGTAGATTTTTCCTATACATTCTGCGCTCTTATATTAAATTTATTTTTTCACTCTCACTGCTTGGCCCTAGTCATGAACTAAACGACGTATTTCTCTGCATAAAAAAATCACATTGTTTTCATATGCTAAAATTAAAAATTCAATGTTCCAATGAAATCGAAAATTTTACAGGTAACCTACGGCTTGCAACGCACAAATCAAATGCTCATCATTAGTTCCAGCGACGCAGGTTCAGATAAGACGCTCGAACGGTTGTCTTCCGCGCTGCGGTGGCTACTTTGATACTGACCTGTCCAGGTCACGCCTGCGGACTTACTGGTCACAGCGAACTCTTGGGTCAGCCAATCATCATCCAAAGATTGTGCGTGATGTGATTCACGCTGAGGGGTCTGAAGATTCGAGAAAATAAAAACTTACGAGATACCATGTATAAACTTGTCAGACTGTTTTCTCTATGCATTGTTTGCCAACTTAGCTGTACATGCCAATATGTTACCACTATGAAATCATATGAATGGTAGTTGGTCTAATGTTGAGGACATATTATTATTCTTTAAACGCCGAGACGACACTACAGCGTGAGACGCGACTTATCATTAAAATCCCTTCATTCATTAAATGTAATTTTTTTATTTTGCAATTTCTGAAAAAGAAATAGCAAAATGAAGTGTGTCCAAATAAAATTGGAAATGTATTTAAATTAAATTTATCTCAAATACGCTGTACGCTTAATAAAGTCATTGTTTGAAGATAAGAACGAAGATAAGAGGATAAGATTGATGGGTGAGAACGCGTACAGTTTTTTCGTTTCAAATAATTTTCTTGTCAATAAAGTTTCAATCTCTTTGGTGTATATTTACCGGTCCGACATGTCGTACTGCTAATTTTATTCATATCCTAAACCTAAAAAAATTAGGAATCGATTATGATAATGGTATATGAAATATTTTCAATGAAGATATGGTGATTTTAATTGACATTTTCCTTGCTTTCATATTTTTGGGTAAAAGTGATTTGACCAGTTTGGTGATATAAATACTTTATTTTTCCGGTAGTGCGGATTGATTTGAGAGTATATAACCTGCTTCTTGCTTCAGTCACTCTCAGTGCTGGGAGTACGGGCTGTACGGCCGTGCACCACCAATTTTGTGCACCAATAAGCCCTGAATAGAACGCCTTGGATTTCTCCGGAGTCCGGACATCCACCAATCAACCGTGAACCACTCGGCTTTGTCTTCCTCCGGCCTCGTATTGAACCTGCCGCGTACCACCAGGCCGCGGATCGAATCTGACTTCCGGGCATCGTTAAATTACGTAATTTTACGTTCACCGCATCTGAAGTTAGATTTCACTGTTTCAGATGGCATAGTTGAATAGTTCTGTTCCAAAATTTATCGTCCTTCGACAAGTGGCCGTTCAGCCGAGGGCTGGTTCGACCCACTGTCTAGATACGGACGGCTTGAAGTGTTGAAGATGAAGGCTACGTTCCGCAAGGCAGAAATCATCATGGTCCATTACATCCATGATCCAGGGCAGTGGTGACTAGTGGTCTTCAGCAGGCGACCCCTCAGCCTCAGTGCTTGACAAATTAGACTAATTAGTCGTTTGACGTCGCTCGTTGAAGCTAGTACTGTGGCAGTGTGGCGTGGCCGCCGTGGCGGACGGCCCTGCACTAGCGCGTGACTAGCCCACTAAGCCCAAGCTCTCGTGCTTATTCGTGCAAGTACTGAAGTACATATTAACCCTTTACTGCCCAAATTATTTTTATGCAGCGAGTAAATGTTTTGATCATGAATTTATGTTGTTTCTGACTCAAGGGAAGGCAATATAAGAAGAAATCACCAAATATATTTGTATGTATACTAGTATGGAATATATCTACTTGGCGAGCCGCGACTGAATTTTTCGAGCCGTGGTTTTATGGATTTGCCAGCCGTGATTCCATTTCTACAGGAAGTTGAAAATTTTATGAAATGACATGTTTGCGAAGTGCAAACCGCGATTTTTTAATCAAACAAAAATTTATGACATTCAAGACGCGAGATTTCATACCTACTGAAATTATATGATATTAGAGCCGTGATATTTCAGACAAAAATAGGACTTTTCCAGACTAGTATGTATATAGATACATAAACGCAACTTTATGATCCACTTGGGCTTCTGAAAGAAAAATCTACACTGGCTTTCAAAATACACTTGGGCAAATGAATAGAATCAATTGACTAGAATAAAATAAAACATCTCTAAAACTTAATAAAATACAGCAGAATACTTCACAACCTACATATATCTAAATACATGTTCAAAAGCATTTATTCTTGGTGAAATTTTTTGAAGCAGTTGCGAGATTGTTCAAAGCACAAGTGGACATTACATTTGTGACAGAACACTAAAACACATGCTTTGCATCCAGGCATTTTGCATGTTGCTCTTTCTGCAGCATAGTCAGGAAGATGAGATGATCAATACGATCCAGTCGGACATCATCTTCAGGAATGGGCTTAGTTGCTTTACCTTTTCTTTTTCTTTACCTTTACCTTTTTTCTTTTCCTTGTAAGCTTTTGCTACAGACGAGGGGCGGCCTTGCCAAGGAGTCATTTGCTTACCACTTACCAGCCATCATGAGTGATTTTGAGAGTCTCAATTTGAACTGCGACAGTGAATCTTGTTTCCTGTTTGGTATCTCAGCTTTATCCGCAGCCCTTTGGTAAAGCAACCAGGAGTTTATCCACTATGCAGAGAGTGGATGAATATAGCAAGATCTTTGGCGACGCTTCAGTAGCCAAATTTTCGCCTTCAGAAGATATTGCCGACACATTTAGATTGAAATTCTTGCATTTAATATATTTCTCAGTCTTCGGCCAACTATTTAGAAAAAAGTAAGGTTTCCGGTATGTTGGATGGATTACGATGCAGCAAAACTTGTCCGGAAATCAGTTGCGATGAGTTCCCGCAAAAATGTAAACAACATTTTTTCGATTGCGTAGTTTCGGTCACATTAGAGTGGTCAGACTGCTTTATTACATGTTCAGTTAACACTTACTGTACAATCGGACTGTTTTTAGGGTAAAATTAGTTATGTGGGGTAACACGTGCCTGCAACCTTTTAAATACGTTTGTGGCTTGTAAATAGTTCGTCATTACTCAGCGTAAATGGCTTTTCATTAAAAATTACCCGGCGACGCATCTTTAAAATGGCCGGCGACGCTTTGGGCTTAAAAATCCATATATTGGCGACGCTGCATCCACCCTCTGCATAGTGGGAGTTTATCACCGCCATGTCCATCATATGGAAAACTAATCGCATGTAGTACCTTTTTGAACAAAAAGACATCATGTAGTATGAAAGGAATTGATCATGTAGGTCTACTCCTCCCATGTGGTCATTGTAGATTCTAACAATATGAGGGATGGGGACATCTACATACTCTTTCGCTTTCTTATTGTACTTGTTTGCTTGTTCAATTGGAGCAGATGAAGAGAAAGAAGAAGCTAAACAGACAGCACGATTGTCGTACCACTTGATGGCTGTCACAGTTGTACCTCCGCTTTTTGTTTCATGTTCATCAAAAGTTCCTCATCCTGCAAGAGCCAGTTTCTTGTCATCCTTGAATGATAAACCAGGGATTCTGCGTGCCTGAATTGTGCCACAAACCCATATTGCTCTTGTTGCCAAATGCTCAATCAAAGGTATGGACGTGAACCAGTTGTCTATGTAGAGTTTATGGTTTTTATTTTCAGGTATTGATTTTGCTAGGATCAGAACAGCGTTAGCACTGGCTCCAAGATCCAGTACCCCTTCTCTGTTTACTGGTTGCAATTTACCATGATAGGGGAAAAAGTCATATATCATTCCCTTATGGTCTGCAAGGACAAACAGTTTGTACCCCCACTTGATAGGCTTTTTAGGAATATACTGCTTCAGTCATGAAGCCCCTTTGAAGGGAACCATCTGCTCATCAATTGACAAATGTTCAGTCATAGGGATTTGCTTGAATTGCTGACGAAGGTGATCCAACAGTAGTCTTACTTTAGCAATCTTGTCATTTCTGTCGATAGATTCATTATCTACCAAATGGAAACATCTTTTGATGTCCTCCCATCTTTGCCTGCTCATGACTGCCCCAATCGCTTCAGTGAGACACTCTGATGACCAATGTTGACGGGTGGAGCCAATCCTGGTCAAAGACATCCTCAAGGAAATGCTGATCCATTGCTCCAATTCTTCTCTCGAAAGACTCAAAGGTTTATTAGGGTTTTTCTGTACTGCATATATATTGCATTGGTGGACAATTTGGTCCAAAAAATCATCTGAGAAAAACCCTTTGAAGTAGGTCATGGGTGACAGACTTTCATCATCTTCATCTATTGATAGGTATGTCCAAAAGAGGAGGAGTTTCTTTTGGAGGTTGATTTCCTGTTACAGAATTCCAGGTATAATTAGATTTTCGTTTTTTCCTCTTTGGTCTTTCCATTTGTGGATCATTATTGTTTCCGCCTACGTCATCAATATGCAAGACTACAGTTTCTTCTTCATCATGGATTGCATCCTCATCATCAGATAGAATAGATATATAAGTAGGATCTTCTATGTCGTCATCTTCAGATAGATCCAACCCATCTGATTCACTGTCAAAATCTTCTGATACTATCATTCTCTCCATGCGTTTTTCTCTCAATACAATGGGTTTTGCTGCTTTGGAATAAAACATACTAGCAGGTAGTATGTTGCGCGATGATCCTGAAAAAATAACTACAATGAACAAACAGTCAAAAACAATATCTCTTTCGTGGAGGGAATGAAGGGATAAAAGCGATTATTCTGTATGAAGTTTTCCTGATAACATGTTAAAAATGTGAAAATTATAAAATATTATCTTTCACATGACAAAAATATCGCTGTTCATTCAAAAATTGTAAATTTAAAAATTTGTACATAATTTTATCCAGCTTCAACGCCCAGATGTACTTTCAAATCCACAATCGTTCATGGCACCTTGAGCCCAACTGGATTTCTAAATCCACCCAATAAATACTGATGGAATGAGAGCAATGTCACCTCAATATCTGATGTATGCAATTCTTTTCTTTCTTTATATATCAGTGAAGATGCACAAATTATTTTGAAACATTTTCTCACCTGGTTTATCCTCCATTGCACGTCAAATCAGGGACATTTACAAGTGCAGCATTGCATATCATAACGCCACGGAAGTTGGCGGGCAACTGACGAACGAATGTAAACAAACCGCTCATTCACTTGCTGAGCTTTGCATAGCAGTGTAATCTGAAGGCCAGTTGGGCTGCTGAGCCATATGAGTGAGAAATATTCCCTATACAAGTGTTTTTTTGAAAGGCGACTTGAAAGTCCGATTTGGCGGTAAAGGGTTAAGGCCCTGATTGAAAGCCGAGAGGCTTCGAACAGGCTCGGCTCTTCCCTAAGCGTTTCTTCGCTAATTAGGATAGACTTTAATCCACTCGCAAATGAGATGGCGATATGGATTTTTCCATACTTACCCAGCTATTTATTTATAAGCGTCGACCAGTAACAAAAAATATGTAAACTTTGTATTAAAAGAGTTTAATGAGAGGAAATTTCAAGAAACTTTGAATATTATTGTCCATCAAGTCTGCAAATTTTACACTTTTTCAAGATATAAACGGGTTGTAATTTTTATTGTCAATTGAATGGTATATTCGGCATTCCTTGGTCAGCTTCCATGTTATAGATATTTTCCACCAAAAAATATTTATGATCGAGTCTGCTGATACGCGGAGGGAAAATCCCGCATACTAGCTGCTCAAATGGAGATGTTGTGCAATGTTTGAGGGGAAAGAGACGTCGTAAATTACTCCAACTGTCAGTTCACAATGGGTGACATGGTAAAGGCGAAGTCAATGAGGGGCGAAGAATAAGACGTGGCCAGTGGTCGGCCTATCCAATTAGTTATAGCCGACCGTTGGCCATTTCTCGGCCACCTGAAAGCGACCAGTTACCGCGAAGAAGGTTCTGGCTAGGATATCATATTACAAAGAGTACAAGCTCGAGGGTAGCGACTGGCTGAGCTTTGGGCAGATCAAGGATTTTACACGATGGTCGCGAAAACCTCGCTCTCAGACTTCGCTGCATTTTGACTACAAGCCTTAATGGTCGTTCTGTGGCTTCAAGTCCACCCATTGTGAAGACGTGGACATACTGTAAAGAGAAGCTGTGTTCAGGGACATTTAACAATATTCTATAGTATAAACTATAGGTAGGCACTAGGCCACACTCAGGATTATGTATGTTTTCAGGGAATTTTCCTGCGCATTTTGACTTTTTTTAAGTTATTGCTGCGCACAGTTGGCACAACTTCTGGCCATCCCCACTTGCGCGTGCAAGTGTCTGCGCAGGCCGCAGTGCGCACATACATTTTGTCGAGGGAAATAGACAGAAAACGTATAATACTCAAGTCAATATGCATTTCATTATCCATCAATAATCTATGATTTTCCTTGATATGGAAATTTCGTGAAAGTAAAAATCTAGAAATTTATTGTCAAAGAAATTTTCTACAAATTTCTTATACGAACTTACAAACATCGTTTGTTTACCTTCCGTAGAACAAACCCATTTCTCCAGCGTGCAGGATGTTGGGAACGTAACGTATTCCTGACATTGACATTCGGGTTTGTACTTTGTAGGTACTATTTGCCAACGTCAGTCCTTTGTTAGAAGGAACAAATCTCAAGCCATGTGGATTGTTTCCTTCTACTATTCAGTTTTGTAATTAATTTCCAACCGAATTGTGATGTATGAATAATGAATAATTATTCATAACATTGCTGACTCTTAGAACCTGAGTTAACTGGTTAGAAATCCAGTCAATGTGATGCAGATATTTGTTCGTGTGTGATAGCGTTGCCGCACATTCATTTTTATACAACTTTTGGAGCACGGCGCAGGCTGGCGCACGGTGCACTTTTTTACTGGCATATTACAGCGCACGGCGCATATTGATGCAATGATAATATAAATTCCCGCTCACCTGGCACATCTTCCTGACCGTGGTAGCCTGGTAGGTAGGTAGGCCAATGTCTGAGGCTATGTGCACAAAAAAATTTTTCCTTTGACTGTAATGAAAATTACACCACTGAAAAGAGAAAAAAATTAGAAAAATATCAGATAAGTATGAGTGGAGTAGGTCAAAAAGTGAAAAAAGCCATGAATTTTTTCATTTTTTCAACTTCACTTCAAAAATGGACCAACTTCTGTCTCCTTTTTTTTTTGAAAAGATCATTTCTAGGCTTCCTATGAGCCAATTTCAAAGATTCATGCACCATTGTAATATTACTATTACACTGTGACAGTGTTTGCCATTCTAGATGCATTCTTAATTACTGACACTGTCTACCTATGGAATTTAGTAGCACACCCAGGCCTGAGGCCCCAGTGGCATCACTGGCATGGAGCCATGGACCGGACTCTTTACCTTTAGGCAGGAGCCATCATCCATGGACTGATTTATATTTTCTAAACTAATGATGGTTACTTTTATATGTGCTGGCAACCTGGCTTGACCTTGACTCAGGACAGAGTAAAAAGTACTCAAAGAATATAAAATTTAGTTAATTTAGTTAGTAAGGGTAATTTGGGACTGGCATCTGGCACCTTACGGATAGCGTATGAAATTTTTTTGGAAATGCCATTTGATAGCCATCACAAAGAGCTTGAAAATAAACCCAAACATGTTTATGAAATGTTTCATGGTAAGAAGTTATTGACAAAAAACGCTCAAAACTGTCCCTTGTTGCTCCATTTGACAGCAGGGCTGCTGGGCTGGAAAAGTCGTATTTTTGTCTGAAATATCGTGGCTCTAATAATTTAGACTAATATAATATAATTTCAGTAGGTACCGTATGAAATCTCACAGCTCGAATGTCATAAATTTTTGTTTGATTGAAAAATCGCGGTTTGCACTTCACAAACATAAAATTTTCCACTTCTGCAATCCGCATTGCTTTACTGTTCCCGCCAAAATATCCTGCAGAAAAAACATAAACATCGTAATGTAAACAAATCAACTAAACGTTTTATTGAAGATCGCGCATAGTTGCGGTCATGTCAAAGTGGTCAGAATGCATTAACACATGCTCAACTTACAGTAAAGACAAATTTTATTGTTGCCATTTGACTTTTAGGGTAAAATTAGAGATTTGGGGACTTTGTAAATAAATTCACGCCTTGTAAATGGCTTTTCATGGCCAAGATATGGAATTCACGGCTCGGTGAAATGGAATCAAGGCTCAAAAAAATGTAATCACGGCTGGCAAATCCATAAAACCACGGCTCGAAAAATTCAGTTGCGGCTCGCCAAGTAGATATATTCCATGCCTGTTTGACAGTATACTTGAAGATTACATACCTCATTTTATGTTGTTATGTTAGTGCTGATTTTCATGATACCACTTGGGCTATTTATATTTAGGACTTGATAATGGTTAACAAAAATCTCTTGTTTGTCACTACTTTGGTATAGAGGAAAAAGCAATTAACTGTAAACTCAAATTCAGGCACTAATATGTTGGGAGGAAAAATACCTTATCAAACACAGGCTGTGAAATCTTTTGAAATAATTCCTATGCATTTTCCAGATTGTGATTTTTCCCTTGCACTACAAAAAGTTTGGAACTTGAACATAATGTCTGTCTCTGCTCAAGTTAAGCAGCAGTTGCAGAATCTGGTACCTGCTGGAGGTTCACATAAAGACCATGACAAGTGAGTTATATCATCCCTGGTTAATAATTGATACTACTATATATTTTTGTGGAAGATCAAATTTGATTTATTATTGTTATTTCTAGCATTTCTTAATTTTGTATCCCAGTTAAGCAAGTTTTCAATGTATTACTGGGTATATATATATTGACACTACACATTAATGACATTATGTCTTTTGATCATTGTTTGCATCTCACAAAATGCCCAATTGTAAAATCAAGCACTCTCATCTCTTGTCAAGTGTCAATAACTTCTATGTATGTGATATGTGATTGTATCTCTGAGCATTCTCATCTTTGCAGGTATAAAGCTGTCCTTGATCTTGTCTTTAGCTCAGCTGATGTGGAAGAAATGGTGAAAGCATTGCAGATTTTTGTTGAAGCAAGTAAGTTGATCTGTTTTTTTTTGTGATTCTTCAAAAAGTTTTTCTCCCAACACAGGAAATACCAAAGAGAGTAAAATTGTTCAAAAATGTTTTGAAAAATTTTGGGAGTTCAAAGTTAGAAATAATTTTTCTGACAATTTCATGAATAAATTTAATGTTATTAATGCTATTGATATAATATTGCAAATGGAAGTTATTATAATCATTGGAAATTATTCTATTCAATGGAAAATTTTGTATTGCCTATAATTTTTACTCTGTTATTGCAGTGTTTTATATATTACTGAAGGCTAATATTGCTGACCAAGTACAAGAGGCTGTTTCAAGTTATTATTGTCATCCTTATTTGTTTTATGAAGTATATTGCAAGTTCATAATTTTTATGTACTTACCGTACCCATTGCATTGTTGGTTTACTTCTATGTTTTTAGAAATTGTAATTTTCAGTTTTTAATTCATTTAGTGTGTGAATATTTGCAGTTGTTCGAGAAACGGTAAGCCTAGTCATTTCACGCCAGCTGCTTACCGAAGTATCCACTAAGCTGATCAGTATGCCAGATGAAGTGGCTAAGACGGTGGCACATTTCACACTCGACAAGGTGAGAGACTGGTTGTGATCTTTATAAACTTCTTGATGTATTATCATCTCTCAACAATTATATTTTTTAAATCAGGCTGCTTCAAAACCTGCAAAAATTTGGCAAAGCTTCTGTGGATTAAGCCATTTCTCTGTGTACGTATTTACTACCAAGCAATAAACCCATAAATTTTCACATATTTTTGGAACATATCACTGACGCTCGTAATTTGTAACCAATTCAACATATGATCCAACTTGTATTCCTCTACAATTTAATTATGTTTAGTATCTGATCACAATGCAGCTATGATAAACATGAACTGAAGTGTAAAATTTCAACTATACCACAGATGACATTGTGAGAGCTAAATTTTTAATGATGAAAATTCATGTATAACTATTTGAACAATATTTACCTATATTTTTTTTATCTTCCCTCTATCCATGATTTCACTTCTAGATGATGTATACAGTGAACGTTCTGTATGTATGTTTCTCATCAGATCTTGGTTATGAAGCCTGGTGTTTGTCTTAACATTAGGTCACACACTAGATTTGTGCGTCATACCTGAGTAGCAAGGCTTTGTAACTCACTGGACACACAAGTCTGATTACAAAAATCAGGTGTAAGACAGGGTGTGTACCGGTTATGGAAAACCCGGAAAGTCTTTGAATTTTATTTTTCATTTTCCAGGCCTGGAAAGTCATGGAATTTCATTTCAGGTAATGGAAAGCCATGAAATTTGCAAATAAATAAAGAAAAAAAAGGAAGTGTTTTTCTGTGCCACGTGTGTTAACCCATTAATGCCGAGCGGTTCCATTTAAAACCAGCGGAGAAAAATAGATTTATAATAAAATTGTATGATCAAATAAAGTATGCAAGTGGATGCGTAGGTACGTTTGATACACATCTTGTTCATGTTCTGGCAGAGTTTGGTTCTGCTGCGCCGACTATTCTCTTTTCAGTTAACGTTCAAAGATTACTAGAACCAGTTCATGGAATTTTTTTCTAAATGCCAGTAGGTACGCACCCTGGTAAGACCATATTAACTGCTACATAATAGATTAGTATTCCTCTTTTACAAGGTGTGTCAAAAACCTTCCTTTAAAAAAAACCTTCCTTTAATATATATGCATGACTTTGCATTAGGTTTTTGCTTTGTTCACTTTTTTATCAAATAATGACTAAATTTTAAGACTGTTTGCTGTGTTGTAATAGGTTCAACCGCGCGTGATTAGCTTTGAGGAGCAAGTGGCCACCATCAGACAGCACCTGGCCTCTATCTATGAGCGCGAGGGCGCCTGGAGAGAGGCTGCTAACACCCTCACAGGTATTAATCCTATCCCTAGCTTACCTACTCAACTGTCCCTTGGATTGCCATTGAGCTCATCTTTAATTGCTTGATTTCAGTCTGCAAGACGATGTAAAACAAAGATTTGGTCCTGATCTAGTCCTGTTTATTTCGATATAATGTTAGGTCTTGTTTAGGTTTTATGTCAGTCTTTGAATTTTTACTTACCGGTATAGAGTGATTTTATTCATTTTTAGTTTAGTCGAACTGATGATGGAGCTGGACTTCAAAACGTTTTCAATATCGAGATGGTGAATTTTCTTGGCGTTTCTTTGATTTTAAATTCCTTGTTAAACAAATATTTGGAAGTGATTAGAGACTTGATGTTTGAGCTTAAGTAATGGACGTTTGTATGCTTATGAACCAGTATGCAGTCTTGTTGATTTGAGTTCTCTTATGCAGTTCAATTATCCAGTCCGCCTGTGTTTATATCTTCAACATCTTATTTAGTTGGCTTAGGAACTCCACGTATTAATTAAACCTATTGTGCATCAGTTGACCTGTGGGAGCATAAATTTTTTTTCGGCATTTTTGACAAGGGAGGATTTTTAATTCCCATCATAATTGTGAATTGTTTATTTTTATTAACGAAGTTGTTTGATGCAGGTATTTGGAACGGGAGGATTTTGAATTACCAGGATTATTGAGAAATAGTAATTTTTATTAATGAAGTGTGTTTGGTGCAGGCATCCCTCTGGAGACTGGCCAGAAGCAGTACAGCGCTGACTACAAGCTCGAGACGTACCTGAAAATTGCCCGCCTCTACCTCGAGGACGACGACGTCGTGCAGGGAGAAGCTTACATTAACAGAGCCTCAATATTACAGGTTTGCTTTTATTTACTAACTTTCAGCTTAGCGTTCCCGTTTGTGCCCCCAAATGCATATATATATATATATATATATATATATATATATATATATATATATATTTTCATATAAACTTCTGGTGGTTTCATCAAGCATTCGGGGACAGGTTTGAAGAACTGACTCAGTAAGCAACTCGGATCAAACGAGTGTCTCGTTAGCTTCCAGTTTGCAATGTGTAATAGTGGTTTTCAGATAGTAGTATCATCATTTCTTTGCTTAAATTGTTAATTAGCCGTGGATTTAAAGAGCAGAGAAAGTGCTGGAGAAATTCACCAAACCTTCATTGAAGGCGTTTTGAAAACCAGCCCCAGCTGGTCGCCAAATCTCAAAAATCATGGGGTAGGTTAAGTGGCCCGTTTCGTTTTACTTGTGTTATTGAATTTATAACTGATTATTTAGCTGGTGATTTAGCTGGTCTCCAAAAAGTTTTCGATGAAAATTCTTCGAATTTTCTTTATCGCGCAGCATATTTGGCGTGTATAGAAGATAAGTGTTTTTTGCCAAAAATATTTTAGTTGGTCTACCTATTTTCTTAGTGAAATAACGACAGCAGAGATGAAACTGACACAAACATGAAGCTAAGGCAAGATGAAGCATTCAGGGCGACCATCGGAAAAGAAAAATAATTCCTAAGTTGAATGTGCTCAAGCTAATTCATGTGTGTGTATGTATAGCTTCGATGCTTCCAACAAATGAAAGTAAGCCTTTGATGGTGATAAAATATTTTGCGCAGTAATGTTTGAATTGCGTTGTGAATTGTGGGGCCGTACATAACCTGACAAACGTACTATGGCCATCAACCGGACTACAAATCATATACCTTTCAGGTCCTAAGAACTGAATAATGTTAGAACAATAAATTCGTCAGGTATTTTTGGTATTAATATTAAGATTATTTGGCTTCATTTCTGTCCTCAATAAATTAGAAAAATTTTTTTTTGCAGTCAAGTCGTCTTCATTGTGTTGGATTTTGAATCTGAGGTTAATTTTGCATCAAGAATAAAACATTTTATTTTCCAGTTCTCTACAATAATGACTCGGTGTTTTTTCTTGTTGGTAGGCAGAGTCTAAGAACGACCAGCTGATGATCTATTATAAAGTTGGCTACGCTCGCGTGCTGGACTACCGGCGCAAATTCCTAGAGGCAGCGCAGCGCTACAACGAACTCAGCTACCGAGCCATCGTGCATCAGGACGAGCGCATGGAGGCCCTCAAGAAGGCACTCATATGCACCGTCCTTGCTGCTGCAGGTTTGCTTTAACTCCTCAGCTTCCGCCTCGAAATGAAGATATTTATATGTAGTAAATACTCCTGGTGATGCTTAGTTAGCTTGTCAGAGGCGAGTGCGCCTCCCAGTGTAGAAAGTAACACAAATGGAAGCCAGAACAAAGGAATGACTGTGCGAGTAAACATTTAAAAGATTACTTTCAAAGTTACCTATCATATGGTCGTATCTTATTTCCGATACTTGAACAATGATTAACAGTATGCTTATTACGCAACTATGTACTGACAGAAATTGTACCTTCGATCCAGAATTGATGCCAAGTATCCTAGCAACAGCTACACAGATGGTACTCGAACTGAGCATTGAAGCAGAGCCGCACGCTTGAGTTATAGATTATTTTGCAACTCTAGACTATTACCTCCTCGGATGATGGGCCCGCGAAACCCTTATATAAATAGTTCTCGATGACTATCATCTGGCTTTCTATAGCAAACAATACTGATCGTAATCGCCTCAAAATTTGATAAAGCTTTAGCGTACCTGCTCAAGTTTTAACTATATGAAATTTTTTGTTTTAATATTATAACGTCAGAACATGTCTTGATCATGAATCTATCTTAACCATGCAGGTCAGCAAAGATCGCGCATGTTGGGCACCCTGTACAAAGATGAGCGATGTCAGCAGCTGCCGTGCTACAACATCCTGCAGAAGATGCATCTCGACCGCATCATCAGAGCGCCCGACCTCACCGAGTTCCAGGCCATGTTGCAGCCTCACCACCTCGCTACCACCGCTGACGGTACAGTCTTGGCAGTCCCTGCCTCGGTATAATGATTTACAAGAGATTAACCACCTCGCTACCACCGCTGATGGTACAGTCTTGGGAGTCGTGGCCTCGTGGTTGCCATATTATTTTCTGGCCGTACGAATTTTTTCTCGAGAATCTTCCGATTTTCTTTTAAGTAATTGAATAAGACAAATTTCAAGGTTTTTCCCTTGAAGTGCTTGTAGTGTTAAGGCATTTTGCGACTTTTATTTTGTAATAAGATTATGATTTACCTTTACCTTGGCAACACCGGTAGGAAGTTAACGTCGCAGACGATCACTTATTAGATTCAATCTTCAACAGATACGCACGTTGCCAAGGGTATTATTCTTTACACTATTTTTCCATCTTGATACTTGTATTCAAAGCCCACCTTCTTGTTAATTTGCCTTGCAGTAAAATCTCAGTTCCAGTCTCTTTCATTTCCATTCTTGTTTTACTGTGTGGGTAATGACTGGCACTTACCCCACATGCTAAGTGCACCTTATATTGATTGTCCTTTATATTTAAAGAAAAAAAATCCCGGTCATCGGTCAGATGAAAAATCAAATTCACTATCCGATGCAATCACTGCCGCCGTGAAATGTCAACTCTCAGATACTTCACTAACTTTAAAATTTTGGTCTTCATCACAGTTTCTTCTGGGCTTTTTCTCATGTTTCTTGGCCCGAGTCTGAAGTATAAATCCTTCACATGTTACCGTAAGTTCTGTAAATACGACACAGGTTGTTTGAAGCGCCAGCTTCAATGAGTAATCCTGTAATTTTTCTGTGTGATACTTAACAAGTTGTATAAACATTGTAATTATTTGATTAGCTTGTCACAGTTCTGAAAATCACTAAAAAGTTTTGTGACATTTTATGACTTTTCCTTATTTCTGTTCAGGTTGGACGTTGCTGGAGAGGGCAGTGACCGAGCATAACATGATCGCTGCCAGCAAACTCTACACGAATATTCGCTTCGATGAACTCGGCGCTCTCCTGCAGATACCGCCCGGCAAAGCTGAGACAATCGCCAGTAAAATGATAACTGAAGGGCGCATGTCGGGCTACATTGATCAGGTGAGACCTGCAAGTTTGACTGGAGTTAAATTCTGGTCTATCACATCTCATTCTTTGAAGGATTTCATCACTGTAGTCACGTCTGTAGCCGGTAATTTCTTTTTGACATGTCAAACGAAATTTCGTGTCTCCAGATGCTAGATAGATAAAATACATTACATCATTTATCTACATCATTATTTATCTACCTTCACATTTGTACTACAATAATTTGTCTTGATATCAGGTAGAATTTAGAAATTTGGATATGATTTTTGATGGTGACTAAGAACTATTGGTAAAAGTTCTAGTCCATCGTGCTTCTAGATTATCCAGTTATCCTAAAAATTTAATTTTATATTTTTATTTCATTTTTACTAATAGTATTTCTTTCGTTTACAGATCGACTGCATCTTACATTTCGAAGGGCGTCAGGTGTTACCCCAGTGGGACAAACAGATCGAGTCTGTGTGCTATCAGCTGAACTCCATCATAGACCGCATCACAGCCAAGCAGCCTGAGTGGTGTGCCAAGACCATAGAAAACCTCATGGTGCATTGACCATTGCGACTTAATTTGAATCTTGCATAGATTGGCGCTTGTGAGTTTCGAGTCGCCGGAGAAATCTTAGTTACCTATCGGCTCTTACAGTGACGGCCTGCAACAGCTTGTGTCAGTCAGGCTGCTATCATCTCAGCACTACTTGCAATACACGAATCGGGGTATTAGTCGTTTTCTGTCTAATATTCAGAGGTCATGTAAGATGCATAAGTTTATGCTATGAAATATTACGTTAAATTGCCCCTGTTATGTACAACTAGGACAAATTGCAAGATAACCTACCAGGTAATATTTGTAATACTGTTAAATTTGAAAGCCCAAATAACGGGGCAGTTGCAGTATATTTCATCTCAGTCCTACAATAAATGATGAAATGATAAAAAAGACGTCATGTTTATTTGGTAGTTATTCATTTAATAAGTGTGTTATTAATTTAAACTGCAATCATTTTCGTAAATTTTTTATTTATCGATGCAAGAGATATTAATGAGCACTTAGTTTCCGGGAGTTGCTTTATGTATGAACACCGGATATAACTTTTCGTTATCAGGTAGCAAGGATCAGTGTCCCAGTATGCTCTAAAATTATCATCAGAGAAATCTATTTGAAAATTAAATATCAGCACAAGCTCAGTTACTTCCGTGGACGAGCCACAAGCATGTTAAATTAATGTTGAATTATTTCGATGCCACACATAACGTTCCTTAGCGTACAATTCAAGTCTTATTGTAAAGAATGCTGTTAACCAACGAGATAATGCCAGCTGAGAAAAGCAAAGGTCTTCTGTCACAGCCAAATATTGCAGTAGCGTGCTCATGCAATCAAGCCAACTTCAAAGCACAAGACACCTTTGGTTACATAACCTTAATTAACTTAACGATACTTGACGATAAACAACATAATGCCGCGAGTTAAGTGAGACTAGGAGAACAATCATTGCACGTGTTTTGAACACTTAACGGCAACCCACGGTACCAGTAACATAGATACGAATAACGTGGACGACTGCTTATCAATACGCAGATGAAAGGTTCAAGCAGAAGCGAAGTGGAAATAAAAAGGAACACGCAAAACTCAAACTCCTACCTTTAAGACTGTTCACAGACACAAATGTGGACGTACGAATTGCATAATTTACGATAATTCGAAGACATGAAAATGGCGGACGGAGATCATATTAATTCGATCAATCGCAAGAATAAAAGCTACGGTGATCATGAAATAAAGAGCGTGGCAGCAGAAACCTAAAATGTCATGTATGAGACTTCATAAGGAGTAAGGTGTCTCCTACTCATGAGTTGAATGGGTAGGACGTGACTAGACTTTATTGGAATTTTCTTTGCCGACCGTTGCGGAGCACACGAGCGCAGTGCATTACCTCGCGTGAAGCACTTACACAGCGGAGTGAGAACTTAATTGCAGAAAATAAACCAATGGTCAACATGGATGAACTGAGCTCTCGCTCTCACGCTGGACTTTTACCCAGTTGCCGCACTCAATCCACAATGCGCGCAAGAGATCATAGAATGAAATAGCTAAATCAAATATCGAATAGCTTAATTTAAAACAAAATATAACAAGTGGCACCTGCATGTGCAACACATGCCGTGTAAGTTCTGGAAACGCTAACGTGCTAACAAATCATAGAACAGCAACATAAAAAACATACAAAATAAATATTTTATGATTAAAAATTATGTGATACTTAAGTAAAGAGAGAGAATTCGATGAGAAGAGATCAAGATTTCAAACAAACAACACAAAATCGTGTACAAGCCTAAAATCGTAGAAGCGATCAACTGACAGAATTAAAGTCGCAATGATGTTCAGCACCAAGCTAAGTTCGAAAGATCGGGCTAAAAGTGTCCTAAAAAATAAATAGGTACACTTGGCTTACACTGGGAATTCAATCAATCTTTTCTGCTGCTGAACTAAGTAGTGTCCGTTGCCTCTTCTTCTGCAGCAATGGCGCTTAAGAGCTTCTATCTTCGATCCCCAGAAGGTAGTGAGTGTGATGAGGAGTAGGAGAGCAAAGCAAGAATACACGACGACCCTCACAATGTTACGCCAGTGCCGCCACTGCTGCAGCTCCTGCAGGTACAGGAACCTGTTGCGGTAGTTGGGCGGCAGCTCAAAAGACGAGGGCTGAGGATACAGCGACTCGTACGTGTCCTGCAGCAGTGCCAGAATCATGTCGTTATCGCCGTGTTCAGGGTCGAGGTTATTGTTGAGGCACACGAACTTTCTGTGGGAATGGAGAAAATTGCTAGGCACCAATTCATTGAAAACGCTGTAAACCAGTAACTCCTTACTAAAAAGCTGATTAATTTGCAATGAAATTCATTTGAGATTGTGTTTCGAGATTGCGCCTAATCTGCTAACAGAACTTGCCTAATTACTTAAGTTACGAAAACTACGACAGAAGCCGTAAACATTCTATAAAAAAAGTGTGTTCTGGAATTTTTACCGCGTTGACCGAATTATAGTAACTCGTTATTCAATGCCATAATGCCCAGCCATAAAATAACGCCATCCAGGAAGCATGCTATCATATTCAAAAATATATCGTCAGAATTGAATTCGAATAACATTCAACATGTCGTGAATTGCGAGTTTTAGACAAAGTAAGGCCAGAAAGTTTGAAAATTGCGCACCTGGGTTCGCGTCGCACTTCATCGAGCATCGTGATGACTTTAGAGAGATTACTAGAGATCATCTTAAAGTGGAGCGAAGAGTCGGAGACCTCAGTTGCCCTGTAGCGCGGCACGGCCCGCAGCGGCGCCAGCAACGCATGCACTTCTTCGCACTGCTGCACCAGCGCCAGGCTTACTGCAGGCTGCGGGGCGGGGTTATAACATTTGTTCTTATTAATTGACGAGCTATGCAAACAGAAACGAAACGATTAGCTGATATTCTTGAGTCAACGTCTTGATAGACAGATAGACTTGAGTCAAAATTTTTAAATATCACGATGAAGTGTTTCTTACTGCAAGTCTTACAAACAAATGATGCAAGTCTTATAAACAAATGACGAGGTCGTTGAAATAAAATTCATACGAGAAAAGTTAATGATGATGTTAGTGTAGGAACTAAGACCGGTGGTCCAGCCATGAAAGTTTGACCAGTTCAGTATTAGAGAACGCGGACGAACAATATGCATGAGATAGGAAGTAAGCTAAGCATGGAAATAATTTAACGGAAGAAAAGATAGATGATCTTACCACTGCCTCTTAGGGACAGACATATGATCAGTATGTGTCGTCCACTAGACGAGATCAGAGTGGTCATAAATGGGTGGCGTGAGACGAGTCTCTGTACTCACGAGACACGAGTCTCTGTACTCACAAGATACGAGTCTCTGTACTCACGAGATACGAGTCTCTGTACTCACGAGATACGAGTCTCTGTACTCACGAGATACGAGTCTCTGTACTCACGAGACACGAGTCTCTGTACTCACGAGACACGAGTCTCTGTACTCACGAGACACAAGTCTCTGTACTCACGAGACACGAGTCTCTGTACTCACACGAGTCTCTGTACTCACGAGACACAAGTCTCTGTACTCACGAGACGCGCGACTCTATACTCACGAGATGGGAGTCGGCATATCGCTCGTAGGGCGGCGTGGGGACGGGAGGCACGTCATGCACCAAGGAGCAGTTGGAGAGCAGCTGATGCAGGAGCTTCACGCGCGCAAACTGCACCGGGATCTCGCCTACACGCGCCAACAGCGTGCGGATCTCGCGGTCTGACCACGTCCTGGTATTATGGAAACTTCGTCAGCAGCCGTAACTCCCATCAGCCAATCACTGATAATCATTCAAACTAAATCTACCAAAACAGATGAGAAATCTGGCCATTACGTGTACTTACATGGGCTGCTACGTGTACTTGCTTGGGCCGCTACTGTGCTTGCTTGGGCCGCTACGTGTACTTGCTTGGGCCGTTACGTGTACTTGCTTGGGCCGCTACGTGTACTTAAGGAAGTTTTGTTAATACGGTCTTAGGACCTTTCGCTGGGAACTACCTCAACGGTGATGCTGGCATATAGTCATAATTCGAACTATCGTGCATCTTTTGTTGCTTGCACTTGCAGACGTTCAACAACTAACTCAGAGTTGTGCGAAATGAATAGACTAATAAATCACTTTTCGCATCAGCCCCGTTCTAAAATTACAGCAAAAACTTCTTACGAATTTGCTCATAAAGTTCATAACGCTTTTTTATCTTAATTATGATGGATTGAATTTACCTGCATTCGCAAATCTTAAATTTTAAAGCTCTATCCCTTATCTTCCGACCTGACAACATTGTATAATAGTTGATAGGAAAAATAGTGGCTCTTTAGAACCCCTTTTTAAATAATTCATCGAATATAAAGTTAAGTGAGCAGAAATCGAATTATCCATTAAGAAGTATCATCCAGACACATGACACATTCTCGATTGTTATTACTTGCAACTTGAGCACAGATCCTGCAGAGCATAGAAGTTAGGGACTTGGTCTTCGGCAAAAACACTCAGTAGAGTTTTAGGTAAATTGTTCGAACTAACTCAATAGTTACCGGTACTTTAATCTTTGACTATAAATATATTGTCGGCGTAAGTATGGATTGTAGAATTGGTTCTTCTATAGGAATTCTATTGAAGACCAGAGAAAGAGCATTATCAAACATTTCCTCGATTTTTTTTATAAGTCGAACAAGAAAATCGTTAATAAACCCATTCTCTGATCATCAATCGTATTTGGAAGTCTCCAGTATGGTAAAACGGAAGCCATTTGTCAACTTGAATCACAGCCTCTTACCACTCATGAGAGCTTAATAACCAGGCACAACTTTCAGTTAAACTTACCCAGAATTGTCCGTATCAAACTCGACGAAGATTTCCTCGATAGTTCTGATGCGGGTGGCGCCCAGCAAGTAATAATAGTAAGAGAAAGCGAACTGCATGTCGTGGCTCTGACGCACTTTGTGCGATGACGTTGCTGTAAACTCGGCCGCAAATCTGAGGACAAAACGGGTTATTTATCAATGTATGGGAAAACAGCGTTAAATGAATTGAGATATTCCATCGCTGGACATATGGCCAGGTCTACAAATTATTGTCAATTGAGAGCATGAGGCATAACTGAAGCAAGTTCACATACAAAATTATTTATAGAATATGTAATAATTTATTGCAAATTGAGAATCCGGTCTAAAAAATGTTAATTTTTTAACTTCGGGAAAAAAATTTAACCTCGGGAAAAATCGGGAAAAAAATTCCCAGCCACGATAAGAAGAAGACAAGAAGATGCCGCAAAAAATACCTGTCTTGTAGGTCGGTCATGACAGAGATGTTGATGAAGTGCGGTGTGTGTGCGGGCACTTTGCGTATCTTCATGCCGAGCTCTTCGTTGTAAACTCGGTTGACGTAAAGCAGCGACTCCGCAAACATGTCTAGTAATGCACGCCTACCAGGAAACTTATTTTCCATGTCTGTTACTAAAGAAGTAACCACGAAATGGCTTGATTTAAGAATATTATTCTCTGGTATCTTTACTGAAAAATTTTGTAGAGGCTTATTGTAAAATTTTCGGATAAATCTACTATTAACGACTAGAGAATCTCCCAATCTAGAACGCATCTTCCTAATAATCTCATCCCAATCAGATTTATCTGAAGAATGACATTCAGGTTGTCTCTCCCATGGAAAAAAACCACGATAGCTTTCTAGATCACCTGAAGTTTTATCGTGAGGTTCACTCGATTTCAAATCTTGACTTTGAGACACAGAACTTTTATGGACAGACAATCTATGTTCAGATGAAGTAGATTTTGTTGGAATGTTTAGAAATTCATTCAAATAATCGAATTGCTGCCTAGTAAAATTTTGATGTCCATAAGCAGTCCAGAGCAATTTACGCCCAGTGCTGACATTCGCAGGATGAACAACAATATTTTGCACAACCGGAGTCTCAGAGGAGGAACTTTGATCCCTTTTTAAATCAGCTACCCAGGTCTCAGGATATCGTTTTAAATTATTTTCGAGGTGAGGATGATTCTTTACGTACTTTTCGACAATTGCCGACTTTTTTACTTTAAGACCAAGTTCCGTGAGATGTCCAAGAAGATACAGTTGCTCAAGATGCGCAACCTGCATTTTAATGTTAGGTTCCATCTTTGACAGTCGAACGTCAACGTCATGATACAACGTAGAAGCGTTGTTGCGGGGTTGAAGCAACTCCGGCGAATGGTATGTAAAGTTGAAGTGAAGGGGAGTTGCGGTGGCGTTATTGTCGGGGCTTTGCTGAGGCTCCGCAGCGGGATTGTCTTCGACCACGTCACTCACCGACACCACATATTTGAACTGCACAGAAATAAGTTCAAAGTACAATTTAGGTTAGTTTTTCAGTGAACAAAATGAGATAAGTGACCTCAACGTTATATCACTACTTTAGTTTGATTTGCGTCGGAAGACTGAATATACTGACGTGCAGTAAAACTATTCCTATAAAGAAGACGAACAAAATTTGAAACGCGCTGATTTTGCTTTTTTTTCATTGTCGATACTGCGATACAAGTTATTAATTTCAATAAAATAGTTCTTATATCTACGAAGTCAAAACGATAGCGGCTTATAGGCAAATAAAGTAATTTAGCAACATTAGAACTGTCAGCAGGTATATCAACTAGTGCCAAGGTCAAATCAAGAAGTTTTCCAAATTTAGAAAACTTTAGGAAATGCACCGCAATAATTTATTAAAATACAATTAAATAAATTAATTTAATAATTAATTAAATTAATTAAAATTAAAATACATTACAATTTTTTAGTTGCATCACAATTTTTAGTCTCCAAATATCATGCCAAAATAATTAATTTGTTGTCATGCTTCTAAATGTCCCTCAGATGGTGATGCTTCATACTTAGGTCACACTTCTTACTCAGGTCACACTTTTTACCCAGTTAATACTTCTTACCCAGGAAATATTTCTTACCCAGGTCACACTTCTTACCCAGGTAATACTTCTTACCCAGGTAATACTTCATACCCAAGTCATACTTCTTACCCAGGTCACACTTCTTACCCAGTTAATACTTCTTACCCAGATCATACTACTGGCTATCTTGTTAATAATTTTGATATGCAAGTGCAGATCTTGTTCCAGGTCTGGCGTCAGTACAGCAACGAGGAGCTTCAAGGTGGTACTGGCAGTGAGGGCGAGAACTCCTGCGTGTTGCAGGTCCACTGGCAGGGCGTACGGTGGACTTGGTTCTGCCTGGGGCGCTTGGCCAGACGTGAGCGTCGAGAAGTCGCCCTCGATGGTCGTATTGGCACCGAGCACGGCTGACAAATCCAGCCACCATGAGCGAGTTCCTGCGTCATTAGTGAACATTAAGTTTTTATGGGCGAGAACAAAAATTTGCTTCAGGAGCTGAGTTTTTACAATTATGCAAGAAGTGACTTTTTCAGAACCTATTTAAATAAGTCCCAATTCAGCATAATAATTCATGATTAGAGTCTAGCAGTCCAGATTCAAGGGTTAAAGTTATCTAATTTTTACGTTTAGAGGGTTGCTTTTAGTACACAGATTTTTATTTGATAATCCCTCATGACTTGAGTGAGATATTCTGATTGTATCAATAAACGCTCAAAAAGGTGAGGGAAATAATTCCAGAAATGTTCATCCCAGCTGCAATAATAACATTAGTGTTGTCTATAGTCGATATAACACATTAGTGTGTCGTAATTATGTTCATTATATAGGTAGTCATGCAAAAATAAAAATAAAATGGTGTCTAAATGTAGACCAATGACTTGACAATCGACATGAGAAACCAATTCCAATATTTATTACCAGCAATAGAACGCAAAATCACTAATAATAAAACTGTAAGGCTTACCGTAATTGGCTGAGCTACATTCACACGAGCTCTACGGCTTAGCCTCAGAACAAAGCCAGGATATGGCACAACAAAGAGACGTGAGTTAAATCAATTTTTTGATGGATTAGTTTCTTTCCACTCTCAACGAATGACTCGTCTTAATCGGTAGGCGGCTAACAATTATGAAGTAACACCTCGAGGCATCGTGTAATGAAGCGAGGTGTTGGGATGTGGCAGAGGCAGCTGAGGCAGATGTCGGAGTTCGCCGTCACCACAATCGCCGCAGTCGTAACCACATGACGCAACATTGCAAGCCTGCAAAACATATTAGGTTAGACAGATCTGTGGAATACTCGTATTATTCACACTAATGCCGGTAATGTCGTGTTTCCGTGGCCTAATAATAATCGTTTCTGACTTGGCCTCTTCTGCAGATAAACAATCTGGACTTGCGGCATCAGAGTTTATAATAGCTGGTTATAAGTTCAGGATCCATCGAAGCCAGGGCCATATGACATGTGCATTGTACATGTAAACCTCACATTGCTCCACATGCTCAGCAGAACTGACGTGACCACAACACAACTGACGTCACCACACCACAACTGACATCACCACACCACAACTGGCGTCACCACAGCACACTGACGTCGTCACAGTAGCCGTCTGCCAGCCAGGAGTCGATGCAGGTGTCAGCGCAGGCCCCGGGGCCAGTGCCGGCAAGGTCCTCGTAGGCGCTGTCCAGGCCACCGTCATCGGTGTAGTGCGAGCCGCCGAGCCCCACACCTACACATTAGAGGCTCAGGTAAACCATGCGACGTAATATTCAAACTAGTTTGAGTACATGTAGCGGCTCAAGTATACCCAGCTGTACAAGAACACCTAGCGGGTCTAGAACACTTAGCAAGCAAGTACAGGTAGCGGCTCAAGTACACGTAGCGGCTCAAGTACACGTAGCGGCTCAAGTACAAGTAGCAACCTACAAAGTACACGTAGCCAGCTTCTAAGTAGACATAGCAACCTACTAAGTACATGTGACAACCTACAAAGTACACGTAGCGGCCAATTTCTCGTCGTTTGGTGGGTTTAGATTTAGTGTTTGGTGACAAGAGTTACGAAATCTAGAGGTAGCTAATATTGACGGACGCAGCGCTTCACCAAACTGACTTACGTATGTGACACAAAATTTGAACACTCAAGTGCATTAATATATTGTAATATCATTTCCTCTTGGAAATTGATTTGAAAGTTATGTGTAACATTATAAAAATTATTTAAAACTACTTTTGCTTAACTAGCCTTCCACTTTCCACCCGTTTCGTAAATTTTTGTCTATTGGCCTCAGGCCAATATTATTTAATCCTTTGATCCATATAGATAAATCATATTCATTGTACGGGCATCTTAGTGTCAATTCCAAGTCCTCTTACCCATTTTAATGTCGACTCCGAGACAGTCGTGACCATCATAGCTGCATATGGAGACGTTACATGGAACGTCGCAATAACCATCCGCCAGCCAAGAGTTGGCACAGCCCGGGGCACAGCTGGGCAGCTGCCACGACAGGAAGACTCGCTGCCCTTCGTCAGCAGAGTGGAAGTCTTGAGGCCAGACAGGCGCACCCAACATCACGTCGTCGTTAAAGTACAAGAAGTTGAGTGACAGTCCGGGGATCCTGAGAGAACATTACGCATTAGGACCGAGCAGCGGAGGAGACGTGAGTTAAGCATGCAAACATGTACCGCGAACATTTACAAATAAATAAAGAACAGCAACCTTGAAAAATTGCTACAAACGTTGTATACAACAGTCTTGTCCGTTTGGCTATGTTCGTCGAAAATTAATTTGGTGTTAGGGACTAGAGACAACAAGTGATATGAAAGGCGTCAGTTTGCCATGTTCAGTCAGCCAAAGCTAACAAAACTTGCTGAATAACAGCAGACATTGAGTCACCTCATACTTTTTCAGCTGCCTCAAGATTACACTTACACTTTCAGCTGCTTCAGGATTACACTTACAATTCCAGTTGCTTCAAGATTACACTTACACTTTCAGCTGCTTCAAGATTACACTCACACTTTCAGCTGCTTCAAGATCACACTTACACTTTCAGCTGCTTCAAGATCACACTTACACTTTCAGCTGCTTCAAGATTACACTCACACTTTCAGCTGCCTCAATATCACACTTTCAGCTGCCTCAATATTACACTTTCAGCTGCCTCAAGATTACACTTTCAGCTGCTTCAAGATTACACTTACACTTTCAGCTGCCTCAAGATTACACTTTCAGCTGCGTCAAGATTGCGCAAGAACGAACCGGTGCAAATGACTCTCGATTGCAGGGGAGGAGTATGTAGGTAGGTGTGAGGCGTCAGGGAAGATGGCAGAGTGAGGCACAACAGTGAGGCGGGGATGGTCGAGGTCAAGCCAGTACGGCAGTTGGCCGTTGGTGACGAGGTAGACGTGGCGCACCCAGCCTGCGTATCGCTCCAGCGAGCGCAGTGAATAGCGAAGCTCCTGATGTACATGGGATACTTGATAGTAAACTGATAATTATTACATAAATTGCGAGAGAATGACGGCCTGCTGCTTAGTCGTAAACTATTAAAAATAATACGAGTTGGCATGAGTAATACGCACTACTTGGTAAAAAAAAAGGTGATTGCTTGCAAACTGTATTACTTATTTCATGAATTTAAAAGGAAATGTCATGCAATCAAGAAAAAATTGATAAAACCAGATACAGGTTGCAGAAAAGGGAAGAAAACACAAAGTAACGTGACTCAAAACTAACTATTTTTTCCAAGCTGAAGCTAACTGGTAGTAATCGTACCTCACTGTCCTGGAATCTGTTGACATTCACGCCATCTCTAAGCTTGTCGTTCTCTACAGACTGCAGCTGCAGCAGCGCCGGCAAGAACTGAACGCGTCCGCTCAGTAGCGCGTCAGGAACGGCACTGGCGTTTTTCTTCATAGGGGATGACGAGCTATTGGCGGCCTTTGCATGATTGCCTTTAGCTTCCAGAAATGTATTTCTTTTGCTAAGACGCTCGGGAATAAGAGTATGTGCATATTCAAACTTAGGTTGAGACTCTTTTGAAGATGCAGCACCTTTTTTGGCAATATCAAAATCCTTTACAGATATATCACTGGCTTTCTTCAGCGCGTCTGACTTGACTCTGTCAATGAGATAGCTATCGCGTACGAGTTCTTTACTGGGCGCATCAGACGTTGCGGTTTTAGGAGGGTTAGGACCTTCAGTCCTTTTTGACAATTCCAGCTCGTTTTTAGCAACGTCAGCAACATCGCCGCCTACACGAAAGTTCACTCTGGTGTCAGTTGCTTTTACTTCGCCAAGAAGCAAAGATTTGGATGATCTTTCTATGGACTGGCTATCCCCTTGCCTCTGCTTGAAGCGACCTCCTAAAACTAAGAGACGTCGAGGACTTCCAGCAATAGCTTTTTCACTTAGAGTTTTCAAATCATTTTGGTATTTTTCTTCAAGATACAGTTTTTCATCTTTGTATTCTTCAAAACCGACATTTCCTTCATCACTAACCGACTTAAGACGACGTGAACTGGAGATTTTTTCATCAACCCTGGCATGGACCTCTTTAGCTCTGGGCACATCAGGATTAACATTCTCCGTCAGCAAAACAGAGCCATCTTCAGCTCTCAATTTAATCTCTGCAGTCCGCGACGACGTCTCGACACGCTCGTCAGCATGAATTTTCTTCTGATGTCCCGGTTTATACTTGGCAAGCTTGGGAACTGTGTTGTGCAAGCTCGCCTCGACGCGTGCCATGTTTTCGTTAATTCGAGGCGTGTTGTACTGCATAACAGACTCCTTGAGGTCGTCAATAAGGAGTCTGTCAGTGCACTCTACGAAGAAGCCATCTTGTATTAGCTCTCTGTCACAGCTCTGGCAAAATAAAAGCAACAACTAGAAAAAAGCTATGAGGCTAGCACATCAACATTCATGAAAGAGAAAGCAGAAAACCATTTTAGCTGAAAGTTTCTTACTAAAGAATTACAGAATATATATCACTTGTTTGCTTAAATCGCAAATTAACTAAGAATTTAAAAGCAAAGAAAAGTCCACAAAAATTCATATCTTTATAGAAAACGTTTCGGAGACCAGCTCCATCATCAGTTCGTAGAATTTAGAATCACAAATCAGAAGTCACAAATTAATACATTGAAAGCACAGAACAAAATTAAAAACCTAAATTTACAAGTAATAGACGGAGCAAAAAAACTATCTATTAACAATTTCAAGGGGATAGGAGCTAGCAGCTATGATATGTTACTAAAATTTAATGCAAATTCTGGTATGAGAAGGTAAGAAATACAGTCATCATATTTTCATGAAATTCTTTAACTAATACTATATACATATTTACAAAGTTTGCGTGTAGGTTTGCTAATAGACTGGCACCACAAGAGTAGGTATAATGGCTGCAGAACCCTAAAGTGTCGGGATATTGCCTCAATCTGAAAATTTTTCATTTGTGAGAGAATAGGAAATGATTGGATATAAGGATTGCATCAGTAAATGAAATTTGATTTAGCCATAGGTTGTTATGAGTTTAATTTTAAAGATGCAAAATCGTTTTTTAAAAACTTCAGAACAGGAGTATAAAAGGAAACCTTTCTCCTATGAAACATGTGGGTTAAAAATAATTTATACCTTACTAGTATACATCAGCTTCGTCATTATTAACAGTATTAGGGATTACGGGAATGACAAAACTTGGAATAACAGGATTATCAAGATTACAGGAATTATCAAGCCCGGCAACAGGGCAAGCCTACTAGTCGCTAGTGCAATATCATATATAAATACGTCTTTAATGAAGCCGTTAACGTATTTTCTTTATCTGAATTATTTCAACCTCTGATAAGCATTGAGGTGTTTTGTAAGACTCACTTCAGCAAACTGAGGTATGGATTTGGTTAGCTTGTAGAACAATACATTGATATCTTCTTCCCCTGCCGTGTTGATGATGAAAGCTGCTGTGTCACGTGGGACGCTCCAGCCGTGGCTCTTCTCTGTAAAATAATAAACTTAAATATACTATCAAAAAAGCCCAAAATTTGTATGCTTGACTCCTATTTCCTATGCTTTACTCGTACTCTTCGTAACATAATAATGTCAGCATTTATTATTTAAATAATAACTTTGCACGAATAGAATGATCCACATGAAGAGATACAACAAGGTTTCCGGAATCATCTAACATCTTCCGTTGATGTCACTTATATTCGGGAATCGATTGATTTTTGTGGTGATGATAATAGTGAAAGATTACTGAAATGAAACTAAGATGGAAAATATCAAGACAATCATATGATTAAAACTTGTGAATTGATTGGTGGCATGTCCAACCTTTGTGCTTTCATTAATAATTTAGATCTTTAGAGATAAACTTATCAAGTTTAAAAAGGGGGATTTTGTTCATTGCTAGATGCGTATATCGGAGAGAAAAATATTCTTAAGAAACAATCATAGAGAACATGAGTATGTACACCACTTTCATTAGGAGCTTTGCAGCGCTGTCTTAGGTGGATATTTACCGTTGCAAATCATGAAAAATTGACCTAAATTATTGCTAGATGTTCAATTCACTATTCATTTAATGTGACCTGAGGTAACAACAATCTACAGCTGAAAGTGAAACCACTTAATGCACGAAACAATGTTTAAATAAAGAGCAGCAGCATGAATATAATTTTTATACATATATTCTTATATTAGTATAGGCTGGCAGAATTTCTTCTCTTAAGCAAGTTTTGTTAAAGACCAGAGAATTAGTTTTATTTATTAGCTTCTTGTTAGTTTTTTTAATAAGTTATACTAAATTCTTCGTAGGTGTTGGAAGATTGAAAATTAAATTACCGATAGACATTTTTAATATTGAACGACGTTTCGAATGTACAACATTCATTTTCAAGTTAAAGACGCATTGAGTAACGAAATTTGGGTTGACATATGTACGAAATCAAGTAAATTGGATACCATTCAAATAATGCTAAAATTTTGTTAACGTGATACTACCTACAGGAAGATTTTACAAGCGCAAAAACTACTCGGAAAACAATCTCAAAGTTCTAACGAAGCCGGTGGTTTGAAGGTTGATAGCTGGAGTCCTCTCCTTAATGATGAGGGCCTCTGCTATAGCCAGTCGTATAGGATCGGGGCACCGCATAATATATATATTCTTATATACCTATTGATAATATATATTCACACACAAAGAGCAAGCATAAAGCTCACCTGTCGACCAGACAGCTAGACTAGGGGTTGTCTCAACCCCAATTTCCAGCATGCGCTGTTGTACGTCTCCCAAGACTGCATCTAATTCTGGCACATCTTCAGCCTTGCCAGTTTGCCCATCAAACTGTTCTAAACCATCATCACCAGCTTGATCTTTAGAATCAGAATACATAACTCTAGCCACTAAAAAGTCCTTTTCAGCATCTCCATATTGGGCTATAACTCGCTTGATGCCGGCCAGTTTAGGCGTGATGCGTAGCATGGCTGACATGGTGTCAGCATCCGCAGAGGTGTGACTGCAAATAGGAAAATTGTCATTGAGCTGCTGATTATTGACATGTAAGTATGATGTTTCCATTATAAGCAATAGAAATAAATTATAGATGGCAGCATTTTAGAAAATTGTCATTGAGCTGCTGATTATTGCCAGGTAGGTATGATGTTGCTATTATAATCTATATGAATGAATTATTCAGATGGCACCATTTCAGAAAATTGTCACTGAGCTGCTCATTATTGACAGGTAGGTACGATGTTCCTATTAGAAGCAGTATGAATGAATTATACAAATGGCGACATTTTAGGTCAATCTATTCAATTTTTATATTATACAAAAATAATAATGATAGCCAGAAACCAATAAATGATTTTGTTTGAATAAAAAGTATGTAATTCAAGTATGTTAAATATTTTCAAGTATAAAATATTTTTAGAATGTTTGCAACTAAAACATCATAAATATCATAGGAAGACTGGAATATCTCATTATTAGGATCATTTAGAAAACTACTCCTGCCTGTAGAATATGATTTGTTATGTATTATGCCAGCTGGCATAACACAACTAGGTACCATATAGAGTTCTTTTGTTACCAGTAAACAATTTTCTGAAGTGAAAATATTGAGAATGCTAACAATTATCTAAGAAAATTATTGATAGAGTGTGTTATACAGGTCAAATAGGCAGGCAATCTCTGTCCAATGTTGGCAGTCAGTTTTTCTATAAACTAGGTACATAATATCCAAATAGATCTTACAAACATTAACATATATTCTTAGTATGAGGTTTCACACAATACATTCATTCTCTCTATAGATATTTTGCAATGGTTTATAAATGATTTATAACAAATTTCCTTAATAGGAATGATTCAACTTTAAGACATATTGGTATACAGGATTATGGTACACAATATAAATGATAGATACCTACTGTATTTGCAAAATATTCACAAAGTTTAGGTGCAACTCTGATCATGCAATTTTTCTGTTGAACTAGAGACTTAAAAAATCATTATCAGGAAAAAATATAAGTAGCAATTGATGGAGTGAAGGGTTGTTATGGAATGTTCTTATGAGTTTTTTCTTCTAAATTAAATAGTTATTATCAGATTCAGTGTAGAATACTCACAGAGGTAAAGCAACATATCTGCCCAGAGTGCAGTAGTGAGGAGGGCTACAATGACCGGTAAGATTTCTAAGCACTTGTCGGAGCCCTAAAGCCAGCTGTGGGTCTGATCCATTAACCCACGTGTACACAACATCAACAGGAAGTACAGATGTGGCCAGGCTGGAAAAAATATTTTATTTAATCAATATAAATGAATGAATATACTATATAAATGAATTATTAAACAGTGTATTAAAAGATTTAAATTAGTACTCTATATTGCTGTAACATTTATTTTCAACAAATTAAATCATAAGAGAAAATGATGAAGAATCAAAGAGCACAAAAAAATCTTACTTTGGTAAGAAGAATTTCCCAGCAATGTTATCAGCAAACACACCAGTGGAAGCAGTATGAGGAGGCTGAATTCCAGCCTGCAATATAAAACAAATTCTCAATATAAGTTTAAAGTTGATTTCTGAGCAAATTTCATGGCATCTATTCAGTCGTAATGAGAAATTGTTATTGATACTGGAATATAAATACTAGTACGGTATTGTGATTTTAAATGAAACTACTATTTCATGTATAGAAAATAAATGGAATTTCTTTGAAAAAAAATTGTAATAATGTGCCTTAAAAATAAATCAATTTCTACACCATGAAATATTTTTCTACTATCTTGACAAAAATTATTTACAATACATTATATCATTCATGAATAGATATTATATAAGTACCTACCTACAGAGATTTTTATTGCAATCAATACAATGTCAAGTACTATTTACTGTATATAAGCATCATAATTTGTATTTGTAAGACAATGATTTAAATAAAAGATGACTCATTGAATGCCTTTCTTATCTAGCAGAAATATACCTATATTACAATTGTATATAAATTATAATCTCTGATTGACAGAAGGAAATAATTAATAATATTCACCATTGGGTTGCAATTCATCTCTTGTTAAAGTTACACAAAGAAGTTAAGCAACTTGAAAATATTATTCTTGAGGTAAATTATGCTAACAAAATTAATATTTATTTTTAAATTTAGAGAAATGTTTACAGAATTAAAATGAAAGCACAGAAGTAAATCAGTTATATACAAATACTTCTGAATAATTATAACCAAACAAGCAGCTAAGGCAGACCATGACTTGCCTGGTAACAAGCTGACCAGTATCCGAAGAGGAAAAAAAGTGCAAGACATATCATTGCAGAAAACACAAAGAAGCAAAATGAACCTTTGCTATTCTCTACTGCTAAGAGATCCATCATCTTACGCTGGAACCATTTCTTCCAAACAACCATGATGAATTAATTCTAAGCAAGTATTATTCAAACAACAGCATTAATTATGATGATTTTCATAAGCTAAAAGAAAATACCCAAATAAAGTTCTATATGCAATAGGAAAAGCATTGAAGAATAAAATGCTTCCATGATTATCATGTAAGTCATATGCAGATCACAGCTGGTTACTCTGTAGTCTGTAGGGTTGGAATTTATTTATGTTCTTATTAATAATTAATGATGCCAAAGTGTAGAGTGGACTACACAATACTAGTACCTTAAATATTAGATAATACTCCTAGTCTCCTATGAGAAATAGATAAAAAAAATCCTGATAATTTGAGTTAAGGAATTAATATTTTCTATAGTTATGCCATACTGGAAAATTCCAAAGAAGCCATGATGATGAATTCAAATGAGGCAAAAATGCGATGCTTGTGGCAGTGATTCCTAGATAGCCAGGCTATAGGCTATAGCCCATGAATAATTTTTCGGTATAAATTAAGAAAAAATATGCTCACCAATAATTTTTTGTAATAACCTATGAAATATTGTTTTACTTTACTCAAAAATGAAACAATTTTGTCCAATATTCCATATTGGACAAAATGAGCTGTACTGCAGTAGTGTGCCGTAAAATGGGGTAACTTAGACCACTTTTTTATAAATGATGCCATTTTTTACTAGCTAAATTAAACTTGAATTGAAACATGCAAAATACAGGTCTATACTCTAGCTTCACTCACCACAAATTGCTGGCTCCTGCCTCTCATAATCTGTATGAAATTTAAAAAAAAGTGATGGTCTTTGTTACCCCAGCTCTTGGGGTAACTTAGACCGGGTGGTAAAATCAATTATATTTTTTGGTAAAATAACTCCAGGTTTTGGTGCACTGTAGTAGAACTCTTCTAGTTACATATGCAAATGACAAACTAGAGGAAAGTGTCATAGTTTGCAAATGGGGGGCACTGCCCCATAATGAGGGAAATGTGACTACCTAATGGCAGCCCTGATGGGGTAATACTGACTGGCTTGGAAATTAAGTTAAAATTATCATATATATGACTCTGTAGAGTCTGAAATATAAAGAAAAAACATAAATAGGCTGTCAAACATAAAATATGTTATAAATGTTAATTTCCAAGCCGGTCTATGTTACCCCGTCAGGGCTGACATTAGGTGGTCTAAGTTACTCCATTTGGGTGCAGCGCCCCCCATTTGCAAACTATGACACTTTCCTAAAATTTGTCATTTGCATACGGTATGTAACTAGAAGAGTTCTACTACAATGCATCAAAAACTGGAGTTATTTAACCAAAAAATAAAAAAATTGGAGGGGGTACTATGACCGGCTTTAAATAATAGCTTTTTTTCATGGGTCACATTTTTAATTTTTTAACCTATTAGATATGCAAACTTTTCAAATCTTTCTATTGTGTTATGTAGCCTCAGTATTAGGCCTTTAATGCCCATTGACAAAATTTTTCTATGTCAAATAGTTTTTGAGTTGTGGGGGTTTTTGTTAAAAAACAAAAAGTGGTCTAAGTTACCCCGCCGGTCTAAGTTACCCCATTTTACGGTATGCAAATAGTGAAATCAGACAAATTTACAATTGCTAAAAAATTTCAGTGCCCTGCTCTAAAGGTCACATATAATGATATATACTCTTTGCCAGTCTATGCCTCTATGGCAATAAGGCTTAAAGGCTATAAATTTAATGTCTTGAAACTTCATATATTGCTTTGCACTTTGCAGGTAAGGTGCTCTTGCATTTTTCCTAAGAATTACCAGTAGTTAAATTTTACCTAATTGAGATAATTCATCTTCATCAAGTAAAAATCTACCAGCTCCAGAAATCCAGTGATCCACAATCAAGTAGAGCTAGATTCAAATTTTACGGTTTCACATACTACAGTAGGTATTAAGTAGACATTAGCCTCTAGGCCATTAGCCATTATTGGGAGACAGGAATAGGTGCAGCACGTTTCAGAATTTATTGATTTTAAATAAATTGAAGGTCTTGTTCTGAAGATAAAAATTCAACCCACTGAACCCACACCCACTGTGGTCACACAAGGCATGGCAGGCATGGAATATATCTACTTGGTGAGCCACAGCAAACAGCTTAGGGCTGTGACTAGAGCTTTCCAGCCATTTCTGGAACATCAAGTTTCCCACCAGATGAATCACCTCATATCTAATTGTTAACAAAAGTGCAAAATGGGGCTGCAAGTTTCTAAATATCTTAGAAATTTGTCACTTCAGAGCCATGAGATTTTAGAAATGAGTAGGAAAATTTAAATCATGACTGTCTTGCAGTGTGGTGTGACAGGTGTGTGTCTGCAATCTAGTGAAACACTGAAACATACATTTCCAAATGTTATAGCTCAGATGGCAGTCATCTTGTCTGTCACCATCTGTGAAGCATTTTGACTCATTTTCTACCTATAATAATAATGTGTTCACTTTATTTGGAGGATTTGTAATAAAAAACTTTATCAAATAAAAACTTGAATTTGGATACGGTACTTGGGTTAGGTCAAGCATGGGCCTGTGTGGAAAACGTCTACCTTTAGCCTTTAGGGCCACTACTACTACTAGAGTTTTCCTACCATTTCTGGAACTGCAAGATTTCCACCAGATGAATTACCTCCTATCCTATCAAATTGTTAATAAAAGTGCACTGTCACTGTTCACGATTCCGATGATTGGGCTGCTGCGGCTGCAAGATTCTAATTGTATTAAAAATTTGTCACATTGGAGCTGCGAGATTTCAGAAACAAGTAGTAAAAATCCAATCCTGGGTTGGGTTGGGACTGTAGCCTTAAACCTTGTAAGTTGTAGGCAATAGGCATGAACATAGGGTAAACGCGGTATATTCCAACACATTAAGGACGCATCGAGAAATGAAAAACTATAAAAAAAACCGTATGCGTTACGTAAGTTCTGTTGCCTTCACATGACTCTCAAAACACTTCACTACGAGTCAGCAACGATGAAACGTCACAAAATGTTGCCATATTTATTAAAAAGCCTTTAGAGTGGCATGCATTGTCTCTCTTTGGATCTCAATATTTTCCCACTAGATGGCCAAGACCTAGTGTTTTTGCAGTATTTCGACACGCAAATGTATGACGTCACCATTCCAACCATCAATGAACGGCTAACGCATGGAACTAAAACAAAGCTTAATATAAAGGAAAAGCTGGAGAGGTGACGGAATTACCTACGATGTCGGAATATACCGCGTTTACCCTAATGTTAGTACAATGATAAAATTGATAATACCTATTTTATTTTATATGTCAATCATAGTGGCAAAGCCGAGAGTTTTTTAGACTCTCCCTCAAGTTCATTTTTGAGTCCTATAAGTAGACAAGCAAAGTATCATGGATACCAGCATTATCATACATAAGAAATTGGTTTAAATCTTGAGTAAATGAGGAGATTAAAAATGAACTGATTCTAAAAAATCTCTGGTTTGTCACTATCAGTTTGTCACTCTGGTTTGTCAATAAAATAACTGTTTAAAAGCTAAACCCTAAAAAATCTAGCAGGCACTCGGAGTAGTCCGCACTTGTTTGTACTTGTACTGTTGTACAGAGTACAGTCTTGCAACAGGTCACACTTAGAAGCTGAAGGCGCTGACCCCTCACCCCTGTCGGCGGCCTGTCCCCTTGCAACACAAACACCTACACCGGCCCGGCGACCTGCCAAGCCAGGCTTGGCCAGCTCCAGCAGGCTTTGAGCCCTATGAGTTCAGTCTACGACTACGACCATTCTCGGTTTCTGCTACACAACTGAACGTTTCATAAAACTGATTTCAGATTGAAATATGGTTCTTCTTACAGTTACACGCTTTGCTATTAATTGATTGTGGAGTTGGGGTCCTGCCGTCCGCGTCCGGGTACTTCGCACTGAACCTTGAAGTGGCGAATGACTGATCCATGTGAAGCTACGGCACGTCAACTTCCGCAAATTTGCCATGTATTGTCGTGCCACCGTCGGACAAGATTGGTTAGAACCGTTAATTTAAATCAGAACCACCTACAGTATGCTCCGCGAGTACGTCTCGGACAAAAACGCGGCCTCTCTCACGGCCAGCCGCCTGTAAAGCAGCGTCTTTTGCAGCCAAGTCTGCTCGTTGGTGAACTGTTTCCAATGCTATGGAGAAAGTGCCTTAGGGTAATAAAATATAGAAGTCTGTGTTCATTTTTGAAATATTAGTTTAACCACGGTTGAACTATTAGTTCACCCATGACTGAGTTTTTTTTGCGCCAGTGATGTTTAGAGATACGTAATTAGTTTTTCATTCATTTATTAAATTACGGAATCACCCAATTCCCCGCCGTGTTTTAAGGATCTTTTGTACGCCACCCGTTTTGCACTTCAGCCAATCAGCTGAATCAGCTGTTCCTGTTCATTTATGTACATGTTCTATGAGACATACCAGATCATACATTGTCCCGCCCAGATCATACATCGCCCCGCACTGGGCCGCACATGTCATCTGTATGAGACTGAGTGAGTACATGACACTTGATGCCAATGCCATCATGCCGGTAGTGCTGGACGTTCTCCTTTCATGCCGACAGTTTAGTCGGGAGCGTCAGTCACTAATCTCCAGTGTTCAGGCCTTGGGTATTTTGCACCCATCTGTTCGAGTACTTCTTGGTGGAGGCAACTTTCAAAGAAACGTTCAACGCGCCATAATTAAAGCTACAGTCGCCTATTTAACACTGACAAATCGCCTGGCTTCCTTGTAGTGCATGAGCATGATGAGCATCGTCACGGCTTGGGCAGCAAACAAGACTGCAGGACCAATTGATGAAGCCTCCAGATGTCATTGAAACAAAATTAAACCTGCTGAGTCCAGGTGTAACCCATGGTCAGGAAGATGTGCCAGGTGCGCGGGAATTTATTTTGTCATTTTAACGACCTGCGCGGTGCGCCGTACTACGTTGGTAAAAAAATGCGCCGTGCGCGGTGCGCCGTACTTTAGAAAGCTAAAATAGTTCTACTATTTTAGTCGACACGACAATATACGCAAGTATATTGACTACGCGAGTCGAACTGACAATAATAAAATGTAAGACATGTCCTGGTTACTTCTGACTCTTCCGGTTGTCCGCCTTGTCGGATACGGAACGTACGGTAATCGTAAACTGCGGCTGTTATACATACGAGATGTAAACAGACGGTGTTCAGTGTTGCCATATGACTTTGGAGAAAATTTCAGTATTATTGCAGATTAACTACATCCAAAAAAAAGGGTGTTTTTTTTTTTAATTATATGTTTTTTGGGGTGTAGATTACGAATCTGAAATCCATTTTTGGCGGTCGGCATCGGAAAACCGATTTTTTTCCGACCCAAAAATCGCGCTAAAAATGCCTAAAGGGATTGCGCAAACACGTGCGCGAAGATAATAAATTTTCATTACATTGCGCCAACTGTGCACAGCAATAGCTTAAAAAAAGTGAAAATGCGCGGGAAAATTCACTGAAAACATACATCATCCTGAGTGTGGGGTGTAACAAGAGGTCACTACGCGACTACTTCCTCACCTACAAACTGCCAACTGGAAACAACAACAACAGCTACTGGACGTCGACCGTTCAATGGTTTCGGCCCTAAATCAAGTTAATTTTTTTGACTTTTAATAGAAGAGAAGATACGGTTAACAAAATATTGGGAGGAAGGAAGTGTCAGCCAGGCAGCAAGAAAGAAAATGGGCGTTAGGATGGGAGGAGACTACTCTAGAAAGAGAGAGGCTTGGCGGAAGTGAAATGTGGCCAAGCAACGGAAATGACAAATGAGTTTTCTCTGGACTATTCTTATGATAATGTGATTATTATTAATATGATAAACGTAATGTGATAAGTATTAATATTATTAAGATAAACATAACTGGTAGTCTGGTACAAGTAAAATTTTTCCGCTACGCAAGGTAAATTTAATCAAAATTCTTTGTTGTTGATTGATTTTATGTCAACTGCGGCCTTTGCTAAGTGCTAAGTCTAAGGCTCTACTGTAAATGCATTTTTGTAATGTCCCACAGTCCCTTAGGCTTAGCCTATTACCCAATACCCAGGGGGGGGGGCGGGGGGGGTGTCCCTTATTACCCCGTTGTGCGAAAATGGCCCCCATTTTTGTCTGGAATGAAATATGCTAATTCCGTCAAATGTGTCAGTCACATTTTAAAGCCAACACCTGTGTGCAACTTTTATGTAAGTATAATTTTTTAATATGGTAAATAATTTTTTGCTACAGATCTTAGCAGAGGTACTTTTCCCAAATCTCACTTTTCAAACTTCTTTCAAGGATTTTTTAGAGGTAGTAAAAGTATGACTTCTTGACTTGCTTTACATAGATAGAAAAATGTTAAACTTTAAGCCACCATTTTTTGTTTTTCAATATTTTAATTAGTTTAGCAGTTTAGCTGCTGCTACATTTCTACAAAATGTTAGAGGACTATCCCTTATTACCCTGCCCGTCCCATATTACCTGTTTGATGGTACCTTCACCAAATTGCAGATAGGATACAAATTGCAATTGGTGGAGAGTAGTCTCATTTACTCCTATAATTAGGCAAATTATTTGGTTGGCATGACAAGATGGGTCACTTAAACTCTTCTGCTGTAACATAGTAATGTTTATAAATTGTTTTACCTCCAAATAGTTTTATGCAGCATGAAGAGAATACCAGGACCGGTAGTGCCTTTATTTTCCATGTTGAAAACCTAGTTTATTGGAAGTGTTCAAATTATTAAGATATTCATATCAAGTTTGATTGAGTTACATTATTTTTTAAGGCTTGGAAAAATGATTATGCTTGACCTATGGACATTCTCGGAGTCTCGTCACAGCAATGAAGTCTTTAGATACACTGTGAGAAGGTCAACTAATGGTTTGCTGAAGTGTATTGATGACAAGGAGACTGCAGTGAGTGCAAGGTAATATTTTGAATTTATTGTTACCTGAAATGAATAAATTGATTTAAGATCTTTAATTACCGGTACCTCCATTGTGATGAATATATTTTGTTGATAATGTCATCTTATTGAAATGTTAACAATGATTATTTGACTGAAACCATTTAGGTTGGAAGGATGCATGCAAACAACTGAAATAAGTAATGATGAAAAATTCCTAAGATTTGTTCTGCACGGAAATGGAAATTTTGGATGGGGTGGAGGTCAAAATAGAATTTCAGAATGATTCCTTTGATTCATTTGAATCTGTTCAGTTAATCTTATAGGTATCATCAATTATAATTGGTTATGTTATCAAAACAAGTGAATTTTCCTCTGAGTCCTCAAATAGACTAGTGCCTACAATAATTTTTCAGAATTCAACTCAGTGTTATGGCATTGATCAATTCATTTGGTCTGTTGCACTTCATTCCATCATTATAATTCTAGCATTTTTCTGTGCCCAATTGCAGTGATGGTGTGAAAGCATCCTTACTTCAATGGCTGCGAGAAGCTTTCCTTCCTGAAGGTTATCCAGAATCAGTATCTGAAGACTACCTACATTATCAAGCTTGGGACACAATGCAGGTATATGCCTATGGTATATTCATTTTTATTACGTATATGATATTTTATATGTTCCCATTATTTATATATGGTACATCAAAATTCACAATGGAACCATTAGTCCCTGATGACATCTTTATATGTAATTCTTGACTTGATTTAATGTGTACTACACAGGCATACTGCAGCAGTGTGGCTGGCTCTGTATCATTACATGCCACGTTAGGAAGCCTGGGTGTGGGGCATGAAGGCTCCACTGCTTTAGCAGCCACACTCACGTGGCTCACCAACACGGGTGCTGGAATGGTGGCCTCCATTACTTTCACTTACTTCAAAGGGTGAGTAGTGATAGTTTCACCAGCAAGCTGGAAGGGGTGATGTGTTTGTTGCTCTAATATGCTTTGCTGGTACGCCAATAGCCAAATTCAGCAACATTTTACACTGAAGTTGAAAACAAATTTGGAAATTACCAACAGCCTCCAAATCAGATGATTAATTTTGTAACTACTACCTACTTATTGTGCATTAAAAGCCTACTTGTTTTGTCTTAGTCTATCATGTCTAATGCCTCATTTATCAATTATTTAAATGCTTAATCACAATTTGTTGGGTTAGAAATTTAATAGTATTTCTTGTGTACTTATATCAGGACGCACTTGGACAGCAACAACAAACAATGGCGTTTGTTTGCAGACGTGAGCAACGATGTAGCGCTACTACTGCGTCTAGCAACACCTCTACTGGTGCCCTACATGCCTGTTGTAGTTCCTCTCACTATTGCTGCTGTGCTCACTGCTCTTGTTGGGGTTGCTGGAGGAGCCACACGAGCTGCACTCACAGCTCATCAAGTCAGTGAATCTGCTGTGAAATGTATTTAGTTTGTAGCACAGAGTTCTATCTTACTGCACAAAGTTCTATCTAACTGCCCAAAGTTCTATCTCACTGCACGAAATTCTATCTCACTGCACAAAGTTCTATCTCACTGCACAAAGTTCTATCTCACTGCACAAAGTTCTATCTAACTGCACAAAATTCTATCTCACTGCACAAAATTCTATCTCACTGCACAAAGTTCTATCTCACTGCCCAAAGTTCTATCTCACTGTACGAAATTCTATCTCACTGCACAAAGTTCTATCTAACTGCACAAAGTTCTATCTAACTGCACAAAGTTCTATCTTACTGCAGATAGAACCAAAATATTTCTCTGCCAGTTCACTTGTAAAGCATGTATCTAAAAGTGATGATATCCAATTAGGGTTAATATGTGAGCAAATTTACAAAAAAATTATTGAAGTTTTTTAAAATTTGATTATTGCATGTGCATAATGATCTAGCAATATGTAACAATTAAAGTCTGTTGCTTGGAACATCTAACATGTTCTTCCTCGTCTCTTAGAAGCACTTTAGCCAACATGCAACAGCAAATTCTTAGAGGCTTTAAAACTGCGCAGATTTGCTGGGTTCTAGCCTATGTCTCAATAGCCATCTTTTTTTCCTCTAAATTATTCATGCTAAAATTAGAAATTTTTATTTATAAAACAGGCATTTTCCTAGTCTGCAGTTCACCACGACATTTGAATCAATAATAAAATATTGAAATATATACAAGTGGAATAATCAAAATCATGGTGTAATATACCTATTTTTATTTATTAAATCAGGCCAGACGGAATAATCTGGGCGATGTTGCAGCTAAAGATGGCAGTCAAGAAACCCTTGTGAATCTGGCTGCCCTGCTGACATCACTCGTATTGTTACCACTCATCACGCACAGTCTTGTGTAAGGAAAATATTCCTATGCATATTTGATAGTTTATATTTATCATGCACAGTTTTGTGTAAGGCAAAGTTTTTATTAGACTTTTCTCTCCTCACGCATCTGACTCCAATCATATCATGTTTTTTTTAAGATGAGGAAGTGGTCTCATTTGTAAGTGGCCCTAATTTCCAACATTCTACTGTATATGAAATTTGAAAATGCATTTGAGTTGCTTCACTGGTATCTACTGTCATAACAAAATAGATGATAATGTGTTAGATATCTTACTGTTTTTGTCAGTTTGTTGTTTGTTTGTTTACTGACCCTACAGAATGACGTGGTCTGTGTTTATGGTGCTGCTGGCGCTGCACCTGCTGTGCAACTACCAGGCAGTTCGAGCTGTGGTTGCGAGGACGCTCAACAGACCACGACTACTGTTGCTCATGCAGCAGTTTGCCGACACCTTTACAGTGATGCCGCTGCAAGAAGCTAACGCTGCTGAGCCGTTATTCACAGGCTCTGCCTTTTGCGCTGGTGTGTGTCACCTTGTGTTGTTGACAAGAGGCGCATTGCATCAAAACAGTACTATTAAAATTTGTACTCAGAGCTACTCACCCAAACCTATCAAATAACATGATTTATATCTATTAATAATTACAGGAGGGAGATTGCCGGTAAAAAAATTGCATCGCAAATGACTTTAGTATTCACCATTCTTCACTTCACATGCACCAACAATAACTTCAAAGACACACATATGTTCCTCTTAATACAATTAATGCATTACCATTCATACAGACTGGCCTTGTGGTTACAGTTCTTGGTACCAAGATTGAAGCAGTGAGTTACTGGTTCGATCCCGGCTTCCTGTGACAATTCTGGTCAAAATCGTTGCGGTGGCCGGGCCATTAAAATAATAGCAAGATTGGAGCAGTGAGTTGCTGGTTCGAAACCCCAGCAAGCTGTCCAGATTTCTGAATTTTGTGATATATAGAATTGGCGACCGGCCCGATTTAGCAAAATCAGATATAGAATTGGCGACCGGCCCGATTTAGCAAAATCAGCACGGACACCGCCATTTATATTACCATTTTTATATTGTTTCTCCTGTTATTGTGTAATGTTAACTATTATATAGCGAGGGTGGTAGTTTCCTTAATCTACTTTTTTTAATGTCTACATACCATATGTATCCTCCATTTCTTTCCTGTGAAAGCTTTTTTTTTATTTCATTCGAAGCTCGTGTCCAAGATGTTTTATCGTCAGCCATAGGTGTACACCAAATATCATCTAGAACAAGTTTTACTTTATCACTATAAATTTCGTCGTCATCTGTGCACATGCACTTTGGTTGAAAGTTTAAGCGTGTCACATCCGGGAAAATAAACAACAAGCCTTGGTCTCTCAATTAACTGTAAAATTAGGAGATCTTTCAGTTCCGTTGTTGTTTAGAAGTTTGAATTATATCAATAAGTGTTTGATTTACCAAGTTAGTGTCCGGCCCAGGGGTTAAAGTTCAGAGAACCATGATTGCAGCACAGAGGTGCGGGTTCGATCCCAGCTCTGTGTGCCAGTTTCTGGTCAGAATTGGCAAGGAGGCCGGGCGGTAGCGCACAGCAGAATTGGAGCAGTGAGTTGCGAGTTCGAGACCGCAATCAGCTGTGAACGTTCTGCGATGTTAAGAATCGGCGACAGGCCTACGGCTTAATTAACGCAGGAACCGCTATTATTATTATATTATTATTAAATTGTTACTAAGGAAGTCTGGGTGAAGGCTTTCATGAAGCTTGCGTGAGCAGAGTTCTTGTGTCCCGGTTGGCGACTTGAGCTGGGCAGCTCCTTGCAGCAGCTCCTCAACAGCTTGCGGACCAAACCTCGACTGGATGACAATTTCGCGGTGAGATTTGTTACCCTGTGGTGGCACTATCAAATATAGTCATTAGTTCATAACTCCGTCAGCAAATTAGTGACGGTTTCTATAGCTTGATATACCAAACAAAGGCAAGAAATCTTGAACATCAATCTTTATTCCAAACAATGTACAGTATATGCCCTAGGTTATGTTCACACTGCATTCAAAATAATTTGTTGGTTGTTTCCTTATTGATAATGAATTCACAATAGTTCGTTAACGATTTTCCAGTGGCTAATAAAATGCTTCGTTTAAACACGCATGCAGATCGTCGTGACGCGGAGACGCGTGCATGTTGTGCTCCACGACGACGTCACCGACAGGCAGCTGCTGCTGGCATGCTGGACGGCCCTGCATATAGCTCGTGTTGCCAGCAAGGTGAGGACCTTCAGTGCTAAAATATCTTGCGTTATTTGAAATAGAGAGACTACTTGGGCAGGAAAAATTTACCTTAAACTCAAAGGTGTGACTGGAAATGAAATGTTTTGTTGTATTCTATGTAGTTAGCAAACCGTGAAGATGTTTGTCTTGCATATACTCTTCATGTCTTGCATGCTAATTACTAGGGTTTCACTTTGATTTACTTATGAGCAGACAGGGAGTTTCAGCGATGGTGATGTGGAGCGCGTCAGAGAGAAGGCAACGCAATCTTTTCCTAGACTGGAAGAAGCGCTCATCAAAGAAGGTCAGTTTTGCTGTCCTGTGAAACGTTCTGATGAGCGTCACTTTTGTAAGACTTGTAAGACAGTTGTTTTAGTGTCTCCCCAAGAGGTTCTCTCCCCACTTACAATAATTTCACAACTGGTATAGGACCGACGCGGCGTGCGCTGCTATTCTGGCTCCGTATTTGCCGTTTTCTTTTGCTTCCTTTTACTCAAATTACTTTGACTCCTGTGAGAAATTTGCCCTTCTTCATCTCGTATACTTTAGCAGTTTTTTAGTAAGGTACCAAATATTATCAAGGTTTACAAATTAGCGTTAATAATTTTGAGCCTGAAACTCTACAAAGACATAATGCACTCAGAGAAATAAGGCAGACTTTCTGCAATATGCAATGCAATAGGAGATGCAATTTTTGCTCCTAAATGGGTCATCCTGACCCAATTGGGCTCGAAAAACGGGTGTATCAATGCCATTTACAGAAATGTGTCACTATTTTGACAGTATAACCCATTCATTTTTCTTAGTGTGAAAATAATTAAGACATGCTTTAAGAATTAATTTTTCAGGCTGGGCTGTGGACGAGCTGCACCTCAACACGCGGCCGTGGCGTGTGCTGCAAATATCCTAGAGGACATAGATTTATTTTGAGGATTTCCTCAGCCGCTCCTAAGTTTTGGGCTCGTGGGTGGGGCTATTGCACGTTTTAAATTGATTGTTAAACTTCGTTAGTTTTTCGAAAATCCTAATCTTTAGTGCACGGGAAGGGTTATGTTTTTTTTTCATCGAACATTTATCATCTTCTACAAGAAGTTTATTGTTTTACTTTGTTTTTATGTGTTATCGCTCCTCCTCATACTACCGCTAGGAGAATTTTTTTCTATCATGCGTTACTTCATTTTTTGTTGTTGATTGCACGTTTTCTTCTCCGTAATGTTTTCTGTCTGATTAAAGTTTAATATGTGTAAGAATTTACTTTTCTACTCCATTTTTTGTCATACGCAATTTTCTCGCCGTGTTAGATTATACATCATGTGTTAAAAATTGGTAAATTTTTGCAAAACTTTTGCAAATGTTTGTAAATGTTTTGTGTCTCCAAATTGGAGTACAAATGACGACTCCTTATCTCATAGCACTTACACGGACATAAGTGCACATTCGTCTTCTTTCATATGTATTAAAAACCTCGACATTCCATTAATAAATTTTTATACGATTTGATGGAAATTTTTATTCTATACGAAGCCTAGAATCTATGAAGGCAATCGCTTGAGTGGCGTAGATATTCAACTGTTCTTCTCTGAATGACGACCTATTAGGCTAGTCTTGCTGTGATCGCTGGCATATTACAAAGAACTGAGAGTATCGCTAAGTCGCTTGCTGGTACGAATTCAGCTAACACGTTCCTTTCGTCCACTAATTGAAATCACAGGAAAAACTTTCAATTGACAATTTCGATGTTAATGTCAGTTGCAAATTGCAACTTCAGTTTTACAGTGAATTGAAATCAATGTTATAATGTTAGGTTGCACATGGAGGATTTGCCTAAAGAAAGGTCTATTTTTATATTTATTAAATTGATTTCGGAAAATGCCTGCCAGACTAAAAACTGATGTTTTAACGAAAAACTTGTATTGAAGAAACACACCTAGTTGAACCACTGCAGCTCCTTCAGACATTTCGGCACTGAATAAATAGGCCCATGGCCTGTTGCCGATTCTTGAATTTCCCGTGACTTGATTCACAAGGGATCCGGCCTTTGGAACCCGATCTTTCCGTAACTGACGATTGATTGAGATAGCTGCTGGACTTATTGCCTGGTCCGTAATTTGCTAGGCATTTTAAGACTGAACATATGCACCTGCATAGCTTCGTCGAGTCTGTTTTTGAAGGCGTTCATACTCGGAGCGTCAACGATGCTATCAGGGAGGCTGTTCCACATGTCGGTGACTCGAAGCGAGAAGAAATGTTATCGCATGGATGTGTTACAACGCAGTTTTTTTAGTTTATAGCCGTGGCCCCTGGTGTTGGTTCTTGTTTCAAATTCTAGTAATCCTTCTGGGACCTTGTTTAAGCCATGAGTATACTTGTATGCTCCAATGAGTTCCCCACGCAGACGCAGGCTAGCAATATTGATGGCATGCCGAAAGGACTGTTGAGTTGTCGCATCAGCAGCCGCATGTACTGTGGACACTGAGCAGAATTGGCAAATGCACAGTTTGTGCGATTTCATTCTTCCTACAAAGCAACATGTTCAGTTTCTGGTCGTAAATATTGAACCAAAGGAAATTAGTTTGGACGTTATTGCAAGAAATTAGGCAACTCAAAAGCGTTGTCCAAACAGTGTTCCAGCTCAGTGGAATTAATGTTCAGTAAGAGGCAACAACGACTCGAGTGCGGGGGAGAGCGAGCTATTGATCGAGTAGTGGTGGCGGGCGGGGACGGGGTTAGGTTAGTGCGGCTCGGTAGTGACGCGTGCGCATTGTCGATCTCCTTGCAGCCACCGCCTCACGCTAGTCGTGTTACTCACTCCAGTGTTTCGTGTCTTTTCCTACACTTGCCACATTATCTCATGTTTACAGTGTTAGAAGCTACTATTTTACCTTATGATTTCCACGAGTCATGATATTTGTGCCTAATTGTGAGATGAATTACGCGACCATTGTTTGGCTGGTGTTGATAGTGAAGCGCGGGTGTGCTGTTGCTCGGGACTGGAAAGACAATTGTTGCTGCAGTGCTGGAACAGGTGGCTTCGCCACAGGCTAAACGCTACAGGCTCCGGGCCTCCAGAGTTCTGTCGAGGATCTGAGTGAACAATTTTGATTTAAGTTCAATTTACGATTGTGTGGAGAATTTTACAGTTGTACATTATGTCAAGGGGATGGGAACGTGTTTCATTGATAATAGTTTGACACGGCGTTTTGACTCGTTAAAAGGGCAAGAATTTCACTTTTCATGAGCGTTTTGTCCTGAGTTCAGGCATAGTGGAGCTTAGGTGAGAAATACCCTATTATTTCTATTTTATTGATTAATTTTTTATTGGGAAACCATTTACAGTGTTTATTATCAACCGGCATTGATTTGTTTGCTACCGAGAGGTCAGTAAAAAAATAAGAAACCTGCCTGGGACACCAAAGATCGATGCATACATGTGGTCTGGCTGGGTTCTGGAATGATTGTCCTATAGTAGCACGATAAAGTGACGGATTAACCATCGCTTTATTGGTAGTGACTCTATCGGGCCAGTCTCTTGACTCACAGTCGTGAGTGTTGAAGATGCGTAAAATCAGAATACACAAGCGAGTTTTTAATCTAGTTTAAGACACCGGTCATGTTCTTCTCACAAGCTCAAATTATGTTGGACTTAAATGTACTTCACGTAAATTTAAAATATGTTACTCGTCTAGGGTTGACTGTATCAAGGCTGATTTCAAAACTACATTATTTTCCGACCAAAGGAATGCTAGAATTGCGCGCTCTATTTCGTAGTGAGCTTGCAAAATACTTCAAATAGATGTGTTAAATTGATATTGCGGGTAATTAATTTGTCTTTAATCGAAGTGTCACCGCTGCATTGACAGAGGCGGCTTTCTTGGTCAAGAAAATCGTTACAGTTGTTGCTTTTTCTTCACTATTGGGTTTCACCCTTCACCCTTCCTTGCACACTCATGTAAATGAAATGTTTTATAAAGCCAAGTTAATGAGAATGTGTTCAATGCAAGTTACCAATTACCAATTCTTTGGCTTTCTTTTTACTATACAATTTTGTAAGGCAGACTAAATTTCTTAGTTTTAGCGCATACCTGGCAAGCGTGCTGCGTCGATGCGAAGTTCATGCTAGTAATGCAGAAATAGAATACCGCGCATTAATCATGGTAAGCTTCGTTTTCGTCTAGGTACCTCGATCCTCGAATCATAGTTCTGAATCTAGTTTCATAGTTCTAGTTTCATAGTTTCATAGTTCTGAAAAAGAATAACAATACAGCTCGATGCGAGGAGCTATAGGGAACTTTTTCGAAAATATACGTCAGATATTGCATATGTCATTAAAAATTAAGTTGTGTACTCAATAACTCCAGATAGCAATATTATTAATTATTATAATATTTTTTCGGCCTTGATAGATACAATATTTTAATCTTACTGTCCACGTTCTTCCTACAGAGGATGCAAGTTTTCTTCACTCTTTCCTTCAGAATCTTGAACAGGAAATGCTCCTTTCCCTTCCAACTTTTCACATGATGTTCTGAAACATATTTCTATATAATTTTCTTGCATTTAGTTTCAAATTTGGATGTTAAATGGAGAAACCTTTCGAATTCTATACAAATTTCTATATGTAAATGCAATAAACACATATACATTGAAAAAAGTGCCTCTATGATATTTGTTAGAGTTAACAATTTGTCATTAACCTCGGCGCTTTGGTATTTCCTGTACGGAGTTTCGTCATAAGTAAGTGAAGAATTCGTGTATATTTTCTCCTCGTTAACAAAACTAAGACGAGATGTACGTACATTGTTCTGTGTAGAAGATCAAACCAAAGGCTGTGAGTGATGACTCTATTTAAAAGAAGTTCCCGGAAGCTTCAGCCGGAATTCATCGGAGAAACCGCCATCGGGAGCATCATTCGTCGAGTGGCTTAGATAAGGAAGTGCTGGAGTTGTACGAATCGTTCCTCACAGAATAAACTAGCTTCTGATTTGAGTGTTGGACGCCTCTTGCAGAAACAAAGGTTGAATGTGGATGATGGTGCCCATACATCCGCTGTGTGAGCTTAAGAAAGAATCAAGCTTTGTTTCAGTTGTAAGACTCGCTGCGAAATGTCGAGGTTCATGCTAGTGAAAAGGCTTATATAAAGACGAAAAATGCACGTTGCAGGCATAATAGAGAATGAGGATTGCAAAGTGTATTATGTGTCATCAAAAGAAGAGTAGGTGGTGAAATCAGTAGATCAAGTAGCGGTTTATAGTTCAAGGACCCTAGTTAAGTTTAGGTACAAAGCAGCTGCGCTAAAAGCTGCGCAAAGAGAGCGATCAATGTCTATGGAAACTGTGCCTGAATAATTGATGTTTTTCGATACTTCTATCCTCTTGAACTTTTCCATAGATGGGCTTGGTCTCATCTACAAAGTAAATTGTTTGTGTAATTAATAAGGGGATTTGAAATACTTGTATCGTGGCAAAATGAGCAGAAAAGTATGACAAGAATAAGGCACTGAAAAGACAAGTATATGAGTGAATCCGCTGGCGCAATGATTGGTTGGGGGCACAGGAAAGGCCGGCCTGCCACGCCAGCGTGATTGGCGTGCTGGTAAAAATGAGACTAAGAGTTGGACGATGCCAACTCGTGTCAGGTCACACTTGACCAAAGGAAGACGATGTAAAGGCAGGAGAACCATTCATCCTGAAAACCCGTGTAGCAAAGGGCAGGTACGTCCAGGGACGCAGCAACTACCAAGCAGCCGTTCTAAAGCTGTAAACTTCTCGGAGAAAGTTGAGCGCACAATGGCTTTGAGTTCTGCAAGCGCCATCGACCAACAAGCTCTGACACGTGAGTTTGAGGAAATGTTATGCATGGTCCTTATATAGTAGGTTTCTGTTTCGTCTGAACAGATGGGCCGGATAGTTATTGTTACGTATTTCACAGCTAGTAAATTTTAGATATTTAGATATACGCAATTCATTTAACCTCAAATTTATTTTACTAATTCAAAAAAGCACAAGCGCTAATAGTCACGTTTTAGGTATCAAAACATAATAATTCCTTCTCCACAGCGTTGGATTATTTGTCCGGCGCAAAAATGTTTCGAATTTTTTTTAATTAAAAAAGATGCCATTACAACAAAATTGTTATCAATTATCTCGCTAAACTTGCAACTGGGTTTACGAATCCATCATAAAGTCTCAAGTTATGAGGCAAGTCGAGCAGTTCTAAATGTCGAGAAAGAATTTACTGAAGTCCGCGGAAGAAAGAGTAGCAGCTCAGGAGAAAAAATGTTCTCATGATCCAGCAAATGACCTCCTCATACCGTATTATATTAAAGGTCTAGCCGTGCATGATGGCCGTTGCGTGCCCAGGTTTCGTGACGGTCAGCGATTTGCTGTCGTGGGTCGCTGACTAAAAGCTGGTCAGAGGGCGCCGCTGTCGGTAACGTTTCTGTTGGGGCGGCAGTAGCAGAGAAATATCTTTATTGAGGACGCAATTCAAACGATTACTTAAAATGACGCAACATTGATGAAGTTAATTTGAATATAAAATTGGGGTAAATTTCGGAATTAGATGTTATTTTTGACGAAAGCGCCTCGGAAATCAACGCTATTGTTACGAAGTTTGTAAAAATTAACTCATTATTCAAACAATTGACGCGTTGAAGTCTGTTAGTAAAATTTAGGCATTATAGGGGTTAGACTACATTGTGGAATCGCCTTTTTAACGTGGTATAAGTTTATGTTTGGTAATAATTCAGTTTCTTTTCGCTGGAATTTTGATTAATATAAATTGGTTAGAATTTTAAGCAAATAAACGGCCTTCTTTTCACTTTAAAAATATGTACAATCCTTTAAAAGTTGAAAAAATCATATTATAAATATATAAAATATATAAAAATCATATTTTGCCTCTTGCCCACAGGTTCATTTCGTTAGATTACCAGCTTAATTGAATGCCTTTAAAAATTTTTTTTGTAGTGCAAAGGTTTGTTCGTTAAAGTTTTTTATTCCCAATTTTCGCCACTCACATCAAGCAGGCTGCTTTGAGACTGGATTTAGTTGGTACTCATCTTTTCGTGATCCTATGAGCCATGGTCTTGCGATGCTTTCGTAGAACTTGATTAAAAGTCGGACCGTATTTTGACATTGACGTTTGACTCTTTGACTTTGAAGCCATTCATTGAATTTTGAAGAGATAATGAAACAATATACGTATGTCCTTATACGCTTTTGGATCGATGTAAACATGTTTCAAAAAGCTGTCTACCCTGTTATTAGTAACATTCTGATGGGAATTTACAATATGGACCTGTTCTTTCGACAATCCATGAGCTTACTCTTCCGCCTGGTATTCCATGCGGCAAACAACAACATTTGTCCGCCAGTATCTCTTCCCTGCGAGGCCATCGATCCGACTCCTTTTCTTGTTCTTTGTGCGGGTAACTTTTTCTTGCTCCTGAGCCACGAATGCAAGTAGACGCAAATTGTGGCGTAAAATAAATGCCTTATTTCAGACATGGCAATTTATAAGGGCAAGCTGCATTGATTCGACCCAGCGCAAGTGCTCTGCTTCCTCACCAACTCCACGAAGGCCTGTTCAACGAATGCAAGAATAATAGCGAAGAAATTTCGCGATAATGCATTAATTGTTCAAAGAAAACTTGTCGATATTAGTGTTATTTTTTAGATCAGAATTAAAAATTTTAAATTCAGATATCTACTATATTTCTTCTTTACTTCCCTGAATTCAACTTTATGTCGATATATCGTACAAGGTTATCACCTCAGTTTTATACATATAAATCAATCTTGTGAAACAGACACACTATTTTGATCAGTCTTTAACATCGTCAAAAAATATGTTTTGACTCAACAAATTTTTTTTATATCATGAATGTATACAGCCTTCAGGAAAGTTGAAATTGTATTCAAATGAAAGTTAAGGGGGTAATTTGGGTAATTTGAAGAAAAGTTAATGGTTCTGATTGCCATGAAATGCTATTTGCATTGAGATAATCTCAGAATTTCGGGATAATTTTGGACTGTCGTAAGACTTTTGTGACGTATTTTGGCTGTTATGGACATTGCACGCAAATAAAGATCATTGTCCGTAAAGGATGCGACTAAAATAAAGTTTTCAAGCAAAGACTTGTTTTTACATGTTCTTCTCGCTGCCATAAAATTTAAAAGTTACGAAAACTTACTTCGATCTTGCTAAATATATCCGCTAATTTGGTGATGCAGTCGTCTACACAAGCCACTTTACTAATTCAATTCAAATGACTTGGGCAATATTTTTTGCAGCTTCAAGCAGTTTTGTTCTTTATTAACAAACAGTATGCATATAAATAATTAAACTAATGGTTTGATTTCAAGCATAGTTTAAGCAGCAAGAAGACCGTGCCGTGGCTTACTTTATTGTACATAAAAGACAGTTTTTTAAGGAGACTCTTGAGTTAAACATGTCCGTAAAGTCAATAACTCGACACGTGGCGAGCGATTGCACCGAAAATAAACTGGGATATTCGTAAAAATTTTACTGAAGTGTAAAAATATTAAGATGATTAATACGAGTTTGGCTCCTACTTTATTTCACGATAATTCATACGTTTAGGAACTCGGGCAATTTTATCATCGATCAAATCATACTTATTTTCTAGGAATTCTTTCTTGGCATTCAAATAGCTCCATGCAATTTACAAGAATTCCAGTTTAAAGGAGTTTACATCTTAGGCTACTTTCGCATCGCTCGGTTGTTTGTTGGTGAACATTTTTGTGAAGAAGTTTTCGTGCAAATTTTGCCATAAGGTGAGGCGAATAAAAAATATGAACTTGGCGAATTTTCTCGGTGTACTAATTAGAAAATTGATAGCAATAGCCATATAGATGGTGATACATTCCCCTTTCTCACTTGGACCAGCTACTATGTTGTAGATAATCATTCGGCAACATGACTAGTTTCGTAATTAATTTGTTTGACCTCATCTTAGGTTCTTTCTCGGACAACAAAAATTTCACTATATCAAAATATAAGTGCATGACGAATTTAGTCCATGGCTGATTGATGTCTTGTGTTGCAGGAGTGTGGGAGGAGGTCGATACTGTGGGACGTGGTGGGACGTACACTGTCAAGTTGCAATACTATCAGACCACTCCAGACCACGCTTACTCCAACGCGTCTCACCAGACTACTCCAGGCCACGCGTACTCCGACACGTCTCACCAGACCACTCCAGACCACGCTTACTTCAACGCGCCTCTTCAGACCACTCCAGACCATGTTTACTCTGACGCGCCTCCGGACCAGCAGAGACCTGCACTTCCAAATGACGTCTTCAAGCCATATCCGAATGACACACAACTCCATAAGACGTTCAGCGAGGCCGGTCAGCGAGAGAGAATTATTAGTTCCATAGACTCCAGCAGTAAGCAGAACAATCGAGGGAGATTTGGAGGAAACACCAATTGCATTATTCGGTCGACTTACCACGAATCCAGAGGCAAGCTGCAAGGCTTGGCTGTTGATAAGCGGCGTTGTCTAAATGAACGGCAGAAGAGAAATTTCGCCCTCCAAAATCATGCTCACAAAGAAGTTTTTCCGAATTTATCGAAATGTAGTGCGAAAATTAATGAGTCGTGCTTGTACAAGACTAAAACTGAATCTCTAAACAAATGCGTTTGGACCAACGAATCACTTTTGACGAGCTTACCTCCGTCAGAATCGATTGAGAATAGAACGCGACAACAAAATCAAGATCATTACGAACATTTTCAAGGTCCACTTCAAGTTTCACCAATCAACCGAGATGAGCAGTTGAACGAACAAAATATCATGGCATTACAAAATAAGGGTTATGATCAACACCAAATTCAGCAACCAGACGACCAATTTTCTCGCCTGCCCCAGCAAGAGCCTCCTCGGTACAACCAGCAGTACAACCAGGAATTCCTGCGGGCAGGCGATACTAGTGCCACACAAATCGAGCACAGAGGGAATTATGACTCTCATCAAAGCATATTAGAATACGAGACTCCGTTCAGAAGAAACTGTTTGCTCCCAAAAAATTTCACTCCTGTCCACTTACGTTCGCTCGAAGAAACTGAAGCTGCTCATGACCTACTTCAACTCGCCCAATCGGCACCAGCTTTTCCGAATGCCGTCAGCCTCGTTTTGAGTCCAAGCTACGAAGTGGCCTACGATAGCGAACCGACGACTCCAGCACCTTCACCAACAGGGAGCAGTGATGCCGAAAACGTGGCTCCACTTGACAGTTTGGAAGACGGCAGAGCGCGTATAAAGTCTGAGCTGACAGGATGCCCGCGCTATACGTGTTCCGAGTGCGGCAAGCAGTACGCAACGTCGTCCAACCTCTCCCGACACAAGCAAACGCACCGCACCCTAGACTCAGGCAATGCCCGCAGATGTCATGTGTGTGGCAAGGCTTATGTGAGCATGCCAGCTCTGGCGATGCATGTGCTCACTCATAATTTAAATCACAAATGTGGCGTGTGTGGCAAGGCCTTCTCTAGGCCGTGGCTCCTGCAAGGCCACATGCGATCTCACACTGGTGAGAAGCCTTTCGGTTGCGCGCATTGCGGCAAGTCTTTTGCTGACCGCTCTAATTTACGAGCTCACATGCAAACTCATTCGCAACTAAAAAACTTCAAGTGCAAAAGATGCAATAAATCCTTTGCTTTGAAGTCTTATCTTAACAAACACCACGAGTCTGCTTGCTACCGAGAAGGTTCTTGTGCAGACACGGCCGATGCGAGCACATGATGACGCTTTCAAGACAAACTTTTGAACGTAAACCGTTTTGTTTCTTAGAGTAGTCCATAGTTTACCCTAGTCCCAGAGATTTTAGCAGCGTTATATTTGAAGTGCAGTGCTGCTTTAGTGAAATGTGTCGTGATGCTGATCTGTGATTTGATGTTGTGCTAGAATTCATTTTTTGGTAATTTTACAGTACTCTGAAATTGTGAGAGACACGCGAGGCTGCTTATCTATATAGCTTTGCTTCTCAGTCCTTTACCATAGTGTTCCTTTAGTAAAGTTTTCGATGTTATTCAGACATTACGTTTTAGATAATTTTGCTTTAGAACCTCTTTGTAAATTGAAGTCTAATTTACGCTAATTCCAACCTGGCATTGCAACACCTGATTCAGAGAAGCTCAAGCATCGCCGCCACAGTTGAAGTTCCTATAATTCCTCTTATTCGGCATATACCCCTTAAAGGGCATCAGATATTCAAGTCTATCAATATTTATCAAGTCTCACCTAACTACTTATACGCCACACTGGCGATTCGGGAGAGAAATTCTACAGCCCAGCTTCAACTAGTCAAATATCGAAATATTCATCTCAAATTCAAAATGCTCTTAGGTTTATGAAATAGCTGATATTTACAAGGAATATTAGAAATTAGAAGTAATTTAGAGCGTTTATTATGGTCCGCATTGAATTTGAAACCTTGCACCGACATCAGATTTCATGGAATCAACAAAGGTTTCCGATAAATTTTTGGTAATATTTTAGTGGAATGATTTGGCTCAGCTTTGTTTCGTGATTTCTATAAACAGAATTCACTGTTCTGGTAAAAGTTATTTATTACTTTTAAAGATAGAATCAAATGAATTATTGAACAAAAAAAAACAGAACTAAGTAACTCTTGCTCAAATAAAAGAAATTGTTCTGAAAATTATGAAATTAGCACATTTAATTCGGTTTCTAATAAATTAATGTAAAAATTTATTAGTGTAAATGGATGGATAAAGAAATTAATCAGAGAAAAATTCTGCTTGACCGAAATTGAGGACATTTATGTAAATTATTGTTATTAAGTCCAAATCTTGGCTGCAAATTTAAAACAGTCCCAAAGGAGCTAATTTTTAACGGATTTTAATGCCATACGAATAATTGATTTCAAATTTCCATGTGCCAACGGTGAGCATAAACTTCATGACAATTTTGATGGCCATTTTTTTATAGCGTTCATTTGCATCAAGAGTTATTCATAATGTCAGATGGCAGTCACTAGCGTCTTTGCTATCAATAAACTTTTAAGATGGCCGCATAATCTATAGCGAAATTAATGTAGATAGAATCCGAAACATGTTTCTACACGCTAGTCATTTAATGATAGTCTGTTAGATTTAAGTACCTAAACTATCTCATTATTGTATAGCAATAGATGAACGGCGGAGGCCATTTTCACTAGATGATGTAGGCAGCAGTAATGTTTTATGCATTAGCCTGACAGTAGTTGCTCAACCTACCCTTTATACCTAGTTTACCTAGTTGCCTAGTATTCTAGTCACCTAGCCAGTCCTCGTGACCATCGTGTACAGCTTACCACTGGTAGAGTAATAATTAATTATTGAACGAGTTGCACTTAGACTAAAGCTTCGTAAGTTGCCTGCTCTTTGAGCTGCGACGCTCCGTATAATACATGTACAACGGCCAGTTGAAAAAAATATAACTCAGTACTCACTGCAGTGAGTGATAGAGAGCGCATTTTCTCGTCGACGAAAACTTGAGGTCACGGACGGACAGACAGACAGACGGACGGACGGACATGGCGAGCACAATAGTGCATTTTTTCCATAAATGAGAAAATGCGCTAAAAAGAGAAATTAGGAGTTATTCACAAAATACATCAAAAAAAGCCATCCAGTTACGCGTGTTAAGGTATGTACAATTTTGGATTGGAAACAAAGTTTACTCACGTCATTGATGTGCCATGATTTTGATTAGAAGCTGATTATTAAACTGGCTTGAAACAAATTGAAACCTGAAATTGTTTCTCCGACATATGATTTGAAAATTTACGCATCTGTTTAAAATTAAAAATCGCTACCAACGGAGCATGTAAAAAGACATGAGCGTAAATTCGACCTAATCAAAGTTCATGGAAACATTTCATTAAGAGACCATCACCTTTGATTAGACACAAACGGTTGTTGTACAACTTATTACAAGTGTTTGATAAACGGTCGAGAACGTATACAATATGTCCAAATTTATTGAATGTTTTACTAAACTAAAACAACAGTGGTATTGAATTACAAAATTATTAACCGCATTTGTAATTCAAAACCACTGTTGTTTTAGTTTAGTAAAACATTCAATGTGTGAAAATTTACAGTTTTTATGATGAAGGTTATATCCATGAGTGTTGAATCGAATGAATACATGCAACAACGAAAAGACATTTATAATTTTACTGTATTAAAATAATTGTACCGTTGTGAGCACTTCAGTGGATCGGATAAAGTCTTCAAACATGAGTTAGTGATGGACAACTAGATGTTTTTAAACTAAATTAAAGCAAAGATAAATATAAAGTAATGCGACCAAATGCATTCTAGAACACTTCTAGAGAAGGCGAAAATTCCATATTTGTAATATGTTTTGCCTGCCTTCAAATGTAATTATGGCGAAACCAAGAGAAGAAGGTGTCCGCTTTTTTCAACTGTTGGTGACATATTATTTCCGTGTGTTTTAGGTTGCTATCTGTTAAGGTTAAAATCAGCTCAACATGTTAATACTGACCATATCTCATATCAGTTATGATAACTTATTATTCTGAGTCAATGTAGCGACTAATAAAACATGTGTAATTTTTGATTAGTCTTATCGAACTGCTCCATCGTACAGGGTGTTTCCAAATTGTTACAATTATATCGTTATTTTATACCACTCGTTATGAATGTTCAGGTAGTGATTAAGATTGTGTGCGTTATCAATTCAACTGATGCTCAAATAATTTAGCCAATTCAATTTTACTTTCATTGACTATGTAACGTTTTGCTTACTTCACGGTAGTTAATTGTACAGTCGATTCCTTCCCTCGTTTGCAAGGGAAAAGACCGATCTTCTCTTCGCGTTTGTGTTGATGGTTGGTAGTTTTGGGGTCGCCTCAAAAACCGACATCCTAAAGTTGACTTGACATGAAATGAGGTAGTAGCAGAATCTCTTTCTTTCAATATTTTTAAGTTTTAAGCTATACTGCGCATTTGGCTTTATGCTAATAATGATTAATTAGCTCACATTATTCATATGTTTGAACAATAATCTTGAGATTAATTAAGATATTGCGTAATCCCGAAAGCTCATGAGATATTATCTTTTTTATGGTTCTCGTTAAGATATTTCCTAAAGTTTAGGTTTTGGCTCATCGATTTTCCAAAGCGTTTGCATGGCAGACTTGGGCATTTCTTATGCGCCCCCCCCCCTCGCCCTCGGTTCAGTTTTAGCTTTCTAATTTGTCAAGAAATTCTTATTTCCAGGACATCAGCGCGTCTCCCATTGCTGGGAGATTGCTGGAAACTTTTGCTTAGTGTAAAGGTAATAACGCAAACAAGCTGAGCCAAACGAAACTTTTGTTTAGTGTCAAGAGGCAGGACGAGGTAATAAAGCAATCGAACTTAGCCAAATCTATACATGGTGCAGTTGAATTACTCAGTGAAACTATATTCTAATATTGATTCTTCAGTCTGTCTCGTTCAGTACCCTTTGTATTGACTGTTCACTTAGTATCGTTCAGTTAAGTTAGTATTGATTCCTCAGTTAGTATCGATTCTTCAGTCAGTACCGATTCTTCAGTTAGTATCGATTCTTCAGTTAGCATCGTTCAGTTCAGTTAGCATTGATTCTTCAGTCAGGATCGTTCAGTTCAGTTACTTATGATTTTTCAGTTGGTTTCGTTCAGTTCAGTTAGTATCAATTCTTCAATTAGTATCGTTCTTTTCAAAAACTGGTTAAATTTTTTATTGGCCTGTTTTTTAAAGTTTTTTTTTTTAAGAAATGGGGCGGCAGCGCTCAGCGCCGCCATCACAAATGACGTTTGTGTAATTTGTTTTATCTGCAATTTGAATATTTTTTAGTAGGAATTTTCGATAATATTTGAAAGTTACGATTTACGACATTATAAAAAATAGTTGAAGTAAACGAATGCAATGAAAGAGGGATTCTCGACAGCGACGAATTTGCTCAAGTGCCTTCAGCTGAACTGCAGGAGGCGTGGGTGCAGGAGGCGTGGGTGCAGGAGGCGTGGGTGCAGGAGGCGACAGGAGGCGTGGGTGCAGGAGGTGTGGGTGCAGGAGGCGTGGGTGCAGGAGGCGTGGGTGCAGGAGGCGTGGGTGCAGGAGGGCTTGGTATTTTCTTTGATTGATTATTACTCAAGTTATTTATGTTCAGTTGAAGAAAGGTTTAGGCTCGAAAGTTCGACGTATTAGATAGATTGAATATAATAATAATATATTAGAGGGACAATAGCGTAGCAGCTGAGTTGAAAATGGATGTGCAGTTTTCCAAAGAAGTTGCCAGATTTATGCATTTGGTTACCATCACATTCAATTGGGATGGAAAAAAATAATTTTAGAATCACATTTTCATGATGGTTCGAGGGTAGAAGAATATTTTTTAAAATTAAAGTATTAAAATGTTAACATTAGAAATTATGGGAATCGCTGATGACGCTGATGAAAAATCTTGCATCCATGCATGCCTCTCTTCGTCATCCGCACCCATAGAAATATGTGAGATTTAGTCCAAATAGCGTTTCACTTCTTGCTGTTTTGTGGGTTATCCTGATGTAGTGGGACCCTGCAAAATAGTTAATAAGTGGGTTGTAATTTGGACAATATTACCCATTAATTTTGTTCTGCGCTCTTCGTGTTTGGAGGGGATAGAGGAGGACAATTGATGTCGCTCTTGCATATCTCTCTTGGAATCTCCGTGCTGCTTCACTGATACTTTGGTCCCTCCGAGACCCGACTTTATTTTCTGGCGCATTATGATAATACTTTTTAGCTCTGTTTTTTTTGTGTAATGAAATTGTGCGTGAATGAATTAAGTTATGAAAAGGAAACATTAACCACATATACTGCTCCGTATCTAGAGTAGATGTCAAAGTTTTTAAAAACTCCTTACTAAATTTCCTTGAAAATTGCAGCTTGAGTCATGTTAGGATTGAATATATCTGAAAAATCCAATGTAACGGAATAACACATTGAAATAAAATAATATTAGAGCACCTAAGACGAAATGCTTGTTTTAAATTTTAATTCTGTACTCAAACTAGGCTTATAGCAATAACCTTTTGCAATAAATTATTGTATCACAAATAATCTGTACAAAGTGTAGTGCTCACAACTGGAAGCTATAGCTCCTCTTAAGCGTATCTCGTTTACCTCAT